AAAGCAACCGTCGGAATTCAGACGGTTGCTATATTCTTCACAAAATGCCTTATAATACTCTTCCCAGGACTTATTTTCCAACAACTTTCTAAAGTCTTTCCTAAACTGCTGACACATATTTGTTGCATTAATGTAACCATCCTTGTCTCTACGTAAGACTTCAATACCGTTATAAGTGCCTTTTGTGAATGTTTCGCCATTATATTTGTTAGTGAATGTTTTTGCTTCGACTGACATTTCTGTTCTTACATACCAAATAAAAAAATAAATAAAAATAAAAACTAACTTTATTTTTTCTATCTTAAGGAAATTCACGAAAATTCAAGAGGTGAAAAAACAGGTGAGAAAACAGGTGAAATCTCACCTCTTCACCTAAACATTATTTTTGGTGTAAATTTATGGTACCATTAATAATACATGACTGTTCTCATTCATGTCTGATTTACATCTAATGAAAAAGTTTAGATGAATTTTCTTATTCTTTCTGGCATATTTTTGTCTTTCCAATACTCCCGCTCTAATGGTCCCAGATGAGTTGGCTTTGACTCTCTCAAGTTCTTAGATGGTATAACATCTTCAACGCCTCCTTCGTATCTTACTTTATAAGTGTCATCGTTTGTGTTATAGTCAAGTATTTCAATAACCACTCCTCGCTTTGCTTCGTCAATGGTTTCAGCAAGTTTGCCATTACTACTTTCGACTAATTTATGACGAGGGTAAAATGCTATGGAGTCGTCAGCAGCTTTTATAAGATATCCATTACCTTGCGTAGAGTCTACGATATAATAATTTCGACTTAACCTTAAACGTTTCTTTGTCAACGGTTTGTCGTCAAGAATACACGAACTTTTGTACCAGGAATGAGGGTAAATTGTGTTGAATTTCTGATATTTTGTGTTTGGCTTCGTTTCTTTGTATATACTTTTCTTCTTGTTGTTGTGTCATTGAATTTGGTGTATGTCCTGTTGTAGAATGTGTTGAGGAATTATATACTTCGAGAAAATGTTTCATTGTTTCTTCGGTAAAGTCTCGCTCTTGATTTAAATCTCTGAGCGTTCTTATGAAGCGGTTAATGATACCGAGTATGTTATGGTTATGGTCTTCAGTAGTGTAGTGAGTTATGTTATGCTTAATGAGAAATTCTGTGATTTCATTGCTGAGGTATGCACTGTTTGGTCTGATGTTAAAATACTTGGGTTATGTTCTGCTACAAATTTTGTAAAACTCTTAACACTTCACGAGTTCCTTTATTTTTCATTGGATATGCATATGCTTTACGAGTGTTAACATTTATGAAGATGAGGAATGGTTTATGTCCTCCTTTTCTGCTTTGAATGAGAGTGTCAAATTGGTATGCGTCAGGAGTGTTGGAGTAAATTGGTAAAAAGTAGTCGTAAGGGTTTATTTTTGTTTGATGTACAACATTTTTGTCAAAGAACCTTTTCACTTCAGCTCTGTTAGTAAATCCCAACTCTTTGCAGCTTCATTGAATTTCTTAAATGACCTCCATGGATGTTGTTCGAATACTTCTTTCAAGCTCATTTATGTAAAAATAAAGATTTTATTCTAGGCTCAAGTGCGTTCATTGAACGCGGTACCATGCAATACAGTACAAATGGTCATGTAATCTGCAACCGAGCCTGTTGGATTTGTTGTGAAAGTATGGGCATGATTTCTGCGGTTCCACAGAAAATACCTGCGCTTGAATCTACTGGGTCACTTGAAATATCATATCTATGCATTCCCTGTCTATCCGAACCTGCTGCAAGATTTGTATAACCTCTTTTTGTTATTGAATGTGAATGACTACCTGTTGTGTTTGTAGTTCCTGTATGAGTGTGCGGTGGAAGGTTTGCTTCAGTAATTTTCTTCGAACCTCCTGTTTGCTTTGAAGAGTTAGCACAGTATAAGAATTTGTCTACAATCTGCTGCCATGTACCAAAACCTAAAACTGTTGCTGGATTTGTTGAGTTCATTGACGTATAAATAGAGCCTATAGGATATAATGTTTGAAGTATTTCTGTCTTTAATGTTTGAAGCTCTGTTTTGTCTGCTTTCTTGTCATATAAATCTTGAGCAGTGATTAATATTATGTTCATCCTTCATGACATAAACATCTTTACATCTAATGTTTTTCATCGTCGTTATGTCGTCATCCGATGTTAAACCTTGTGGAAAGTTAGGAGGTTTACAATATAATGCATCCCCACAGTTTCTTCAACCGTTCCTTCAATACTTTCTATAGCAACAGTTGTGAAGGATTTATGTGTATGGTTCTTGTCTGCTTTCTTATCTAACATTGCTGGTAGTTCATGTGCTTCAAAGTTTCTGACATGACCTTCGATATTCATACATTTGTTATTTAAGGAGTTTAGTGTATCTTTTACGCTTGTACTTGGATTCTCTAAAGGTGCACTTGAACCAAGGGTATAGTTCAATATTATGTCGTCTGCTCTAACAGTTGAGAAGATTTATGTGTTATGGTTCTTGTCTGCTTTACTGTCTAAAGAAGTTGAAGTTCATTTATATCGGAGATGTTGTGTTTATGAGATTTCAAAAACTTTGTTCGTTGCGTCAAGTTCAACTTTGTCAGCTTTACTTTTAATAGCATCTTCAAACGTTATTTTTGCCTTAACTCTTAACATAAATCTTGGTTCAACTAATACACCGTTAACATTGAAAGTAGAGGCATAAATTTCACCGGTATAACCAAATGCTTCTGGTGCTTTAGCTACATCATACTGTACAGTACAGCTTATGTCATAACCTTTAGCACGAATGTATTTATATCTTCTTTCATTAACATTTTTGTCTTCGCTTCATCACTTCGTGTTAAATATCCATGGTAGTCCGTTATAATCTGTTCGTCTGAAGTTATATAATGAACGTGGTTTTTATCTGCTTTTTCGGCTAATTTCTCATTAACATCATTCACTTCTAATTCAACTCTTCCGCCAGAACTCTTATTATCATTAATCTTTTTCATTAATTCGGTAATTACGTCATAAAGACTATATTCTGTTTTCGGTTTTGTAAATAATGAGTCAAAATTTCTTTTCATCATTACATCGCTGACATTAATGATATCACCAATTCCTTTTTCATTTATTCTCTTCATTAATTCTGCAATAATGACGAATATATAATCTGTTAATTTATTCTCTTCATCGAGGGTTATAGAATGTTTTGAAATTGAATCATTAACTCCTCTAAATAAATCAATAACTTCAGGATACACGTTTTTAATGTCTTGAATAACCCGACCAGTATCCTCGCCACTATGTGGCTCTGAGCCCGTTGGGCTCTGTTGTTCATGTTCTTCGTTCCCGTCGTTACGTGTTTTATATCTCTAACCATCATCAACGCAGCCATAACCGGAGGGTTTGTTGCTACCTGTTCGAAAATCCGTCCGTTATGTATGGTATATCTAAATAATTTCTTTGTGTTTGTTAAAACATTTGAAACAAGTCTTTTAAAAACCATCTACAAAATTTCCTGTTTCACCTAATGTTCTTGCAGCATTTACAAGCTCACCCATTCCCGCTTTTGACCCCAAAAACGTCCATATTGCATTTATTTCACTCTGTATTGTTGTCCATTCAGCGAAACTAACACCCGCATTCGCTAAGCTGAAAATGAAATTCAGTGGATCGAACTTAATTCCACCTTCTTTTTCAATTTCAACGAACTCACTAACATGAGATTTTAAGTATTCTTTCGTTAAAATTGTTTTCCCCGATGTTATGTCATTAACGAAACTATCACCGTCAAAAGTTAACGAATTCAATTTCGTCGTTGATGCTTTTATTTCATACACCGCTTTATCGATAGTTTTTGGCTCACCTTCTTTAGAAGCATATGAAACATTAATGAATGAATTATATGTATTCATGAATGAATTAAAATCAATGATTTTCATTAATGACGCCTTTTAATGATTCATTACTGTTGAATCCCTTAAAACAATTACTGAACTGTCCTTTATGAAAGGTACACTGCAAACCGTCGAGTTTGGATCAAATGCTGTAGTTGGTGCAGGAATATTAATGATATAAGTCATTAAATCATTAAGTGACGTAAATAATGTTGTCGTTTTTGATTTAATTTCTTTAGCATCTGTTATATATGGTAATTTTATTTCTGTAGTTTCTGATTAAAGATATTCGCTAAAATGTTTTGTAAACTGTTTTGAACAGCTGTGTAAACCGTTGAATTCGGAACTCTTACGATTTCACCATCCTTAATAAAAGGCATTGTACATGACGTAGTGCTTGGGTCAAATCTTTCGGGATTATAATTCAACATATATTCTAACGCTTCATATACAGACCTATAAACAGTTGTGTCGTTCTTCATGACAACTTCACCATTTACAATGAATGGCATAGTACATGGAGTTAAAATAGGTCAAACTTTTCATAGTCCTTCCATGTTATGTATTTCTCGGTATTTCCATCACTGATAACAATATATTGTCAGTAAGTGTGAGAGAGTATTGACCAAAATAAAACGTTTAGCTCTGTCAGCTTCATACGCATATGCAGCAATACTCATATTTTAATGAGAATAAAATGTTGTTCTATTTGCAAAGTACAGACCCAAACGAATACGGACAGTAAAGCTACAAACAAACTTAGGTCTTCAGAATGAAGCGCTTGCTTTCAAGTACTAGTTCGACTTCATAACTATCGCTTCATTCGTATAACAGATGAAACAGATTTCATGGAGCTTGAAATAGATGGAAAGAAGCACGAAATAAGATTTCACAATAATGTAGAATATAAGATGGAAACATTAGCTGGAGTGTTAAATGCGCTCATAAATACTACAATAAACAAGGAGAACGAAGAAAACTTAATGAATGTTAAACTTATTGCAGAGTTTTGAAGTTCAATTATGCGAAGGAGTTTAAGATACAACGAATGAGTCATAGAGTTCAATTGCTTCTGGGAGCATACCATATGACATGTCCTTTGAAAAGTGTTGACAAAACGATTGAGATGAAATCTGTTCCATACGTATGTTATGGTAATTGTTTATACGTTGAGTCAAAAATAGCTAATGTCACAGGTATTTCAGGAGTTAATAGTAAAGGTTCAGTAGAATATAAATCCTTCTGTTATGCAGTCAATTCAATGTTCATTCCAAACGTTCCTGTCATAGTAACTCATTTAGGTAAATGGGTTCGCATTAGTCCTCATAATTTGAAAGACATGCAATTCAGACTTGTTGACTTTCAAGGAGAGCCTGTAGAACTGAAGGCACCAGTGCGAATGACTGTTGAAGTTGACTTTTTAGAAAATATTAAATGCAACAGCTTACAAGAGAACTCAGAGCTAAAAATATAAAGTATGAATGTTATGTATTAGGTCATGAACTTTGGTTATTGCTGTTTGATGAAACAAATGAGTTAGTTATGTCAGTCAAGAGAACAGAAAAAGGCGTCAAAGGCGCCGAGCGCAAAGCGCTATATTGTGTTAGTGAAAACTGCACCAAGTCAATAAGATTAGGTTTGCATTATGAAGATGAGTTCGATACTGTTGAAGAAGTTTTGGATAGATATTACAAATTGCTTTAATTTACTAAAACATATTTCAAACAAAGCTTATATTCTGTTGAAAGTTTTGTATACTCGTTCGAATATTTATACTTAAACTCAACTCCTGTAGTTCCTGGTGTTTCAATGATGCGGATGTTACCTATTTTCATGAATGGTGGCGTTTGACCACAGCATTCGATTTCAGGGTCGAGATAGTCAATGACACATTGTTTCCCTGTTATTCGTGATATAACATTTTCAAGGTCCTCCTTTGTTAGAATTATTTGGTTCTTGCTTATAAGATTTGTCAAAAGCTTCTTATCGTCTTTGAGTAAAATTGTTTGGTATAACTGAAGAAGGTAATGGTCTACGTTATCTGAAGGATTTGTTTGAACATTTGTGTAAGGGTTGTCGTTGGCTTCTCTTGAAAGAATTTGGTCCAGTGGTGGATACTCTAACTTAACATCTGATGTAGCGTTAGCGTTTGAAGCTGAGTTTAAATTCACGGATTTCAGTTCTGGTTCTTTTTCTTTCAAACACTCTGAACTATAGTTCTTTATGACAATATTGTTTGTCGTTCGTGAGTCAACATTTGATGTTGGTTCAATTGGAACATTAACGGCACCAGCTAAGATGGATTTGCTTCTCATTTCATATAGAATAAAAACCTTTTATATGTATGAAATGAACAATATACTCGACAAGGGTTTGAATGTAAAGCTAACGAATGAAAATATTGTTGAATTCACTGAGACAGGTGCTGTGTATAAAGATGTAGAACTACTGAACAAAAGAGCTAAGGGAAGAAGCAGGAACATGAACAAAGGGTGGAAGCCTATAAAAATTTATGTCAATGATGGCTCAGGAGGTTCAAACATAAAGTATGCAGAAAGTTATAGAGTTTATGCTCTCAAAGGTGAAAAGCCTTCATTTAAGAACAGCTATTCTAACGCATATCCTCAAAAGCTAACGGATGGGGAAGTGGATGATATGAATGACAGCAAAAATATTAACAGAAATGGCGACAGAGATGCATGGAATTTGTTTACCATCAGTCAATTGAAGGTTAAACTTTAAAACAATGTTGGTCGTTCCCATGGAATATTTTTGACTTTAATGGTATTAGTCATGATATGAATCTCAAGGTATGAACGAGGAGAGATGAGAGACTTATATGCTTCCCAAATTTCTTCAAAAGGTAATGTTATACCTGACTGTTTCCAAATGAGTTCAATATCATAACGTGAGAAACCTTGAAAGATAACGAAGTCAGTTATGAGACGTTTTATGTTTAAAGCAAAAACCTCCATGTTTGCATAAGTATTGCTACAGTTAAGTGGTAATGTCTGACTTTAGTAATGATGTTAGCTAATGGTGAGTCAGGCTTTGACACTAAACCTTTTCCGGCGAAGTCGTCGCAAACGAGCAAGTGTTGAAGGATACTTTTTGAAGGGGTATTTTGAAAGTTTTGACAGAATGTAGTTTGTAAGTCGTTTCATATCGTAAACTCCTGAGTATTGACGTAAGTGGTGTTTGTCAATAATTCTTTCCATCTCTTCTGAAGTCTTTTGCATTCCTGACTGTATAAATTCAACGATGGCATAATATTTCCTCTTACGTCGAACGTAACGTTGAAGAAATTCAATGAGTTCGCTATCTGGAACTTTAACGACAGATGCTTGAACTTTTGACATAAATGTTTTCGCTGTTGAGTCCATAGAGTCTGAAGTTGCTGATATAATGATTTGGTCATAATATGAGTCATTTCCTAAACGTCTGTTATGAGTATATGACGAATGAAATTAAATGTCTTACCTGAACCCATCTTTCCACAATAGAAATACACACCATTTGAACAGAACTCATAGTCCTTACTGAAAGGAAGAATGAGAGAAGAGTTAAGTTTGTCTGTAGTTTCATTCATGTCTTCATCTACGTCATGTATTAAATGCTTCATTTTATCTCCATTAAAAATGCAAGTCAGAAATATTCAGAACATAGCACCGAGTCTAACTGACAAGAGTATAAAGATATACTATGAACACGTTATGATGAAACCAACCAAAATTCAAGAAAGTCAGTATACTTATGAATATCCAAGACACTGGGTAGAGTATGTAGGAGGTGAGAAAGCTATTGAAATCAGACAGGTTCGAAGTATTCCAGCAGGAAGAACAATATTATTGAAGAACTTTAATGTTTTGAGGTATAATGATGAAACAAAGAAGCAAGATAGTTTTCCCATTGCTGTGTATGTGAACCTAGACACAGGAGATGACATGAAAGTTTTTAACACAAAGCTTCAAACGGTAGTGAGAGAACAACTGACTGCGGAAGGGCATCCATTACCTTCAGAAGTTACCATAGCATATAATTTTGAAACAAACTCAATAGATTTTAAAGTCATCTCTGCAAAGAAGTCAGGTTTTACATTTAATGAAGCAGATGTATATTCGAATGAAAACTTCAAAGCTATTGCATGGTTAGATAATGACGATTGCTTTAAGAAAATATTTAAATTCAGTGACTCAACGATGTCAATAGATGACCTTCGTGGAATGTTACCATCGATGTTTACAGTAGAAGGTTCAGCAGGATTGCTTACAAGATTGTCAATTGGTGGTATTTGGTCTCGTGAGAACATTGTTATAAAATCCAGTATAAGTGAATTTGCTGAAGAATCTATATTATGTCTTTCAAACTACATGTATTCGCCACCGAAGCATTATAGTATAACAAACTTTGTCAGTAAGTTTAACATAAGACTTGTCGAACCTTCTTCAATGAAAGATGTTGTGCTACCTAAAGATGGAAAGGATGGACTCATTATTGAGATGATTTTAATTGCATATTAAATGAGCTTGTTCTTGAAGGTCATTCATGATGAAATAACTGTTGTAGAAGATGTTAGCAATTGTTCAGACATTTTGAAGCGAATAGATGAGATAAGAAAGAAGTTAGATAGACCGCAAAGCGGTGAGGAGGCGAGAAAGCGAGACGTCCATGAGAATGTTTATGTTTCATTGACTTTCTCCAGTAACGAGAACTTTTATGAGATAATATTGAAGAGAGATGATTTTAATATGGTGTAAATGGTAGCTTGGGCAGCTTTAGGCGCAATGGGAACAAAAGCATTAGCATTTGGAGCAAAAGCACTTGGAGCTTATGACGCAGTAAATAAAATGAGTGGAGGAAGGGTTTCGAAGACATTAGATGCAAATAAAGGAAAGATTGGAGGCTGGGTTGCAAAGAAGTTAAGATTAAATAAAATAGGGCTCATAAATAAAGCATCCAATTTGGTTGCGACTGAGTCGGAAAATGCTTTAGGAAAGGACGATGAGTTTTCAAAACATGCAAAAGACTTTAATGACCAGATGAAAGGTGAAACAATGCATTTAAATAGAGTCGATGGAACTCTTCCTCCACCAGTAGTTCTTCCGTATGGTCCCTATGGAATGTATGGAAACCCTTACGAAAGACATTTGACCCATTGACTGGTGGAAGTAACTGGTATCATTACGGACGAAGAAGAAAGACAGTCAAGTTGGAGACAGACGTGAAGAAAGCAACTAAAAAGAAACCAAGGAAGAGAGTTATAAAGCAATGAATTCAAGTGAGGTGAAAAAAGAGGTGAAAAAAGAGGTGAGATTTCACCACTTCACCTAAATTTATTTTTGTGCTATGTTTTCATACGTGTGAGGGTGGTGATATCATTAATTTTTAAGTTTATTTTATTATTTTACTGAAAATTTTTATTTTTATATAAATGACGAAAACTATTGAGATAACAAACTACAACGGTCATGAGTTCAAGAATTTGTTCTTCGTTCCTCGTGAAAATACATTCTATCAGATACGAGGGAGAAAGGGTAAAGTTAGTTTGAGCGTTTATGAAGGAATGAAGAATGGAAAGTTTATACAAGCATACGATACAAACGGTAAACGTGTTTCATTAGCTTTGTCAAAACTTACTAACATTCATATTTGACAGTGACTTTGACTCTGACGATTGGAGCGACAGCAGCGATACTGAAGAATATGAACTATTGTGTGAAGCACAGCAATGGGAAGAGTTGCAATACTTTTGTAAGTGAGAACGTTTATTTTTTACAGTAGTGAAGTGAAGTGGTTGGCGGCTTTGTAAATATTTAAGGTTAAGTTAGTGTTGTCGTTTGTGTTGTAAAATATACGTTAACGGTTTTGTAAAGTGTCAAATTCACATATCATGGGTAAGGAGGCTCGCAGTGCCTCCGTACACAAGATATGTATACTAACTTTGCAATCAAATTTTCTCAATAACTCATAAGAAAAATCGAATTTTGATTAAGCCGATGTTATAGGTATCACAAATACTACAAACTTGAGCAATATCGAAATTGCCAGCAAAAGTTTGAAATTGCATTGCTCATATTTGTTTTGTAAACTAAAAATCTGCTTATATTATTCATTAATTTTTTATATATTATTCATATACTTTAATAAAAACAATACTATTTCACCTTAAAAATGAATTTCATAAGTCAATATTATTTTTTTGAAAATGTATCAATTTTCGATTAAAACAACATGAGAATAAAATTTACGCAAAATTATTTTAAAAAATGGTTTTAAAAATTTACAATTGATTAAGAATAAGATTGGAAGAAGTTTTGAAGTTTAATTTTAAGAAAAAAAATTCGGATATTATTCATGGATCTAAGTAATCTGATATTTGAGTATCGGCACTATGCATAAAACATATATTTATAGTTTTTTTGGATTTTTATGATTTTAAATATATTCAAATTTGGCAATCCAATAGATTTTTAAAAAATAGGTAAATAAAAATAGATTACATATGCAGCAGATTTAGAACATGAAACAAATCTTATAGTGACCCAAAAAAAAATTCATGATCCAAAAAAGAAAAAAATTGGCTAAACGGGAATCAAACCTTAGCATAATGAATCATTATGTCAGATGTTTCCACTACACTACACCGGCAGTTCGAAAAATACCCTTGGTGGTTCTATTTAATAGCTACTCCCAACGATAGGCGGTGTCCCCAGCTTTCGAGAGGTGGTAAAAGTAAAGCAAATCTGGGTAATATATAATTAAAATGAAAAAAAGAAAAAAAAAATAAGTAAAGTGACTGGAAATGAAAATTAAAATCAGTGTACAGTTTTATTTTTTCTCGCTGTGAAACGTATTCGGTCTTTTTTTTAAAAATTAATTTTTTGTTAGAGATAAGAGCTAAAACTCGGTAAACAACTTCTATATGTCTAGAAAATTCTATCTTGCCTTTTATTTTTTTCTCGCTGTGAAACGTATTCGGTCTTTTTTTTAAAAATTAATTTTTTGTTAGAGATAAGAGCTAAAACTTTGGAGACAACTCCCCCATGTCTAGCAAATTTAACATTCGTCTCCCATTTTTATATATTTGGTTTAGAATGTTCGAAAATGCGTAATATGGTCATTAATATTAATTGAAAAGAACCTTGAATTAATTCAATCTGATCTCACAAAATATTTTAAATTACAAACTTTGTAGTTTGAATAGATAATTAGTATTAAACTCAAATAACTAGTTTCTTTTTGAATAAAAATTATTTGAATTTATTCAATTTTGTGAATTTTCCTTCAAAAATCAAGTTTAAATATCTTATTTGCCATATAATTATAAATACAATGAAACATATTCGAAATTGAAAAGAATGACTTTTTCTGTTCTTTCAATCATTCAATTTGAATTTTGCAATATTGGATTTCGCATTAGATAGCTATTAAAAACAACAAGCAATTTAACTTACATTCAAATTTATTTGTGTTATATTCAATCTTCTCAAAACTTATAATTTTCGGCTATAGCATGATTATATGCTATATAATATAATAAACCTATAATAGTATCATTCTTTCAATTATTTGAAGAGAAAACCGAAAAAATCTATTTTCGGTCTATAACAGGATAACAATGACATTCAATTTTCGTCGTCTAAAATTGTTCTTAATTAAATTAAACAAAAAAAATTGGCAAAAATAATTTTCATGTAGCTGAGAGTAAACGTATTCCATTTATCGATGAAATAATTTGATGATAATTTAATCTTCGGAATTGAATAGGCCGTCAAAATCTCACTCAAAATAAATTCAATAAAATTTTGTGGTTTTATCTTTATTTTAATACGATGAAGTTATGAATAACATGGGTCTGAAAGAGAACTATTTTTATAAAAAATCAAACTAAAATCATTGATAACTCGTTTGGTCTATCTTATCAAAATTCATCGGTTTGCTCTCCAATATGATTTTATCAATGGGATATATAAAATACAATTCCTAATAATATTTTCGCCATAAAACAATTAACCCATAATTTTCTCTCAAATGATGACCGACGTAACTCTCAAAATTTGGACAAATTGCTCTCAAAATTTGAGAACCAAACTAGCTACCAAAAACAATCATGTCTGATTGCAAATACATGCTCCCACCAATCGAATCCCTCATGCCAGCAATGGGTAACTTCCAGCCATTCATCATCATCCCACAGCAGCCAGTCCATTCAGATCCGGTTGAAGTTCCAAAGACTTCAAAGAAGATGAAATTTACACCAGAAGAAGATAAAAGACTTTGCTCTCTCATCAGACAGTACGGTTCCAATGATTGGATCCACATCTCTGAGATGATGAAGACAAGAAACCCAAGACAATGCAGAGAAAGATGGAACAATTATCTTAATCCAAACTTAAGAGACGATCCATGGACAATTGAAGAAGACAAGCTCCTCATCGCTAAGTACAGACAGTTCGGAACACACTGGTCTAAGATTTCAAAATTCTTCGCACACAGATCAGACAACGCCATCAGAAACAGATGGCAGATGCTTCTTAGACAATCTGAACGCCGTTATCTGAGCTCATCCTCTTCTTCAATGTCTGATGCATAAGTCCTGTAGCCCATATTTTTACGGAAACTCTTTTTTATACCATGTATTTATATTAGCTATATTATTAAACCCTTTCTATCCCTTTACATATTTTAAATTTTTACTCAAAATACCTTGCTAACAATAACATATTGTTTATAAAATTTTTAAATTAGGCTTATTTTCTTTAAATTTGATAACACTAGATACATGCACAAGTTTAACTTATAGAATCTATCATTAATTTATCTCAATTGCACTTGTTGCCCCTCAATTTAGCAAATTTCATAATTATTTTTAGAAATTAAAAATTCCCATTGTATACCTATAAACATTTTATCTTATCCATTTACGCAACTTTATGCTATTAAAAAATTCCTGATAAAATCATATTTATTTTTTTGGATAGAACGATTGACGCATTTTTTCAATTCCCAGTTTTTCAATAGAAATTAATCCTTCAAAACAAACATGATTCAAATATAATATACTTTAAGAATTCACTAGAGTTCATTAAAACCATTCATGATTGAATCTATTCTGAATTGTTCGTTTTTCAATAGACTTACGGATTCATTATTTAGATGATCATTTATTATTCCCAAATTGCAATAATTAATTACAAAACATTAAATAACCGTCAATGGCCAAATTTCAATATAAAATTTCATCCTCCCTCACAAAATAAATTTTATTTGATTTTATCTGATGATTTTAATAAACGGAATTGAATCACATGATGGGCTTTCATAAAACTCGATTATTCATGATGTCCAGGTTGTTCTATATCGATCTTGTTTTCATCCGACTTTTTTTTGAATTCCCATCATTATTTCCGATGTGTTTACAAAAATGATTATTCTTATATTAGTTAATTACTATTTTCTATTTTATTGGGTCAAAAATGAATTTATTTCAGTCAACAATTTTAATTCTCAACCGAAATAAGGTCTTTGCTATTTCACACACCCGAAATCGATATTTCATTATACAGTACCATCCAATATTTTCATTTCTTATATTAATTTTGATCATTAACTTAATTTCCAAATTCATCTTTTCCCAACACATAGTTAAATTTAATAATTTACATCCACATAATAATGATATCATATTTTGAAATAAATTTTCAAGAATTAGCATCAACCAACTAATTTTTGCTGTAAATCAACTGATTTCTCAATTTATTAAGAGTTTAGCATAAAAACAATAGAACACTATTATAATACCATATTCAAGTAGTGTATGTTACCGATTCTCATCAATATTTCTTCTAAAAAACAAAAGATCATTTTTAATATTTTATTAATAATAGAAATAGTACATTGGAATCTTCCCGGTACTATTGGTTTGGTAATAGTATAAGTTTTTTTAACATAATTTTTCAATTATTCATCAATGAGATTTGGTCCCAAGCTCTTTTCTTGTTTCTTGCATTTACAAATGCACTCAGAGTTATCATCTTTGGCAACTAGAGCAAAGATAAGGGCAACTCCACAAGATACAAGTCCGAATAACCATAATCCGTTTCTGTAACCTTGCCATTCGTACTTTGGAACACCAGATGGGGTTGGTTGTGATCCATTTAGTGGAATAATGGCTGCAGATATCTGCTGATAGATTGCGACGAAAATGAACAAAAAGAAGTTTGCAATTCCAACGGCAGATCCAGAAACTGTTGGTCCAAAGTATTCTGTAAGAAGAGGATAGTCTATATTTGTAAGCGTCAAAGACCAAAAGGCGAAGAAGAATAAAACAGACGCCAATGCAATTTTTGTGAATTTGTTACCCATCATATAAAGAAGTGCCATGACTGAGGTGTTAAACAATCCACCAAAGACCATGACCCACTTCTTTGTCTTCAGTAATTTGCTGATCCATGGAATAACAAGAGATCCAACGAACAATCCAACAGAATGGGCAATTAAAATATTGCCAATCTCAACAGGAGTGTAGTTGAAAACGTCTGTTAGGAATGGTCCGTTCCAGTAGGCTGATGCGTTCAAATATGGGCAAGAAAATGTAACATTGAAAACGACAATCACCCAAAAGTATGGATAAACAACGACATTTTTGATGTTTGAGAATAAATCTTTCACTCTTTCTTTGAATGTTAATTCGACATCTCCTTCATTCGTTGGTTCATTAACAGGATCGTAGCCAAGGGACTGTGGTTTGCCGCGAGCAAAGATTCCGATGCGGATAGAAAGGAGAGCACCTGTTCCACCGATTGAAAAGAAAGCAGTTCTCCAACCAAATTTTGCTGAAAAATAAGCTCATGGAGTCGCCGCCAAGATTCCTCCTAGACAGGAAATGGCAACAAGAACGCCTAGTAAAACTGCTAAATATTGCTTTTTGAACCAATATGTCATAATTCTGAGACTAGAAACATAAGTTGGACCGCATCCTAATCCAACCAAAATCAAATGTCAACACATATAATATGCTGGTGTGGTATCATTAAACATGTTTGTTCTTCAAATCTGATTGAAATATAATTATGCCAAATCAAAAATACACTTTTTTAAATCTTAATATATATGATTGTTTACTTGATCTGGTTTGTAGATCAGGTAATATATTCACATAGATAAATGCAAATTGCACAACTTAATATTTTCCTTAAAATTTCTCTTCAGGTTCATACCTAAATAAGCTCTTTTTTTGAAAATTCAGTTTTTTCCAAAAATGTATGAATTCAAAAGTTCAGATTATATCTAGTCATTTTCCAACATTAATTTTGTGTTTTAGTTTTTGAGATATTCATTTTATTATACGTATTATTCAGAAAATTAAAAGAATTTGTGAGGGGAAACGGAGGAGATAATAAATATGTAAAGATGGATGAATAGACAATTTGAAAAAAAAAGCAATAATTTTGAGTTGCATTTATCTCTTTATGTGATGCATATTTTCACGATCTGACAGCAGAAATCGAATCAGCGGAGCCAGAAGAATCAGATTACGTGTGGAAAATAGGTTTTGAACGCTTAGATAGGTGTAAAATGAGACTTTATGAGATGTGTTGTATAATTATAGTTTTTGCGATAATGTGTCATGAGATCAGAATATGAAGAGAGTAAATATGTATTATTGTCACGGGTTTATATGTGGGGATAGCTCGATAGAGTCCCTAAAAGAGATTAGTACGTGAGTAAGGCGATTTAATAAACAAAAGAAAGAAATAATTAATTTTTTTTTTAACTTCGAAAAGATTGTATGAAAGTGTCTTTGATTGTAAGATACATTTAGACCGACAAGAGTGCACAATACACTCTTGTCGGTCAAACTTCCGCATTCAAGTTATGAATGCGGAAGATTGTCTCATTCTGGGAGACATGCAGTGACAATGTCTCCCGGAATGAGACATGCAGACCGACAAGAGTGCACAATACACTCTTGTCGGTCAAAGTTTTGCAATCGCGTTGTGAGTGCAAAAGATTGTGCTATTCCTGCATATTTTCTATGAGCCTGCTTCATAAAATTGAATCCTTCTATCCAAATTAAATGCGATTTCGCTAATCTTTCATCTAAAATCACTAATCAGAAGCATATTGCAAGTTAACTTGAACCGGTATGTTCCTCCTATCCTGTCTTTCAGTTCTTTCTATCAGCCATGGTTCACAAGGAGGAGAGCTTTGCGCACAATCAGACATAAGATTGCGGCAGAGGAACCGGGAAGAGAGCAGCTTGAAGCGGTAAGATGTCCGAATGCTGTCTCCCAGGTGTATCTGTCAGGCAAAGTTCACAAGGAGGAGAGCTTTGCGCACAATCAAACAGAAGATTGCAGCAGAGGAACCGGGAAGAGAGCAGCTTGAAGCGGTAAGCTGTTTTCAAGTCTTTAGTTAACGAACTTTAACAAAAGACATCTAAAAAATTTGAAATAATTGCAAAATAATGCCGTCAGGTAATGCACACCTAAGGGAGGTGTTTTGCGGGAGCTGGGGGTATCTTGGTGAGTACTCAGGAGGCCAAGAAGGGCACCCCAACCGACATTTTGCTGACGCATTGTGTAAGCAACCATTCTGATCACCGCTCAAACCGTCAGGACAAAATAATTTATGAAATTATAAGTCATCTTTCTAATACATATTTTTGGAAGGGCGTAAGATACGCCAACTTAAATATATTATTAAATATGAGAAAATCACTCAACAAAAAAACAATTCTTTCAAAAAGTTTAAAATTTATCTTTCTAATACATATTTTTGGAAGGGCGTAAGATACGCCAACTTAAATATATTATTAAATATGAGAAAATCGCTCAACAAAAAAACAATTCTTTCAAAAAGTTTGACATTGATCTTTCTAATACATATCCTATGGAAGGAGTTTACATTCACAAAATAAAAACCAGTTCAAAATCTTATTACTCCTTGAATTAAAATCATTTAATTTCAAATCCATTCCAAATCCTTAAATCTGTATTAAAATCATTTTGCCAACAACCAACACAATACAAATTATATTTCCATATATCTTCTTGTCCATTTTAATTTTTTATCTCATTTTATTTAATTTTATTTAAAGCATATAGACATCGAGATCCTTTACACATAGTTATATAAAAGTCAAATACATAATAAATTCTTAATTCTAGAGATATCTCAAAATCTCAATTTTTTAATTTAAAATACCTTTCATTTTTCACAGTACTATCACAACAAACAAGCCATTTACTAATTAACACATATAAGAAAAATATCAAATTACAAAACAACTTTCAATATCATTCGCATCGAATTCTATTTTTTCATAATTATCAACTACATGTTATTATATAATATATGTCGGCGCATATTCCACTCTATACAAGTGTCAGACACACTCACACAAAGCTGTGAGATTCATACCTCTATCAGTAGGACTTCTCAAATCAAGAACACATATGTTTCACTATCGCACATCTGTGTAGGATCTAATCAACCCTTTGGACTGGTACTTCAAAATTTGATAATTTGATAATTTCATGTGATATCATCATTTGCCTTTAAAACAACTGTGCGTTAAACTAGACACGTTTCTCTATCATAATGCAAAATATCAAAGTTTGGGAGACTCCCAAAGTGTCTGAAACTGATCATAAGGGTGAAAACCGTTTTCCAGAAGTTGGGAACGTAGGGTATTGAATTCTTGAATTAAGTTGAAATAAAGATATGTTAAAGTGAAATAGATGCATAAAAACAATTTAATATTTATTCTATTTTTGGAATTGCAGCGTTGTAGTGTCCGCCATGAGAAGTAAAAGTGCTGTGGAATGTTAAATTAATAGAAGCAGCGAATTCACCATATTTCTGAGGTGGAACACCAACAGAATGTACTATAATGGAAACATGAAGTGCATTAGCCAAAGCGGAAACTTCGAGATTATCTCCCCATTCTGCAGTAGTTTCGATAAGCTTGCAGTGCTTCTCAAGTTCTTCAACAGTGCCGTAATTTGAAAATGGAAGATATTGATCTGGATGAGACATGATCTCGTTGGCTGCACTTTTTCGAAGATCAAGGTAAGAATCAGCATTGTAGCCGGATCTACCGAGTGCTGTCATAGCAGCAACAACAGCTCTGAATAAGCAATGGCCATCTCCTGTAACTTGACGAATAACTAAGCCAAGAGGCTCAATTTGTTTTGTTAATTTTTCTGTTTCAATTTGGCCAGGTGTAATTTCACTTGCAGCCTTAAGAGCAGCTGCTTCTAATTGATATTTGGCCTTTAATTTCTTTTCGCGTTGAGCTTTTGCGTTGGTTCGTTTTTTCTTTTGTGGTTCGGCTGGTTCTTCAACTTGTTCAGCAGGAGCGTTTGCTTTACTCATCTCTGCTATTGATGCGATACTGGAATCAACTTCTAATGATTGATATTTTTCAAATAATTCTTTTCTCATTTGCTCAGCTTCTTTATTGATTCTTTTTCTCTCATTTTTAGATTTGGCTCCAGCAAGCATCTCTTGAATCTTCTTTTCGAGTTCTTCAGATTCTTGCTTGTGCTGAGCACTGATGTCCATCAAGAAAAAATACTAAAGATTTATTAAAATCAGAAAAGAGGGAATACATCGATGAAGTATACTCTTTGAATTTTTAGTCTAATTCTTTACATAGGTGCTTTCCAATTGTTATTATATCAATAATGACTAGAACAGTTTCACATAGCGCTTTCATGATATATGACAAATCAGACAATTGATGTTCTTTGGAAATAAAGATTCTTGTACATTCTCAGATAAACATTTGAATCTCTCATAATTGATGAATACATTCTCTAGTATATAAGCATGTATTAAGAGTTTGAGCTAAGTTCAAAGGAATATGCCAATATAGAACAAATTCTTCGAATGAATGCTATATGAATGAAAATGACTTTATCAAAGTTCAATTTTTATAATTTTTGTTTGAGTTATAGCCTATTATGATAGATTCATGTTCTGAAACAGCAATTTTTTTCTATTATGAAAGCAATTTAGAGGTATTCAGATAAAATTCATATATGGGTAAATTCATGTATTATAGTACAGTCATGTTATCTCTGTTATGGTTGTTTTGACATCAAAATTATTGAAATTTCAGAATGTCAGTAATACTCTTGATCAAAGAATCCATTCTCTTTTACTTTCTGAGAATGAAGCAATATCCTTCCAATTCACGCACGTAGTTACCATGACTGCCATATACCAACATTCGCAAAGATCGAATCTTTTCGAATTTGAATGAAATAACGTTGAGATTCTAATTTCTAAATCAAATTCAATATCATATTTAGTACAGTAAAGTAGAATATCCAAATTTTATCTTCATTTCAAATTATAGCGGGTGTTTTTTTGACAAAAATGACCATCAAAATAAAAAATTGTTTTCTAGACCCAAATGTGATCTAAAAATTTTTGTTATTTAAAAATGTAAACTATAAAACCGTCAACTTTTTTGATGACATCGATATTTCGTTTAACAGTCAACTCCGGTCAAACAGTTCCGATCGAGTTTAAGGAATATATGATGGTCACAATCTCCAAGGGCATTTTGATGGTTCGCCCAGATCAAACAAGACCAGTTCTTGTTACAATCAAATATATGGATCTTCAAGACAATAAAGAGAAATCCGAGAAACTCTGCGTTTTCGATCCAGGACAGACAGATGTTGTCATCGAGAACCTCTACTACGATACACAACGCCCAACAATTACAGTTCCAGAGGGCGCCACCGTTAAGTTCGAAGGTGTATTTACATCATCCGAAGAATTTGCGGATCACGATGAGGAAGAAAATTCTTCATCCGAGGCACAGGATGATGAAGAAGATGATGACTTCCAGGCTGAAGAATCTGAGTAAATTATTATAATATTTATTTACAATTTTTTTAGTTTAGTTTACTACCCTGATATTTCTTTAATTTACAATATTTTTGATCGTTATAAGCTGAAATCTATGATTTGTTACTTATAGTATAATACCTATATTTAGTTGTAGGTATTACAATTATGATGAATCTAAATTTATGATTTGAATCCTCAATAATTCAAAATATTAGGTTTCATTATATATATTATGAATAGTTATGAGTTATCTTGTTTTTAATTAACCAGTACATTAATAATATAATATTTTTAGTCAGCTAACAATAAAAAGCAGATGACAATTAAATCTTGAGGGTAAAACCACCTGTTACAGCAACATTTAACAAAACATTTCCTTGTATCTTGAGTCCTGCTAAATGTTTTCCGTCTCTTGGAAGCAATGCACGAGGGAATGATGTGAAAATTTCGATTTTTTCAACCTTTTCAAAAACTTCTTGAAGTAAGAAGTCATAAACGGCATCAATTGTTTCGTTAATAGCAAATTGAGCCTCGACTGCGAATATGACCTTATTTGAACGAATGTCAAATTTAATTTTCGCAATTTTTGGAGAATATGTAGTTTTGCGAACGTCTGCAAATGTCTTTGGCTGACCATAATTCTTAAGATTCAAATCAGAAGATTTGACTTTGAAGAAATCATCTTTTTCCTCGCAAGGTTTAATGCCTTGGCCTTCTGGTGTTTTGGTTACACGCATGAATCTCTTTCCTGGACCTGGCATTTCCTCTGGTGGTGGTGCTGGCCTTTCTCCTGTAATTTCTGGTGGTAATTGCATTGGTCCTGAAGCTGGCTGAGGTGCTGCTGGCTGTGGAGCTTTTGGCTTATTCTCTGAATCTGCTATTGTTCTTCCTTTGCCCTTAAATAACCTGTTCATGAATGAAATTTAATGATAAATCAGAATTTAAATCAGACTCTCAGAATTTTTTTTCCTATAAATTTTCGCTCTCTAAAAGTTCGCTAATCCGTAAATTTTAACCTCACAGATGCAATAGCATACTTACATCGTAGACGATCTCTGAGCCACATGGAATCCTATAAATTTTTTTTGGTAATTTTTTATAAAAATTTTATATAATATTTTTCCGTGTAAATCATTCAATGCTCACATTTTTTGAATTTCAGACGGAATCATTTTGGTCAAACATCATCGAAAATCATCGTAATTTTCAGCTCACATCATGTAAAAGATGTCCACAATGTTCTTCTTTTAAGTGGATCAAAATTCAATGAAATTAGATATTAAGGAAAAAACCACGCTTCATCTTGCAGCATTCAACAATAGCAATGAATCATTTAACTATCTTATTTTTCATGGTGCTATATAATGTTTAAAATCAAAATGGATTTTGAAATCCGATTACTACATCTCTTTCATCAGAAAATGTTCTTGAAAGAAGATCAATTCGTTTTTTTTTTGTGTATTTAAAATTCTTTTGCTTGATACTGATATATTTGATAGCTGCATATACATTAATTTATAACATTCAATATTTACTTAACAATCATAAAATTCATAAAAATCATTTGAGATTTCGTTATCGCTTGAGTTGCTATATGAAGAACTGAAATCTATACAATCATTTTGAGGAATTATTGCAAGTGGATCAAACCTAAAGTACTCACAAAATCTAGATTGAGAGGCGGTCAATGACTTTTGAGGGGAAATTAACGCATGGAATTTAATATTATTTAGGTTGATATTCTTGCTTATTATTTCAGAAAAAAATCTTAAAAATTTCAATATGAAAATTGAAAGCAATTCAAAAAAATTGCTAACATGTAAATTTTAATATCCTATGCATAATTTCATATTTTGAACATTTTTTATTTTTGTTTAAAACTTAAAATTTTGCGAATTTAATATAATTTATAAAATATAATACGTATATATATTTAAAATACACTAAATTTAATTGTTAATTGACGTTTTTGGGAATGAATTTTATCAAAACATGCCTGAATCCGAAAATTTGAAAGAACGAATTACACAATCATATATGTAGAATTCAAAATACAAACTTAAAGATTGTATACGTTTAAAATTATTCAGATTGTGTTTGATTTCCACTCATTCTGTTTCTTTTGAACTCTAACACTAACATTTCATGATGATTACATGATCCATTTATACATGGTTGAATTGTTCCAGATTCTACCAGAAAATCAATCCAAATTTCTCAATGCATTCATGTTGATTGGACAAAATTTAAAATTTATCAGCCTGTTTCCAGAGAAACTCATATATTCCCTAATGAAATGTAATTTTTGCTACATTTATTTCAATCAAATTTCAAAAAATTGACTGCAGAGCTTGAAAAGGTGATGAATCATGTTGTTATTAGATGTACATATTAGATTTACTATTTCCAAAAAAATGCTCAAATTTGAATAGTTTTTAGAAAATTTGGAATTACACTCCTTACATTATATATAATTAAATGTTTAAATTTTATTTATTTTTCCCTTTTAATTTTATAACTTGCTCTATCAAAACTAACCTCTCAATTGAAGGCCACAAAATCTAAGTAGTGAGGGTACACAAATTTTGTATGGAGTACGGTTCAATTTTTGAGAGCCTCACTACTTAGATTTTGTGACTACCTTATTTGAATTATCATCTATAAAATTATTTCCATCCATGTTAGGATTTTCAAATAATTGATTATTTTGAATTGGACTTACATCTTCCATTGTTCTATTATCTACAATTCTATTGCTATTTACTGCTTGCTCATTTACAAGCATTGATTCATTGATTGAACGAATACTTTCAATTTCAACCATATTTTTTGTTCTTCCATCCTTTATAATTTGCGGGAGATTTTGACGAACATATTTATAAATGATTTCAGCTTCAGAATCATTTTCGAATCTATATTGTGCTACAATTCTACCTCTTTCTTTTGGATCTATAATCACTACTCTATTTTCATTGGCAGATTTGAATTTAATCGAGTGTAATGATGATTTAGGAAACATGAATATTGTGAAATATTGATCAACATAAAAATTTCAATAGCCTTTGAAATTTTAAAAAATCACTGTTTTATATCATTTCAGATTTCCAAGCAAATCAATCCTACTTTCGGATCTATTCGGTGATGTAAAGTTAAGAATTTTGTGTACGTACCCAACGTGCTATAGGTTCATTCAAAAAAATACTCCAATCAAATAAGATTATTCTGCCATTGCTATCAAAAAATATTTGCATTAAATAACAATACATGAAAGCGATAATTAAACGCAATAATTCTGACGTATTTTCTGAATCGGGGCACAATTTTTTTTGGAGGAGAATGGAATGTAAACCACTCAATATTTGATGGCATGGATCCGGATCCTGGAAAAAAATATATGTGCCAAGTCGTCTTGAGATCTAAACGTACAGCTTTTATGTGAAGCTATTGAAAGTGATGTATGATAGTGAGATTATAATACACACACATTGTCTCTTTCCATAACTAATATATTGTTAATTAAAGACATCTAATTCTTCAAAGTTTGTATATGAGATTATCGATTTCAAAAGTAATACAACCCCTTCATAAAAAAAAATCGAAATCTTTGAGGTCAATAATCATCACCGGGAACAATCTCCAGGAAAATGGCCAAAAGCCGATTATTTTCCAGGAAAAATATCAATTACACGTTTGATTTTAATACAGAATTTTGAAAATTTCTTCCGATTGGTATTATCACTTCCCTCAAATACATATATTTATTATAATTTTGTTCAGCTTGTGTTTCAAACATTTGTCTGTAACTTAAGTAAAAATATATTTTTGTAAAATAGGATATCAATTTTAGAAAAGCATCAACTTTATATATATTTTAAAGGTTAAAAATGTATATGATAAATACGTAAAAGTTAAGCTTTAATTAATAATGTATAAAATAAGTAACACATATTGAACTTAAAGATCACAGATCTTATCGCCTTCTGTTTCTTCAATGAATCTGTGCTGATTGACCAGACTATCAATAGTATTTTTAACAGATGTCTCAAAAACTTCACCGCCAAGGATCATTTCATCGAGGAGCATATAAACATAGTAAAAACTAAATATAATATCGATTTCGCAAGCATTTCCGAAGAATTGATCGAGAGCTTCGACGAAGAATTGAATGAGGTCAAGGACGAAAATTTCATTATCTGATGCATCTGCAGCGAAGAGGAAGTAAAGAGAGGCGTAGCGTGTATAAACAATTTTACTGTCTCTCCATTCGACAAATTGGCAATGATTTTGTGGTCTGCGAAGAACGAGACGAGTGACTTCTTTGGTGATTGCATTTTTCTCTCTTTGGCTGATAGCTGAGTACCATTTAGAAATACGGACTTTACCAGCCTTGTTGAACATGAGGACAAATTGGATCATCTCGAACCTAATGAATTTTGGTTGTCACTTTTATATATTCTTAAAAAAATCAACATCAGGAACCAATTCCTACATATTTTTATAAAACACAATACAAATATTTGAAATTTCTTGAAATTTATAACCTATTTTATTTTTATTCTAAAGATGATTATTTATCTCAAAATCCTAAGTTTTGTTCTTCACGAAAGTCATATAACACCCTTGTACTATTCCAGTATAACCTATCCTGAAAGTTTCAAGACCAACTTTTTGAGAAATTACCTCGTCGGACAACCTTTTTGAAAACATCATTTGACAATCAGTGCATACATCCTGTTTGCTTATAAAAGTTCTTTTCCCATCCAAAAATCTATCCAAAAATAATCATTTGGATTGAAATACCTTACATAATATTCAATTTAATTTATTCTTTAGAATAATACATTTGAAGAGGATCTTTAGTTTCAAATATATCTCCAGCAGCTTGAAATTCTCGATTTTATTCCATTTGATGATTCGATGAATTCATTGAATTTTTTTTTAAAGATTAGAGAGAAGAAAAAGGTAGGATTTGATTTCATATAACTAGTATAAAATAAAAACAATTTATTCGGCTTTAATTTCAGCTTGAGCTGCTGGAATTGTTGTCTGAGGCTGTTGTTCGACTTTTTCCGCAGTCTGAGGTATGTTTTCTTCTGGCTTTTTATCTTTATCGGTTTCAGCAGGTGGTTCTTGTGGAATTTGAGGTGGTGGAGGAGGAGGCAAAGGATCGTTTAATTCATCATCACTTTGTGTAGTAATCTTCAATTCACCTGTTGGATCAACCTCAGGTGGTGGATGTGCCGTAAGTTTAAATAATCTTTTAGAAACAGATAAAACTTTTTCTGTCCATTCCTGTTCGAGAGTATCTGGGAAATGTTTCATCTTTTTGTCAAACCAGTATTTGGCCTCTAAAGCCATGTCTGTAAACAAAGTTCCTTCACCATTATAAGCTCTTGCGTTTGCCCATATCAATTCAACATCATCTTTGAACTCTTGTACTGTTTTATACTTATCTTCGGATAATTTTCTTTTTACTTCTACTAAAGCCATTGGTTTTGATACAAATTGATAGTAATCAGGCGCTCCATCTCTCTCAGGGTCAATAAGTTGGAGAAATGGATAGCATATTGGAAAAGATATCAATTTGTTTATTATTTCTTCGCATCTTGTCTTTTTAAATCTATTCATTGTGTCACTTTTTAAAATTCTTGTCACTTTTCCAACACATCCATATGCTTCGAACTTATCATATAGAAAGAGACTTTGATCTTATTCCGATGAACTTTTTATGGATGAAATACCATCAGATTCGATTTGTCTCTTTTGGTATCTGGTTTTTAGGCCTATTTTTAACAGATTTCACCTCAATTGTTAACACACCATTGGATGGCTGGACTGATGTTCTCCAATACATCAAAATCATTTCAATTATCCATATTACATTCGTTCTCATCTTCTTGTTTTACCTTCTTTTCAGACATTTTACTGATATTGACGCAGATGCACCTAATTGGAAGATGTTCTTCCATTCAATGTTCGATTTAAGCATCCACTTAGATGTAGGAACACTTATTTTCGCTTCAAAATTCTTCAAAACAAATAATTCTTACAATTATAAATCTTTATACGTAGTCGAAGTGTTTGTCGTACTTGATGCAATAATGACATTCTTCCTGACACCATTCAAGAGATGGCGCTCAGCTGTTGACGTCATAGGAATCCTTCCTACAGTAATTCTTGCTCATGTCTCTGTTTATGTCAAGAATTTCAATTATATCTTCGTCTTTATCCCTATTACTGTTGTTCTCTTATGCCCTCTCATATTCACTGTCTTTACTCTTAGCTTTTCTTCAAGAATTTCAAAATTATCCAGAAAAATTATTGCTTTCTTCGATCCATCATTACTTCCAAACGCAATGATCGTTCCTACATCAGTCCCACAGCATGATTCCTTGATGGAGAACCTCAGTGCGAGTACAAGATCAGAAGCTCCTGCAATTACAGAAAGAGCAACAACTGGTGATGAAAACGACTACTTCGACTTCAAGTCTGTACCATTTGCATTCGCTGCTACGTTTTTCATCCACTTTGGATGCTTCTGCAAAGAAGTTCATAATAATACGATGGTTGTCATGGCCCATTACTTCCTAACACTCGCAATGATACTTATTAACACAAGAGTCGTAGCTTTCCCTGCAATTATCCTTACAAATGTCGTAGATACAGCAGTTACTTTTAATAGTGTTTGGCCGGAACTCAGTTTCGTTTAATTTGCTTTTTATACAATATTTTGATTATAAATTTCATGAAATAAATTATAGCTTTCGTATAAATTTTTTATATGATTTTTTTTCCCTCTTTTTTCTGAAGAGAATAAATACCGAAAACTTATATCCTCTCCACATCTAAAAGAAAATTGCTTAAAATAAAAAACTACATTGTCTAATTATTTCTTCTTTATTTCTGGTTCTCAAAATCTGAGCAAATTGAGGTATCTAGTAAACAAACATTTGATTAATACAACATTACTTTCCTATCTTAAATTTTGAAAAAATACCATTGATTCATCCTATGTGTATGTCTGTTTTATGATTCTTTGTTGTTATATCGAATTAGAATGTATAGTTTGTGCAGCTAGTCAAAAGACATTTTTTTGACTTGAAGTTTTGGTATTTTTTTTTTATATTTTTGTTTTCATGGATTTAGAGTCAATTAAACAATACGATGACTTTATTTCAGCGTATGACAAGCTATTTCACACGAAACCAAATGAATCTGATGGAGAATACTTGAAATTAATTAACGATTGCATAATTGATAAATATAAAACACCGAAACAACCATTGATCAAAAGTCTTTTTAATGCAATCATCTATAACTATCGTTCACTTCCTAAATATTCCAAAATTATCAACTATTTCTGCGAGAAGTTTAAAATAGATCCTTTTAACGAGTGGCACAAAATCTCAAATTATAGTACAAATATAGAAACCAGTTTTCCTAAAGAGGATAACGTTCGTTATCTAATCATGTATGATGACATTGAAAAATTCAAAGATTATGTTATTCAAAAACCTTTAGAAAACTTTTATTTTCATGTTGGTTCAATTGTGTTTGATTCGTTTATCGAATATTCTGCATATTTTGGCTCTGTTAACATTTTTAATTTCCTCCGTATGAATTTTCAAATGGAAATCACAGATCATTGTCTTGAAAAAGCTATAATTTGTGGAAATACAGATATTATCAATGAATGTATGAAGCACAATGAAATCGATGCAAATTGCGTCGCAGCAGCCATTGGCTCACACAACAATACATTTCTTCAATATATAATTGATCATGATCTTATGAAAACTTACAACATTAATGGAGAAGATATCATTGCTTCACAGAATTTGAAAGCTATGTTCATGTTATACAAGTATAATAATAATTCAATAATACCATGGTGTGCAGAGTTTCCACAATCGATTGAAATCCTTAAAAATGACAAAACTCTTGATTTTTCAAAATGTGATTCAAGCAAATGTAATATGTTGCATTATTCTGCACTTTATGGCAATGCTGATATTGCCAAGCTTTTATTAAGTTGTCCAGAGATATATCATATAAATATAAATCAAAAAGATAAATATTCGAATATCTATAAAGATGTTACAGATATTCTTCTTTCATATGGTGCAAAATATGATAATTCCATTATTGATATTATAGCACAAAATGATTGTATTGATGTATTAGAGGCATTCCTTTCACACGGCTTTGATGTTAATAAAAAAGAAAAAAAGGGAAATTATCCACTATATTATGCAATTACAAATTCTTCAAAATCTATTGCAGAACTTCTCATTTCACATGGTGCAGATGTAAATGCAATAGATCAATTTCACAATTCATTATTAGATTATGCTGTAAAGTTCGATTCGATTGATGGCGCAGAAGTTCTTCTTTCCCATGGAGCAAAACTCAATTTATCACTTCATGAAGCCATTCTTAATAGCCAATATGAAATGATAGATACATTAGTTCCCTATTTTCAAGATTTTACCTTACAAGATAAGAAAGGTAGAACCACTCTCCACTGTGCCATTGAAAGAAAAAACAAAGAAATTGCGGAGTTTCTTGTTTCACATGGTGCTGATGTTAATATCAAAGATAATCGCGGCCAAACTCCACTTCATTACGCAGTATTAGAGGAAGAAACAATACAATATTATCCTCTAGATAGTTTTCCTAACTTCAATGACCAGTTGGCAGATTTTCTACTAAAGAAAATTAATGAACTAAAAGAAGAGAAACAAGCTCAAATAAATCTACTTATTTCTCATGGAGCAGAAATAGATCTAAAAGATGAAAATGGTAATACCCCACTTCATATTGCATGTGAATACAAAAACAAGAATATTGTTGAATTCCTCCTTTCACACGGATCTAACACGAATTCTCAAAATCACAAAGGAAAAACACCCCTTCAAATTGCACTTGAAAACGGCGGTTATGAGATTGCAGATATTCTCAAGTCACACGATGCAAATAAGAAGGTTTAAAATGATAATGGAATAAATGATATCTATAAGGTCGCCAAAAAAGTGCGGAAATTAAAAACCGCAGTTTGAGTACTTTCTGAGGGTCTGTTTGTCAGAAAGTATACATTTTTAAACTTTCTGACACTAAAAAAATTTTGGTCCTTTCAAAGTTTTTGACAATGTCAAAAAGTATACATCGAGGTTCTCAATTTTCCTCTCAAACGGCGGTTTTTAAAAAACACTCAATTTTTCATCGACCTTATTTTTTTTTTTGGAAGATTTCATAATTTTACAGTGATGTTCAAGAAGTAATCATTCATTTAGTCCCATATCAATAATTTCTATTTCTTTTTGGTCGATATCTTTGTATACGAAGAGATTCAGCCAATTTTCTTATGTAATATGATATTACTATAAAACAATGATAAATGGTATATCAGATTTTGAAATTTATAAGAACAGCCATTTCAGCAAAAAGTGACAATAATGACAAATCATTCTTTGATTTTTAGATTTTTACTAGGAGAAATTTGCAGATTCTTTCTATTTTTCTGGCAACTAAAGCATAGACCAGGAAAGTACTCAAAAGTTACACGAAATTACATTCTTTTCGCTTTAATTGCTGCTTCAATACAATATCTTTTTAAATATTTAGAATATAAAATCACATTATTTTCACTAGGTGATGAGGCATATTCTATGTCCCGAATTTCGGTTTGGATTGGTCTTTTATTCCTAATATGTGGTTTTTGTTTGCGTTTTCGTGCTATTAACGTATTTTACAAATATACATCGGTTAGAAGTAACGAAACTGTTGATAAAAAGAAGGTATTAATAAGAAACGATGTTTACAAATATTTTAGACATCCAAATTACTTAGGAATGATAGTTTTTCTTATTGGCCAAGAACTGTTTATCCAAAATATTATCGTTGCTATTATTACTGTTTCAATTGCTTGGAAATATTACTTTGAAATTATCAAAGAAGAAGAAACAAATCTTGTAGCTGCATTCGGAAATGATTATATATCATATAGAAACTCTACTCCTTCACATATTCCGTACATTGATTAATTCAAATTTTATTTGCTAATTTAATCCAATATAATGCTTAGTTTGGCAAATCAAATACGTTCTGGATTTTTTTTATCATGTAATTTTAAGAAAATTATTTTTTGTATTATATAACTCAGTTTTATTCGATTTCAGTCATGCAGACACTCTTATTTCTGAATATTATTCAGAAATATTACTATAAAATCTTATGTTTGTTACTTCAAGATATAATAAAATTTTATTGTTTCTTAATACATTTAAAATTCACTTATATTTAGATATGTCTCAACAAAATAGATATAATGCTACTTCTATTGTCGTGTTTTCATCTAAAAAAATGTTGTAAAATCAAAATTGTTGCGATAACACCAATATTCATGGATTTTTCATGTTTTCATACAATGATATCACCAATGAAGCAATTTTAAATATCTAACTCCAGTGATTATCATTAATATACCCTTATCTTCATGATTTATCTAAGATATTTATATGGAAGATAGATTGGTATTTGCATATTCATTTTAGTATAGTGTAATCTCAAGAAAAGCATTCTAATAGTGCGAAAAAGCCATTTTACTGATATTTTTCATCAAATCTGACATGTAAAAATCAATTTGACAGTAAGTAAATGTCAAAATTTTGACAAGTAGTTCTGACGGTTTAACTCAAAATCAGTTGGAAATGGTCGATATTGGAGAGGACCAAGGTGCTATGAAGAAGATCTTGAAAGTCCTAGTTGTCGGCGAAATGGGTACAGGCAAGACTTCTTTAATCAGACAGTACGTTCAAGGTTTTTTCAGTGAATTTTATAAAACAACAATAGGCGTTGACTTTGCCACAAAAGAAATCGAATGGGATGAAAAAATTACTATTAGCCTACAGCTGTGGGATATTGCCGGTCAAGAGCGTTACGGCAATATGACACGCGTATATTACCAAGAAGCCGTTGCTGCTTGGGTTGTTTTTGATGTTACAAGATTACAGAGTTTAGAAATGGTCAAGGAATGGAAGAAGGATATAGAATCTAAAGTCTTTACCTCTACAGATCAACCTATCCCATGTTTATTATTAGGAAACAAGATAGATCTTGTCAGTGATGGCAAGTGGAACAAGACACCAGAGGAGATGGAAGAGTTTTGTAAAGAAAACCATTTCCTCAAGTTCTTCGAGACATCTGCCCGTTCTCGTACAAACGTCGAGGAAGCAGCAAGATACCTTGTTCAATATGTTATGGATAACAAGATCGAGCCAATGAGCGCGAAGATCCAATCTGTCGATCTTACTCAACCTGCTGATAATAAGCAGAATAAAGGCGGATGCTGCAACTAACTTTTTTATTATTCTTTCCTCTTCAGTAAAATTAATTACTAAGTTTTGACATATTACTTATATGAAAAAAATTTGTTAATTTTTTTTATAAAAAATTCTGAAATTTCTGAAATTATTTTTATTTTTTTACTTAATATATTTATTGCATATGACCTCTGTTGATAAGGATGTCAATTTGGAAGAAAAGTGAGAAAATTCCTAAAATGCTAAAAATGAATTTTCCAAACGTGCTTTTTTATCTCATTTTTTTGATTTTGAAAAAAATTTGGAGAGAAGAACTCTTCGTTTTTGAATTTTGTCACGATGGGTTTAAAGTATATTAGACACATGTATTGATATTACTATTTTTGTATATTTTGAGAGAAAATCCCTAAAAAGTGAGAAAATCTAAGACGGTTTGAGAAAATATATAAACTATTGAAAATTTGAATTAAACTTCTAATTTGGAAAAAAGAAATTTGGAAAGAAGAAAAATCAAAAATCGAGATTTAGACTCAGCATCAAATGGAGAACAAAATGTTTCTTCATATGAAGGGAAAAAATTTTCTTGTGAACAAATAGAGTTTTTAAAATTTTATTGTATGTAATGAAATAAACAAATATTAAAATTATTTTTTGATAACAAGAAAATTCCCAACAGAAAATATTTGAGACAAAGAAAAAAAGAAAATTGAAAAATATTACTCTCCTTTATATTTCATGAGATTTTAAATTTATTCTCATAAAATTGACAATTTTATACGTTTAGATGAAAATAATTGATTTTGCTTGAAATAAAAATTATTGTTTGCTTACAGCTATCAAATAGATTTTTGCTATTTTGATTAAAATTTGTTAATCAAATTAATAAATTTTTTGTAAATATCTTAAATATCTGGATCACTCACTGATACAATGAATTGAACGATAAAAATAATACAAACTCAACTAAGTTTCCTGTCTTTCAACTCAAAAAAATTATGCAAATTAAATTAAATTGTTTATTCAAATATTAAACAAAGATGAAGTAATTACAGTTATCATAAACTTTATGAATAACTCTGTAATTGGTTCAGATTTTCGTAAAAATATTTTTATTAATATCGATAAGAATACGTTTACCTACTATCACAACATATCGATAAACAAGAGTAGAGTGATTTTTATCATCGAAACTTTTTAAAAGCTGTAAGCTGGAAGTAAAAATCTTGTTTTTTCTGAGTTAGTTGTAGAACTATTGATGCACGAGTTATCATTGTGATGTAGAAGGATGTCAATGTACTGACTGAAGGATATGAAGTGAATTGAATTTCATTGCATTTCAATTTGATCAAAATTTGTTGAAATGATATGAATGTGTCAACATCTGTATCACTCTCTTTCACTCCTTCCCTATTTTTTCGAGAACGAAGCTAGCTCAGCTTTCGCTGAGCGAATTGACACTTTTGATGCCCTAAACGTACATACTCTCAAATTTATCGAAAAAAATTATACCACCTAAACTAGTATATTCTTATTTTAAATATGATATTATCCTTAGAATCCACACTAGAATATATTTAAATCAACTTTTAAAAAAGTTCGAATCCTGCGCGTCTCACTTTTTAAATTTTCCAAAAGGAAAATTATATTCTCCTAAAATGAAAACAATTTTCCGAATTGACATCCTTACTGTTGATGTAATATCATATTGAAAATGAAAGTTTGTAAAATCACAATGAAGATGAATTTTTATTTTAGTTCTTTGATTTGAAATATAATATTAGGAAATTGCATCTTGGAGATATATCCTATAACTGTGCAATTTAAATGTTGTAAGAAACTATTTAATAATTTTGGGGTCCATAACCTCTGAATTTTTTTTTTAATTTTGGATCCGAGATATTGTGAATAGTATACCCATTTTCATAAACATTGTCTCAACTTTCTGAATAAGAGCAAGTTCAGCAGACAAAACCCATGAAAATGATTCTATATATAAAAATACATGATCTTTAGAGATATTATATGTTAATTCAAATATCTTGATGACATCAAGCAAAGATATGCATTAGAAATCAATATGTGCACCATGTATAACAAGATAGTTTTCTATTTTTTTATGTCCTCTTTTTTTTTGCTATACAAAGAGGTGTTTGCCCTTTATTATCTTTTTCATTTATATTTGCGCCGTGTGAAAGAAGCATCCTTACTATTTCGATCTGGCCTCTTTCAACTGCCACAATAAGAGCTGTTTCTCCGAATCTATCCTTTACGTTAACATCAACACCATGCTTAATTATTAATTTTGCGGCTTCTATTCTATTATTATCCAATGCGATAAAAAGAGCTGTTCGATTATGATAATCTTTTTCATTTATATTAGCTCCATGTGAAAGAAGCATCTTTGCTGTTTCTATACTGCCTAAATACATTGCTTTAAAAAGAGGTGTTTTTTCATCTTCATCCTTTTCATTGATATCTGAACCCTGTGAAAGAAGAAACTCTGCTGTTTCTTTACTATTATAATATGCTGCATTGTGAAGGGCAGTTCTGCCAGCACAATCTCTTGAGTCAATATTTGCACCATGTGAAAGAAGAAACTCACAAAGTTCTTTACTATTTATTTCTGCAGATATATGAAGAGCTGTATTACGAGATCTACCTCTTGCATTAATATCTACTCCATTCGTAAGAAGATACTCACAAAGTTCTTTACTAAAATAATATGGTGAATAAACAAAGCATTTATTGATTTCATTTGTAACATCCAAATAAACCAAAAATGCTTGAAGATTATTCCAGATATTGCAACATACTAAATCGATTTCCAAGTTATATTCATTCATTAAAAATGCAACAAAGTCAATGTTATGTAAAAAAATTCCACATCTCATGCATTCTTCATCTGGTTTTTGATATTTCAAACATTCACTCATGATCTCTTGATTTCCTCCAAAAAATGATAATTTCAGACATTCTTGTGTTATTTTTGAGTTAAATTTGATACTCAGAAAATTTGAGAGGCAAAATTATATTTATCGTTTTCGCCTCAATTTGGAATGCCGTTGATATTTTTCATTTAATATTCATTTAAATGATTATTCAAATGTTGCTCCTATAATAATTATGTCCTACGGTTTTATTTTTAGAATTCTAAAAATTATTGTCGCATCACAATTGTTGGTATTTCGAGTACACTAGATTTGTTGCTCATGCTTTAAATATATTGCTCATTAGAAATATTCCACCTAGATAATTGTGTGTGATTATCTTCATTGGTATTAAATATTTGAAATGAATGCAAAACATCAACAATCGAATAAAAAAGAATTTGCAATGACATATTTTTTAGTTTAAATGTTATTCAACATAATAATAATTTATAAACTTCCATGATTGAGGGCTCACTATCTTAGTTTACAACAATTCAATTTTTAACACTTAAAGTTACTTTTTCCCTATGATAGAATTGATATTTTTATGAATAAACGTAAAAATAGCATACATTGTTAACTTTTAAAAGATACTTGAATCTAAAAAAGATCTCTAGATGAAGACTCAGTGATTAAATAACCTACATATTTGTAAACTAAGGCAGTCGCCCCTTAAAATAAATGAAATTTAACAATAATTAATACTACAGTATCGATATTTTAAACAAGATAACTTTTCTTGTTTTTCTTATCAGTTAATGGCCAATGAAACATATTTGAAGTAGCCTGTTTAAAAATAAAAAAAATTTATCAAGAATAATGTATCTTTAAATAAAACAAAACTATACATAATAAATAGAATCTAATATTAAAGATAGAAATCATACGTCAGATACAACAACGTTTTCTTGGTTGTAATTTCGCTCGCAAGTACTTCCACGAGGTGGAGAACCTGCTCTGATTTCAAATTCGTAGTCGTCATCGTACTTCTTTGGCTCTAAAACTGTAAAATTGCAGAAAAGATTCTCTTCAACGTGCATAATCGCGCCTTTGTTTTCGTACTCGTTGCAGTAGTTCGGGACTGAGAAAACAGTGACTATACTCTGCGATTCTGGGAAAGGAAACTCGAATCCGTCCATAATTGCTTGATGTGCGCGACAAACAAGGTCAAAACCGAATTTCGTAAGGAAGTCTTCAACTTGCTGAGGTCCAAAACACCATGAGACACCTCTTTCGTTGTTTTCCCAGTCTGTTGCATCGGCCGATGGATCTGACCACAAAAGATCGGCAATGAGGCCTTCTTCTGGGATTTCGAAAGGCCTCTGAACATCTCTGATCTGATCGAGAGAGTTTAGTTCAGGAGAAATGCCGCCATGAACACAGAAAATCTTGTCTTCAATAATAGCGGCAATAGGTAGACAGTTGAATACTTCTGAGAATGTAGTGTAGACGTCGATGTCGAAATTAGATATACATTCATCATAGAAGCCATATAATCTGTTGATATAAGTGCATTCGTGATTTCCTCTTAACATGAAGAAGTGATCTGGGTATTTAATTTTATATATGAATAACAAACATACTGTTTCGATGCTTTGTTTTCCTCTATCGACGTAATCACCTAAAAACAGAAAATTTGCGTTAGGAGGATATGCTTTTGATTCAAATATTCTAATAAGGTCGTGAAACTGTCCATGAACATCACCTACAATGGTTAAAGGAGCTTTAAGTTCCAGTAGAATTGGCTGTGATAAATAAATTTCTTTAACTGTTTGACATAAATAATTTATCTCTTCAACAGTGATCCCAGAAGGGGTGCCTAGTGGTTTATTGATCACTGTGAAGAGCTTTTGCTCTATCTGATCAAGATCCATTTTTTCGAATTTTTTTTTGAGAAAAATTTCAGTTTATTGAACAAAACTTCACTGACCAAGTATGTTTGATAGTGAACAAGAATTCATGGAAGATCTTATCCTTGGAATAAACAAAGGTACATTCACTATTTTTGACAAAATTTTAAATTTTCATGGGGTTGTAAATCTTATAATAACTAGATGAATAAGGAATAAATCCCAGTATGATGTGCATCATTATATTAAACACTATATGTAAGCCTTGTAGTTCTATTAACACTTATGAAGATCTATAGTATTTGAGCAGATAAATTTGATAATTTCCAAAACTCTTATATTTCAAAATTAAAGTGTGCGAATGCATTTAAATAAGAGCAAAAAGAGAATGATGCTGTTAAAACTAGGTGTTAATTTCCAATTATTTCGCATCACAAGAACTACCCAGTAAATTCGGCTATCTTTCTTTGCAATTATTTTCTATTTTACATATATTATAATGGTTAGGGTTTGAAGAAAAGTTACTAGAGAATTATTGACTTTTGAAATAATGCAGAATTTTACTTGAAGAAATCATTAATTTATGAGCTCCAAATTGCTAACCATGACGAAAAATCATTAAATTTGCTACAATTAAATACATTTATTGCCGAATTAAGATTTTTGAAATTAAAAGTTTGAAATATTGCCTTTTTGAATAAAAATTTAAATTTGATTATATAATCATGATAATATATTATTGAAATTAAAAGAAAATATTTTAAACCATTCAAATATTTTGAATGTCTTATCAATTTAAAATAGTAAAAGATAGCTTGATTTTATCATCATTAGTTGTTATCAAAGTTTTCTTCTTTTGATGAACAACAGTAAATGATTTGTTAATACATTGTCTTCCTTTTTCGCAGCAAAATCAAAAGTTATGATGATAATCTTGTACTCAATTTTGAAACTCTCTGATTTACAAGTAAGCATTCCTTTGGAAAAGCAGTCCTATTCTGTTTTCAAGATATTTTAAAGCCCCTATTTCATACAATGTGCAGATCTATTCGAAATTGCAAGAACTCTCAAGAAAAAATGCAGCAGCAAAGAAGATTCCAAAGTTTCTAGCATCAAAAATTTACAACCTTAATACAACAGTTAAAGAGAAGCTCGATAAGAAAATATTTAACCATAAAGCTGGAAACTATTCGATATCTACTATTGGATATAATAAAAAGTTAATTGTAACATATTTTATATGCTATTTGCTGACTCTGTTCCATTATATTACCATATATATCTTTTTGAAATCTAAAAAAATTTTACGATTTTAACCATGTGTTGTTGAAATCATATATCAATCTTAGCTAAAGTATAGTTTATGAGTCTGTCACCAACTAATGTATGAATTTTCAAAAATGTCAAATATGTTCATTTTTTCTGTATATTCAGCCATAATTTCATGTATTTATACTATTCAACTATTATTTAATATTTTTATCGATTTAAATATATGATGAGATGCTTAGTTCTCCCGGAAAACGATTTTTAATCACAATTTTAACTTTCCAAAAAAAATTCGAAAATAAAAATTCCTCCCAATTTTCTAAATTTTCTAACTAGCCAAATCTCTAGCCAAATTTTTTTTGGCCCGTATAAATATTGTTAGGCACTATATAGGGATGCTATTTATCCTATTTTCATCCCATTTTACTGTTATCGCCTAGTGAATGTACCTTTGAATAAACGAACCAAAATTTACATCCCTTCATTTTTTTGTTTACTTGGCAAAAATTTTCATAAAATTGTAAATCTCCTAGAAAATTATGTGAAATTGCTGGTTTCTGAAGAACGGCAATCGATATTATACCAAATGGAGTATATAGAATTTAGTTATCAAATACATTTACAGATTTACTCACTGAAATTACTTAGAATTTTTAATATTGAAAGAATAATATTATAGAAAAATGAGATCCCAACGTTTCTCTGCGATGTTTCTTCCTTAAAATGCTCGCCAAGCAAAGAGATCAGTCAATATACCATAACAATTTCAAAAACGTTCTAAATTTTATTATTTTTTCGATAAAAAGCAGTAGGCAAGAAGTATCTATGTCTATATTCACTTGAGAAATTACAAAGAATCATCCTCTATGTGATTTTTTAAACCAATTTTGATAAAAATTAAAAATATGAAAAATCATAAGTTTATAATAAATGAAATAAAATACTGATAAGCAACCTTTTATTAACAAAGTTGTAAAATATTATAAAGCCATTGATTAATAACCGAAATTTCGGTTATTAATATATATATTTTTTTGCTTTCTGAAGGGACTTGATTCATTGGAATAAATCTCCCACCGAAGAGGTGATAGAGTACACCCAGAAAAGTTGGCAAATAAAGATTAATTTGGTTGAGCTGGATTCTTGTTTTTCTTATTCTTCTTTTTGTTCTTTTTCTTCTTCTTAGGTGGTTCGGCGTTTGGAGCTTGGTCATTCTTATATTTATGATCTGTAAATTTAATATTGAATTGTTTGATGATCGCTTTGCTATTACTTTCTTGGACATCCTCGACTTTCTCCAAATCAAAAAGTTTGTCTGTTGGGATTTTCATTTTTTCCTTGTAACTAGCAGCAAAAGCAGTAAATTCTGGATCAGCTTCAATTGATGGAAGGTTTTTGTTAACACGTTTATTCCTATCAACTTTGGAAGTTATTGGAGCAAACTCTACTTGAGGATGGACCTGACCACCAAATGGAAGATCGAAAGTAAGATTTGATAAGCCTTCAACCATCTCTTGTGGGAAGTTACTACCGCTAATTATTGCAAAAGTTGTGCAAGGAGCTGAAGTATCTCCAACGATATCTGAAGAATAAACTTCAAGGGTTGCTTGTCTTTCATCAATAAAACGCTTGACAGCTGGTTGAGATACAAGAAGATTATAATCAACCGCCGGAGGCATCTTTCTCAATATTACCCTCTGGTAGCCTTGGGGAAACATTGAAAAGTGACATCACCTCCTTCATAGTCAGAAATGCTCAGCATAGTTTTCTTCATCAATGCGCTAAACAAAGTTAACATACATAAAATTTAACTTTAGAATCGCCAATACACTCATTTGATTTCAGATTCATCACAATTTTAATCAATCCGTTTGATATTTCTATTTTGTGAACAGTTAACACAGTTGTGTTTCGAGTTGTAACCCTGAGATTTCAAAATCGATCATATTCAATGTAGATCATTATGAATTTTGATATAAGCCTTATTTTATCCATATATTAGATCTTCATTATCAAAATTTCACAAAAATACAAACCAACATATGATTATATGGACTTAGACTTTCCAAACTAAAAATTCAATTTCTATTATTCAATATTGAGGGTAATTGCAATGGACAAATAATTGGATATACCAAGTATATATACTTTCTAAGTAAGATAGTTATAAATTGCATTTTTAATTTTTGAAAAATTTATTCCGCCTTAGATATCCTTATAACTCTAAAGTTATCAAAGATCAGTAATAAGTATTAATATTATCTAGAAATTATATTTGATTTTAGCAATATCGAGCAATAATTGTAACAAAACGTTAATTTGTAAATATATTTGGTCTACCCTATATATCAGCATTTTATATCATCATTCACATCTAAATTTTTATAAAAAATTAGAGCCATTTGAAAAAAAAATTTCAGCCATAACTAAAAATCTCCCGTTGATGTCTGCAGATCGGGAGGTTTTTTATCAAGAAAAGTATAAGCAACTTATTGAAAAATACGAAAAAATACCAAATCAGTCAATTTCCGTTCAACATAACTTAGCAATTCTCCATTATTTAGTCGATGGCACAAATCCTTTCCCAACTTTCATGGATATAACAAAGAAAATACAAGTGGAATGTGATTCTAACAATTTATGGTTAATTCATCCTTCTTGGGCTCTTGTAAATTATCATATCGCCTTATTTTACTATCAGCGCTGCCAATATGAGAACTGCAGTTATATTTTAAGTTCAATTTGGCTTCATGCTGACTTTGTCGATGACTTAACTATGCTTTTTGTTTCGTTATTATCAATAGACTTAGTTAGAACGGTAAACGATTGGAAATTCTTTGACAAAGCACGCGCATTTCTTGCTGAGAAGGTAATTAAAGGCGAACCCGTCCCCGCATTGAAGCAATTACTTGTAAAACACTTTGGAGATACTCCACGTTGCCATATTGTTGAAGATCAGATTAAAAATGTATCCATGCAAGTTAAAATTGCCAAATACATTACATCATCCGATGAACAATCGAAAAATGACGTACAAAAATTATTATTGCAGTATACGAACCAGAAAAGCTTATCTATTCATCAGGCTTTTCCATTACTATCAGCAGCAGTTTATGTGAATAATAATGCTGCTTACGGCAAAGTTCTTGATTTAATTCAAAATCAATTTCAAACAGACACTTCTATCATTAATAATCGCGGTGTATATGATATTCTCAAAGAGAAGTATTCATCAGCGTTATTATATTTCTCGAATGCCTTGAATACTCGTAGTAATGACGAAGTTACAAATCCATATCATCAAGTTTTGTATAATATTGGCCTTTCTCTTCTTTTTAAGCAAAAGCCACGCAAAGCTTTCGAAGTTTTCCACTCATTGATCCCTGTAATCCCTAAATTCCCGTACTTATGGCTAAGATTAGCTGAATGCTGCGTAATGTACTACAAGAAACACGTTTCGAAGCTCAGAGCGAAGACACAAATATCCCCAGTTATCGCTCGTCGCTTTTCTACCCCTACAAGGTCATTTACGATTCTTCCAGCGTCAAATGCGAAAATTTACAACCGTTTTCGGGACACAAAGAACGGCATTTTCGAGGATTTGAACCTAGAATTCGCCCAGCGTTGCGCCCTGAACGCAGTTCATCTCAGTGACAAAAAAAGCCAATTATTAATTTCGGCTTTACTCATTTGCACGTTTGTTTCGCTTGAGATGTCTGAATGGGAGCAAGCAGCGAACTACGTTAAGGAAATTATCTCAAATACTGACGCTGATTCCGCAATTAAGTTCACCGCGAGAGTTTACGGTGCACAGGCATTATGCATGCTTCATGATAAAGAAAAAGCCATTGAATACTTAAGGACACAGATTTTGGAGGTTGCAATTGGTCAATCTAAGAAATCTATTATGTTTTACCTTACGTATGCTCAGCTTTATATTCTTAATCAGGATTATGAATCAGCACGCGCTTATCTTTCGAAAGTGACTGAACAGGGTCAAAATGTTCCGGAATATGTTATCACGAGTGTTCAGTATTCGCTAAAGAAAGGAGATACCAACGATGGACTCAGAGTTCTTAGCGAATTCACTCAGAAAGAAGATGACTAAAGACATAATTTTTTCTTTTACAGATCTTCTTCAAGAAACGATCTGAGAATTATAATTTTACCATTTTTTGCTTTTTTATGTTTTGACTTACATACTAATTATTAAGCCATGACTTTTTGAATTTTTTTTTACATTTTCTTCAAGAAACGATCTGAGAATCATAATTACACTACGTTTTGATTTTTTGTGTTTTGGTTTACAGATAAAGGATCAAGAAATGTCTTAATTTCTAAATTTCCTTCAGGAAACGGTCAGTGATTACTCGTTATACTATTTTATGATTTGTTATTTTTGTTCTACAGATTAATCATTGAGAAATGCTTTTTTGGATCAAATTTTCTTAGATCTCCTTTAAGAAACAACCCAAGAATCACACTTATACTACATTTTGCTTTAGTATTTACTAGATTATACTCCAACAATATACAATCACGATTTGGGAAAAAAATAATTGATAAATTTTAACATTGTAATATGAAAGATCATCAACAATATTTCTTACTTGTACACAGTGTTATTTTTGCAAATAATCGTCTCAATAAACTATGTGCATTTTATCAATATGACAATGAAGAACCAACATACAAATTTGTTGGTATTTCTGATAAATGGACTCGAGAATGGGAGGAAAAGAATAGAAAACAAAATAAAAATAACATGATGCATTCAATTATCAAATGCATAATAGAAATACCATCCAAAATCTTTTCATATTTTAAAGGATACGAATCTATTGAAACCACACCAGCAAATCCATCTTTCACATATAAAGAGAATGATCCTTTCGTTCCACTCTGTTAATATGGACAGTCTTTAAAAAATTTATTGGAAAAGATTTGAATAAAGCTTCAATCTCATAATTTTTTATGATTAAAATCAAATCTATTAATTCCTAAAATAATGATTGCTTCAAATCCGCAATTTCATGTTTTTTATTTGCCTAATTTTTTTTCCTAAAAACTATTGTTCATCATGGTCTACAACACAAATACATGATTAGATTTTCATTTCTTTGTTTACAAATTTTAAATTTTTTTTATGGAACCTATAGAATTGCGTCCGTCTGTTCTATATTATGGTATTATACCAGTAGCAGACAGACCAATTTCCCAGGAAATTATTATAACAAATCGGAGTACAAGCTCAATGCTGATAAAATTTAATAAAGTTTCGTCAAATTTCTTCCGGTTTACACATTTTAATAAAATTGTAAAAGCGCAGCGTAAAACTGGATTTGATATCTTTTATAATGGACAAAAACTCGATAATCTGACTCTTCATCCACAACAATCTGTGGAAGTTAGTTGTGTTATTCTTCCATCTCAAATTAAGCAGTCATTACCAATAACAATTGATATTCCGATAGATGCATTTGAATTTGATGAAGAATATGCAGATTCTTCCGGTGATGGCGAATTTTTAGATGAAGAATCTGATACAGAACCGCTTTATTCAACAAAGGCGACTTTAACAATTAACGCTATTCTGTCTTCTGCATCGTATGCCATTGAACCAAACATTTTATACTTAAATAATTGCAAAATCAATCAGACACAAACGAGAAAAGTAACATTACGCAATTTATGCGACTCAACGCTTCCAATTATGATACATTCAGTTCCAGAAATTGAAGTTTTTACTCCATCTTTACAAAATTACATCTGTTTACCACCAATGAAGTCAGTAGAGATCACTTTGAACCATACACCAACGACTCTTGGCCTTTTTGAGCACATAATACCTTTCGATTGTTTGATCAAAAATGATACTCCTCAAGCTTTAAGGATAATGACAGCTGTTTCACCAGAAACGATTCCACATAATTTTCCAGTTATACATCCCTCTGAAGAATTAATAGATTTCGGTCAAGTTTACGCAGGAGAAGAATGTGAAACAGAATTATTCATAGAAAACAAAAGTGACATCACATATAAACTGCATATGTGTTCTCTTGTTGAATCGTATTTAGATTTGCCATCCAGCGTTCACGCGTCTTTGACAACGTCATTTCAACAAATTATCGATTCCTATTCGAAAAAGAGCCTTCCTACCTTGTTTTTCAAGACCACATCTATGTCAAAATCATCAGATGATATCGAAATTGTCTTAGATTCAAAGTCTACAACGTCAATAAAATTATATTACACTCCAACATTCAACAAACAAGCTCCTATTAATGAATTTCATCGCAGATCATTTATCATGATCTTAAAATTCATAGATACTGTTTCTGAAAAAAGTTATCGAAAATTTTTACTTTGCAGCGCTAATGTTTGCCATTCCCATGTTAGCATTAATCCAGGCAACATGGATTTCGGCGATACTGTCGTTGCAAATACGTTCAAATCAGCTACAGTGATGATTTCTAATTTATCTCCTCTCCCAACAACAGTAAAAGCCACGTCGAGCTCAAGAGCGATTGCTTGCTCGCCAATACCAGTCACAGTACCTCCTCTTTCTGAAGTTCCTTATAGTTTTAATTTTTATCCAAGAAAAGTTAACCCAGAATACACAGGACAGATCACATTTGTCAACGAAAGGAACCCAAACAACATAATCAACTTCTCAGTGTCAGCAATTGTCGTTGCTGGCCAGAAAGAGTCAATTCATTCAATTTCTTATTCACTTTCAATAGATAAGAACCCAATTAACTTCATTAATTTCAGGAATGTTGTTTCCTCGTTCCCTGCCATCAAAGAAGTAACAATTAAGAACAAAACTAAAGATCCTTTGACATTATTAATAAAATCGAACAACCCAGATGTTATATCCATCTGGATAGACCAATCTTCCAACCAGCCATCCACTCCAAGAGTCCCTAAAACCCTTCCTGCTGAGATTTCTAAATCTTCAAAGCTCCTCACAGACTTTACAAAACCGTCAAATTTCAGAGCACTTTACGAGTCAATGCGATTAAATTCAGACTTTTTCCACGACATGTATACACTATTTCCAGAGCATAAATCGTCCGAAATCGTCGACCATTTTACTTTACAAAAAGAATCTTTCAAAGATCTCACAAAAGACAACGATAAAACTAAGAACATTACCGGCAAACAAATTACTATTCCACCATCCTCCAAACTCCAGGTTTTCGTAGTTTGTATTGCAGATAAAGGAGAAAATCCGAATATGTTCATGCACAGAAGGTATTCTCTTAGTATTATCATGCCTAATGTTGTTGATTGTGAGCCATATTTGCTTCCTATCAGCTTAAATGTCGCTACAGCTTCGATTTTCCTAAATTCCAGATCATTAAATTTCGGAGCTTTCAAAGTAAACACGAAAACACAACATGACATCCTTGCATCCAATGAGTCATGTGTTCCTGCACCATTTAGAATCAAATGCGAGTCTCCTTTGAACATAGACAAGCATAACATTGGAATAATCATTCCTTTGTCAAATATCAGAGTTCCTTTCACTTTTGCACCGGTTGTTGATGGTTCTTTCCACAAGATTATCAAAGTAATTAACGTATTAAACGAAGACGAACAACTGGAAATAGCTGTGAAAGCGAATGTTGAGAGAGTAACCAATTTCATTATTCATCCTTCTGAAATTGATTTCGGAAAAGTGACAGCAGGAATTTGTTCTGTTTCCATTCCTATTTTTATCACAAATACAAGTCAGAACAACAACGAATTCACGTTCAGCCATGCCACTAAGGAATTCCAGTTCTGCAAGCCATTGATCATGTTTAAGATCAAAGAATTGAGTGAACGAGCATCAACAGACGCGATGAATCTTCAAGTTGAAAAACTGAAACGAAAACAGAAGATTTTATTACGAAAGAAGAAGATGGAACGTGTTGAAACCATCCAACACATGATTGATGATTTAATGTCATCACTTAAAATCCGCGAATCACAAACGAAACTTAAACAATTAGGTGCAAAATTCCTTGACTGCTTGTTAATTAATGCCGAACCATTACAAGTTTATTGCATTGAATTACAGTTAATTCCATCATTAGGTGTTGGTCGTCGTTTACCATTCGACGTTGGTATCAATGGTACGGTTATTGTATACGAGAAAGCTAAGACAGAGACGGAGATCATGATCAAATACAAAGCACACATTGTTCCACAACCACAACGTATCTTAGATGCCGTTTTAGTTCATTCAGTTAATGTTGAACCAAGTTCATTAGATTTTGGTCAAGTTTATGTTCACGAAGCGATCAAACGCAAACTCACCGTTACTAATGTTTCTAACACACAACAGAACATCTGGTTCAGTGCAAACAGTTCGAGTGATGCTATCATTACAACTAAGTTTGGTGAATATTTCTTGAAATACAACGAAAGTATTGAGATTCCATATGAAATCTTCTTCATCCAACCAGGTCGAATTGTTAAAGAGATCAACATCACAACACAGACATCATCCCAGAAGATCCAATTAACAGCACAATGTTGTTATCACGATGTTCTTTCATTCTCCGGTTTGATTGATGATACTATTGATTACCAAACTATTCCATTGACATCATTGCGTATTTTAGAAGAACGAAAAGTTTTCACCGTTACAAACATCACAGACAACAATGTTTATGTTTATATCCAAAACAAAAACACGAAGGATATCTTGATCTACGAGAAAGATCCTAAAGCTCCACTTATCAAACCATTCTGTTTGCAATCTAAACACAATGTTTTACTTAATGTTTTGTTGAAACCAGAAATCGACCGCGAAAGTTATCATAATTACAAATCAACTGTTATCGATGAACAGATCAACATCACATGTTTCGAAACCGAAGAAGAAGCATCTGCCTTCTCGGCACTGAACAGTGATGATCCCGATTGTATCTTCCAGAAAATTATCAAAATCAAAGCTATTATTGGTCGTATTGGTTTGTTGACATCCGACACATTTAGTTTGTTCAAATGTGTTAGTTCATCCAACGAACAAATCGACATGAAGATGACCATCAAGAACCGATCTACACACATTCCTATTACAGTCATTGCTAGTGCTGTTCAAGGCTTGAGTTTGTCGGATTATGTATTTAATTTGGAAGGTCGTAAATGTGGTACATATTCACACGAATTCAGTTTAACATATAGTCCAAGCAGTTTAGGTATTAACGAAGCTCAGATTCGATTCACGACTAATGGCAATCAAAGCTATTCTAAGTCAGTTACTATCTCAGCATTTGTTGATCCTAAGCTTATCAAAACTAATCTTGGTAAACACGATAATGGATCCGATTTGTTGAACATTGGTGGTATTTACGTCCAGAACGGTAAACCAATTTTCCAAGATCTTTCATTTGAAGTTACAAATATCTCTAATATTCCAATCCGCTTCGAGATCCAAGAACTCCAAAAGAAATTCTTTTTGCGACAAAAAGAAACAACTAAAGTTACATTCCAATTCCCATTTTCAACCGATTTTTATAATCCACAAGAACCAGATTTCTCATATCGAATGTTTGTCTACAATTTTTTGACGAAACAAGTGATCAAAGTCATTTATTTAGTTGGATACTTTTCCACATCCATTGGTATTTTAGATCACGATTCTATCAGTTTCGAACGCTTTGGTGAAGTTAATCATTGGATCCACAAGAAAGAATTCTGTTGTATTGTTAATCAGTCTAAGATTCCTCTTCATCTCCACTTAGTTTCCACACCAAATTATGTTGATGTTCCAACCGAAATCGGGCCTATCGAAAACAACGGTAAATATGAATTAGAGATCATTCCAAAAATCGACGAACTTCGTAATGTTGAAGGGGAAGTCAATACGCAAATCCGATATATCAACACTAACAACATCAGCAACATATTAATCATGAATGTTAGTTTCAACATTTCAGCTAGTTTCATCCGATTGGAACAAATTGATTCATTCAAATGGCTTAGCTTTTCTGCCCTTCCTTCTAAAGCTATCAAAGATTTCAAGGATATCGAAGGCGAACTTGTTAGTTCAACATGGTTTTCAGTTGTTTCTACTATGGATGTTGAAACTACAGTCAATCTTTGTATTGATCTTTTGCGTCAAGATGATTTAACTATCGAACTTTTTGGCCGTGCTAGTGGTCGTCCTCTTCAACAACTTGTTCTTCAACCTAATGAACGATTTGAGATCCGTATCAAAGTTACAATGAAACAAGGGAAGAAACTTGATGAGAAAGATCCATATTTAGGCGACATTGTCTTCGAACACGATGGCTCCGAATCATTATCTATGCCATTAGTTTATTCACCAACAGACGAAACTAACAATGAACAATCTAACAACCAACAACAGAATTCACAACAAAATATTCAAGTTAATAGTAATTCCCAAAATCAGAATCCAACTAATTCATCGGAACCGAAACCAGAACTTTTATAATTTCCTTTTCTTTTCTTTTTCTAAATTTGTTATTTTTTGTTTTATTTCATTTCTTTTTATATAAGTATATTATTAACATTTTATAGCTTGATTTCAGTTCCAGATATTAAATTGATTTTGGAGATTTTGTTTCAATTTTTGAAATTTGTATATGATATTGACCAGAGAATTTTCATTATTTTACAATGAAAGTTAAAAGTTCTGAAAAGCTGAAAATTCAATAGATTTTTTCCAATCTCAGATATTCTTTTATAGTAAAAAAGATTAGCAGCTCTATTAAGTACTATACAATGATTTAATGTAACTTTTTGCGAACAAAAAAAAAGATTATTGTCACTTTTATAAATTTTCGCCGAATCACCTCCATCGTGATTCGGCAAGAAATAGGTCATTTTTAAAGTATGACTGGAGTGATTCATATGATGGTATTGCTTCACCAACTGATAAAACATCACCTCTTCCTTCAGGGAACAACTATTACTTCAAAGAATGCCAAGTTTTTAATTCTCAATCCAGTGTCATATATCTTTCATCTAGCACAGATAATAGAAAAGTTCTTGCAGAAAATTCTATTTTTGTTAATTGTCGCAGTTCAAAAACTACAATTCTTTACCAAAATAAAGGACAAAGTGTCCAATCTCGAATTTGCTCTCGAAATAATGCATATAATGGCTTTGGTAGTCATTCATATACATATTGTACTAATCAAGCCGGTTTCAAAAATTTCATGAACGAAACAACAATTTTTGATATAAATATTGGTTCAGGCGGTACATCTATTGATCATAATAAAGGAGATATAATTGTAGATAAAACAAATTTTTCTTTTTCTACTTCACTAGTTCCTTCAATTTTAATCAGAAATGGAGTAAATGTTAGTAAAGTTTCTTTTAATTCGATTATTAACAACACAGCAACTAGTTGGATAGTTGCAGTACATCAATCTACAAATAGTATAGATTATAGATGCAATTTCATTGGGAATACTTGCAAAAATGTTATTGATCAAGAAGTAGATGGCTCACTACAAGTTATTGAATGCATAATCATTGATAATTCCATTTCTCAATCGATCTTTGGCATTTACGGAGGATCTCTTGAAGCTATTCATTGCTTTTGTGAAAATTCAAACAATAACTTTGGAGCAGTTACCACGTCATCAACCCCAACAATTCGATTTGAAAATGCATTAAGACATTTAAGTACCGCAATTTGTCAAGCGAATTTAAAACTTATCGATAAAAAAAGTCAAAATATTTCATCCAGATATGCTCAGTATGATACAGATCTTTTGTTAGGAATTATAATGATTATTAATCTTTATGATTATTCTAAATAAAATGAAAAATAACATTAATACAATTATTTTTCTTTAGGAGGTTGATAATCATATAATCATTTGTTATCCTAATTGATTAAATTTTGTGAAATAATTATTTTTGAAATTTATTCATTCCACAAAGGAATTCCAGTTCTGCAAGCCATTGATCATGTTTAAGATCAAAGAATTGAGTGAACGAGCATCAACAGACGCGATGAATCTTCAAGTTGAAAAACTGAAACGAAAACAGAAGATTTTATTACGAAAGAAGAAGATGGAACGTGTTGAAACCATCCAACACATGATTGATGATTTAATGTCATCACTTAAAATCCGCGAATCACAAACGAAACTTAAACAATTAGGTGCAAAATTCCTTGACTGCTTGTTAATTAATGCCGAACCATTACAAGTTTATTGCATTGAATTACAGTTAATTCCATCATTAGGTGTTGGTCGTCGTTTACCATTCGACGTTGGTATCAATGGTACGGTTATTGTATACGAGAAAGCTAAGACAGAGACGGAGATCATGATCAAATACAAAGCACACATTGTTCCACAACCACAACGTATCTTAGATGCCGTTTTAGTTCATTCAGTTAATGTTGAACCAAGTTCATTAGATTTTGGTCAAGTTTATGTTCACGAAGCGATCAAACGCAAACTCACCGTTACTAATGTTTCTAACACACAACAGAACATCTGGTTCAGTGCAAACAGTTCGAGTGATGCTATCATTACAACTAAGTTTGGTGAATATTTCTTGAAATACAACGAAAGTATTGAGATTCCATATGAAATCTTCTTCATCCAACCAGGTCGAATTGTTAAAGAGATCAAAGTTACAATATTTTTACTTAAGGCGAGTTATGATTTTCATTGATAATTTGCACCATGGGAAACAAGAATATCAATAATTTCTTTATTATTTTCATCAGAAGCAACTTGAAGAGGTGTTCTTCCTCTGCCATCTTTTTCATTGATATTTGCACCGTGTGAAATAAGAAACTCAACTATTTCTTTATTTTTGTTTTCTGTTTCAACATCACCAAATAATGATTTATAAAAAGCTATCTGATGGAGGGCTGTATCTTCATATTTATCTTTTTCATTGATATTTGCACCATATCTGAGAAGGAGTTTAACTATTTCTAAATTATGATAGGATACTGCATTTATTAGACATTTATGCCCACAATAGTCTCTGTAATTAACGGAGGATCCATGTGAAAGAAGTAGTTCAACTAATTCTGTATTATCAAGATATGTTGCAATCACAAGAGCAGTTTCTCCTTTTTCATCTTTTAAATTGACATTTGCACCATGTGAAATAAAAAGTTTGACTATTTCTTTGCTGCCATCGTGTACTGCTAGATGAAGAGCTGTACTTTCATTGATATTTGCACCATGTGAAAGAAGAATTTTAAAAATTTCCAGACTATCAATAAGAACTGCTTCATGAAGAGCTGTTACTTCATCATTATCTTTTTCATTGATATTTGCACCTCGTGAAATAAGAAACTCGACTGTTTCTTTACAATTAGAGCGTGCTGCTTTATGGAGTGCAGTGCTTCCAAATATATCCTTTGCGTTGATATTTGCACCAAGTGAAAGAAAATATTCACAAAGAGATGGAGTATTAAAAATAGATGAATAGACAAAACATTTGGTGATATCATTAGTTTGATCATAATAGACTAAGAATGCATCAAGATTATTGTAAAATCCACAGTATTCTAAATCGATATCTATATTGTATTCATTCATCAAGAATGTAACAAAATCAATGTTGTGTGAAATAATTGCATGTTTCATGCATTGATAATTTGGTTTTTGATATTTCAAACATTCACTCATGATCTCTTTGTTTCCTCCTAAAAATGATAATTCTAGACATGATTGTGTTATTTCTGAGTTAAATTTAGATCGTAATAACTTGAAACAATCAACTGCTCCATGATAACAACATAATTCAAGTAATGAATACTTATTGTATGAAAACGCTTGTATTGGATATAATTGGCTAGAAAGTTTTTGATTTTTATCAAATTCTTCTTGTTCTGTGAAAAAGATGAATTTTTCAAGATCGTTATACATAATTGCTCTGTAAATAGTATTTTCTGAATGAATATCGAGATTTCTAGTATTAAAATGTTTGACATAACGTGATTGGTTTAAAATAATTCCATATTCTTTATTAAATAAGTATGTTGAAATATCTGGAATGGGTTTGACCTCTTTTACTTGATATTCATCAGTGATGAGTTTAGCAAGTTTCAGGTATGACTTTGCATAGCGGTTATTATACGGAATTATTATTAAAATAGACTTCGCAATAGTTTTGGGAGATATATTCTGTGAATCAATCAAGTTTGTTTTGATCATTTTGTAAATCGAGTTTAATTCATCGTCATTATCGGTTTTTAACTGATATAATGCAGTGAATGAATCAATGTGGTATTTATAGATGCTTTTCAATTCACTGTATTTCTTTGGATTATTAATATCATCAGACATAAAAAAATAAGGAATTTCTCAGACCAAACAATATCTATCGTCATCAGGATGTTGAAACTACAGTTAATCTTTGTATTGATCTTTTGCGTCAAGATGATTTAACTATCGAACTTTTTGGTCGTGCTAGTGGTCGTCCTCTTCAACAACTTGTTCTTCAACCTAATGAACGATTTGAGATCCGTATCAAAGTTACAATGAAACAAGGGAAGAAACTTGATGAGAAAGATCCATATTTAGGCGACATTGTCTTCGAACACGATGGCTCCGAATCATTATCTATGCCATTAGTTTATTCACCAACAGACGAAACTAACAATGAACAATCTAACAACCAACAACAGAATAGTCAACAATAAGAGCTCTTACAAATGCAACAAATCCTTGTTTTAATAGTAAAAAAGTATTATTGAAGCGCATCAATTCGGCTATGTACTTATTCATATCCTGCTATATTTACTCTTGTGTTTGAATAAACATAATTTTTATTTTACATCATATCTTCCTGAAAATCTTCCCAAACTTAAATAATTTACTTCCGAAATAGAAATTAACTTCCAAATCGGCATCACTAGTTCTATATCATAATTTTCTTCATAAAAAAATTAAAAATTTTAGGTCCAAAAATAATTCATCTTTTGTTGCGAAATATATTTTATACCTGTTTTAGTTATGAAATCATCTATTTAATTTGTTTATATTTTAAAAAGGAAAAAATCCTAATCTCCTTATGCTACGGGCGTGGTGTAGTTCTTCACAAAAAATTTTTGATATTTATGTGTTCCCCGCCCAACACTGTTTGTACTTTTTAAAGTTTTTTTGTAGTTTAATAGTTACGTCTTATGCATTGCAAACCAAAAATTCTATTTATTTCTCTAATATAATTTTGGTGCGGTTTTGATAAAATCATCATCTTCATTAAATTGTTCTGCAAATATATTGTCACCCAAATTGTTTTATTTTTAATCAAAATAATAAATGTTTTATTTTTAATATAATCCTTCGCCGTTAAATTCATATTACATCATTTGCCTATTATTATTTCATTACAATCATTACAAAATACACATTATTAGATTTGGGAATTCAATAACTCAACTTATTCACAAGATGTAAATCAGATCTCAAAATCCTGCATTAGGTTTGAAATATCTCTATTATACAAATAAATCTTACAGGCTCAATATTATATTCTATCAGTATTAGCCAAATAGTATGAAAATTTATTAAATTATTTGAATTACAAAAAACCTATCCTTTTAACAGCATTGATCCTAAAATTTTCTCATTTTAGAGGTTTTTGATGTTAAAATCTGTAATTTAATCAACTTTCGTTACATTTGCAATTATTTCGATTATTACTGAAAACTGTTATATCATTCTATATAATAAACCATACTACTCGACTCGCTCTTGTTACCATTTGAAATATTTACTTTATATCTCTTGTAGATATTCTAGAAAAATGCTTTTAATACACGATGTTTTTTAACGTACATTTTAATCGTCGTGTCCATAGCTTTTACAGTTCACCTTAAGTGTGCACGGGAGACGATAAGTCGCCCTCAGAAAAGCACTTTTAAGATTAATATATTGGATGCTTCGAAACGTTCCATTCCACATATTGCAACACAATTAAGGTTAATTTTGAGTAGTTTACCTATCATCGCCCGGGCACCTTTAATTCAATTTTTAGAATTTAGAGTTGAGTGATGAAATATTAATATCGTAACTCGATGATTAAAGTAATTATAAATTATTTGTGTCACTTTTCTAAATTTTTACAAAATTTTAAAATTTTCAATGAATATATTCCGAGACTATCGAATCGTACAAAATCAAGTTCTTACCGATGAGTTTATCAAACGAAGCCTTATAGCACTCAAAGTTCAACTTGGCGTTTCTTCAAAACAAATTTATCCAAAAGGGTCTATTTCAGTTTCTGACGACTGTTTTATTATTGCTATCCTTAATAAACTTAATTCATTCATTATTGCAAAGGTTTATGTTGTTATGGATTATGAAATGCTCCCAGGAATGGTGAAATACCCACCAAGACATTATTTTACAGTTAGTGCCGTTGTCACAGTTGCAAAAGAGTTTACATCAGTTGTGCATATGCTCAATGCTGTTGCAGCCCAGAAAAAAATATCCCCCTAATTATGCAATTAGTGACGAAATTAAAGTTTTCAATGGTTATATTGGCTGTTACTATGATTCTTTTTCATATAAGAAGGATGTATTATTGACCCTACATGACAAAGATGATCCTGAAGAAATAATTTTAAGAAGTGTTTATTATATAAGCTACAATGATGATCCTAGAAATAGAATCACCGTATGCAAAAAATGCGGTACTCATACTACCAAATATCAGTACATTAAAGAGCTTCGTCGATTTGATTTAAGAGAATGGCAAAAACATGTTTATTATCCATTCGAAAAAATGCTCCAAATCTAGATGAACACATCCAATGTATAATAATTTTTTTATATTTGACCGTTCAAAAAAACTTATTTTGATTCTTATTTTTTCTTTTCTATAAAATAACCATGTGTTTTGAGTTGGTAAGTAAGAATAAATGATTTTAACATGCTTAGATATACAGGCTTGATATGATTGCGCTTACAATTATTTTGGAATAAATTTAATCTTTCAAAATAATTAATCATTTCTATTTTTTTATCTGAAATCAATCAATACTTTTTTAAAAGGCTACAACATCACTTGTTCGAGCTCTTCTGCAAAATAAAATAATATTATTAAAAAAATATTAAATTAAATATACAAACAAAAATTTAAAAATATAACAATAATATTCATGGTATGAAATAACCCTGACAAATGAAGAAAAATTATTATTAAATTAAAATAATTTTTCGACAGAAAAACTGGAAAAGGCCTAAAGAACAGGATCTAGAGGAGGGAAAGGCTTTCCGCTTGGCAATACGATGTCTCTGTGGAATAATTCGTTGAAACAAGGGTGAGCCATGGCTTGTTCCGCAGTAATTCGTTCATTTGGATTGTATATAAAGCATTTCTTGAGGAGATCAATCAAATCTGGAGGGGTATGACCAGGTAATACTTTTTCCAAAGTAGTTTCTTGTTGAACGTCAGTAGGAACTGAATTTCCATGCGCGTAATCTGCAAAATCTTCCGGATTTGGCTGTCCGAAGATCTTAATAATGGCGTTTATTTGGCCATTTGATGTTTCAGAGACAAACAAAGGGGAAGCTGAGTTTATAGCCTCAGCAATAACGCATCCTGACGCCCAAATATCTATTGGCGGCCCGTAAACTTGGCAGTCTAATATCAATTCCGGAGCTCGATAAAATCTCGACGCAATGTAAGAAACGGATTTATCGCCTGGCTTAATGATTTTAGCCGATCCGAAGTCGCAGATTTTAAGAACACCTGTCTCCTGGTTGACAAGCAAGTTTTGTGGCTTGATGTCGCGATGAACAATTCTACGCTTGTGGAGATACCTTAATCCCGCGAAAAGTTGATAGCTGAAGAGCTTGATGTATAGAATAGGTACATATAAGCGCTGATTTCTGTAATTTAATGTAAAATCGTAAAGAGTCATTGGATAATAATCCATTACAATATTTAAGAAAATTTCGCCTTTCTTTCGACCTTGTATTCTAAAAGAATCACGTAATGTTATGCAATTATGATGTTTGATTGTCGAAATTATATCAAGTTCTCTATTTTTGTATCTGGGGTCAATTAACACTTTTTTGATGGCTACAACATCACCTGTTGGAGCCCTGGCACAAAATACAACGCCAAAGGCTCCTTTGCCAATGATATTTAGAGGATTATAATGACCATTTGCGCGAGGAGAAGTTAAAGCGGTCGAGGACTTCTTTTTATTTTTAATCATCATTGCTCCTCTAACGCGAAAGGAACTCATACGATAACCACTCTTTATATCATTCATTAATTTTTTTTAGTTTCTGTTTTTAATTTGAAAGTAGAAAAAAATTTACTATCGTCACTTATTGAATTTTTTTGATTTTCAATAAATTTTTTTCGATGATTTATGAGTGATTTATAAATTATATGAGTACATCAATATTTTCCGATTTTTTCGTTTTTGAAATAATTATAGGTCGGAAGAGTAGTATATGATGCGGGTTGTGTGACTTTTTTTGTAATCGTAAGAATTCTCACATAATTGAATGATTTTTGAACATACTTCCGAATAGCAGATTTTAAAAATTTATGAATAATTTATAAAAAGTTTTTATTCCTACAATTCCTATATTACCATTAATAAAAAGAATATATTTTTGACGAAGTGAAGATTCGCACTTCGTCACAAAACTCCGAAAAAATAAAGTTAGATTTTGTTATTTAATATAAAATGTATGGAAAAAGAATAATATCTGATTTTGAACATTATTTGATTGATTTACTAATTGATCCACAAAGCTGTTGTAAAATTAATTTTGAATTTAAAATTAAAGGAACCGTAAATTTTGTATTTATTTATCACTTAAAAGAATATGACCGATATCATAATTTGATATATGAAACTAATATAATATTTGAAGATAACAAACTTACAAGCTTCGAACATGAAAATGATATAATATTCGAAGATGAAAAAAAGAAAGAGATTGAAAAGCAATTCAATGAATGCCTTTTAAATACATATGCGCACATTATAAGACATAAAATGAAATTAATTCCTTATTAATCAAAAATATTTTTATCTTTATATAAAGATGACAAATAGAAAAATAATTTTTATCTGATAGAAATAATACCTACAAATGACGGTATATAAAAAATTGACTTCTTACGTAAAATTAAAACTAAGTTAAATTTATTTTTTTTATTTTTTATTTTATAATAAATGAGTATAACAACTAATTCATTGAAATCTTTAAAGTTCACTAATTCAGAATTAGAAAATATTTTAGAAAATTTTGGAGACGGTTCTTATCCAACATATATGCAGAATGTGAAAGAGTTTTCCAGATTGTTGAATGAATTTAAATATAACGGACCAATTACTAAAAAGGCTATAATGAGATATTTATATCCCAAAAAAGTTGAAAAACAGGAGAATATTCCTCTTTATGGTCCAGAGGACCTGGGCTCAGAGAGCCTTGAAACACCTCCTGAATATTTTGAAGAAAAAATTAAACAAGATGAATATTATAACGATGAGATTGAGAAATTGGAACAATTAAGAAATGAAATAGATGAAAGAATTAGTGAATTGAGAAATGCTGAGAATGAAGTAGAGGGTTTAATGAATATCCCAGCTTCAGAATCAGAAGTTCAAAAATCACATGAGGAAAGATATAAAAATTACTTTTTGGAATCTACTAAAAATTTATTAGATGGTGATATTGACGAAACACTTTCAGAAGAAGGCACAAAATTTATTCATAAACATAAGCTTCAGTTTATTGACGATGGAGATTATCCATGTATATTACTTTCACCTCCTCTTGATTCTGAAAAATTCAAAAAAGCACTGAAAAATGTAACATATGCAATAAATACGATTAAGAAAGAAGACCATGATATTTACACAAATTATTATTTAAATAAATGTACAGGTGTTGATAAAGTTTTTGATTTGTTAGATAAAATATCAAAGAAACAATTGGTACATATAAAATTTTATGCGATTGTGGTTTCATTATTGAAGATACCAATAATGTTTCATATGAAAGAACAGCACCGAAGGAAGACGAAGTGGAAAGGTCTATACCATTCGTTATTAAGAACATAAAAGATATGAAAACTTATAAACATTATATTTATTCATTTATTTCAGAAAAAATGGAAGCAACCCATAAAACATCTTCTCATCATTTTATAGCTATTCATACATTCCTTTTCAAAGTTGTGAAATTAAATAAGACAGGAATTAGATTTAATGTATCAGGGTACGCATTCTTGAGTAAATTAAAATGTATTCGTCACGTCGCAGATGATAAAAATTTATGTGTTCTTAATTCATTTTATGGACTTTAGCCCTGGACTCTCTGAGTCTCGGACTTTAAAAAAAATAAACTTTATTTTTATTTATTTTTTAATTTTTATTCTTACATAAATGAACAAAAATGGAACAGCTAAAATGAATGATAATCAAATAAGAGCCGAAGGTAGAAGGTTATTTAAACGCTTCTATAACATTCCTGATGGTGTTAATCCTAAAACTCGTAGAAGTTATTTAAATGAAGCCATAGATGCATATGAAGGATTTGACATTTCATCAGAAAGTGAGAGGTTAGCAAGAATGTTAAACGTTAATATTGATTTTTATTATTGTGACCCTCAACCAGAAGACGTAGACATTAACAAGGTAGACTTTCCATTAGTGGAATCAATAATGATAGATCCAGAATTTGAAACAGTAAATATTTTATTAACACAGAGTCCATGTGGAAAACTTCACGCTGACAGAATTACAGACGTTGAAGCACTCACAGGATATAAAGTTTGCCCCTTTTGCAAAGAAGAAGTATATTCTATCCGTGATGATCCAGAAAGGAAAAACCAAAGAAGATTTTTAAAACATTGTGAGAAATGTAAAGAAAATAATGGAAGATTAATTCAAGACGTTCAATTGCAAAACACACAACAACCATATGCACCACATATCACGAAACAGAAGATATATCAATGGCTATTAGCACATAATTTGCAGGAATATTATAAACCAACAAGATATTATATTACTTTTGACTTCGAAACATTAGAGACTAAAGAAGAACTTCAACTTTCTGAATGTGCAACTTTGAACGCTTACTTAAAACCATTTATGGTATCATCAACTGTCAAAATAAAGCCGCAAAGCGGCGAGGTCGTAGACCGTGATAAAACATTTACGAGGAATTTTTGCTTAACATCAAGTGATTCGTTCATCTCTGATTGGATTGAATTTTTATTTTCAACCTGTTCATTAGTTGCTAAATCAAATATTGAACAATATGAAGAATTAATGAATACATTAAATGAGAAACAAAAGGAAGCAATGAAAGAGCTTTTAGATGAAGAATTTAATAAAGTGAATATCATTGGTTTTAATTCGGGAAAGTTTGATTTAAATTTAATTCTTCGTGATTTAAATACTGCAAAATGGAAGATAAAATCAATGCTGGGTTCTTCTTCTCAATTTAAGCAAGTCATAGTAAAGAAAACAAACTGTCCATATGAATTAAGATTTATTGACATCAGAAATTATATAGCGGGTGGAACATTAGACCAATTCACTCAAGATTTCGGAAACAATAAATCACGTGTTAAATCCTTTTTCCCTTATCAATTCATCACATGGGAGAATTACGAAGATGAATTATATAAAAAGGAACCATTCACTCAAGATTCATTTTATTCAGCATTAACACAAGAAACAATATCCGATTCAGATTATCAAATATATCTCAATGATGCTAAAAATTTTGAGAATAGATTAGAATATTTTATTCATTATTGCAATAAAGACGTTGAAATTATGATTGACCCAATTGATAAAATTATCGAAGAAACATTTGTTTATAAAATTGACATGCTTCATAATCTTTCTTTATCATCGAATGCATCAATGATTCGTTACGCGTTAGCATATAAGAACTTCAATCCTAACGAAACATATCCAGAAGAAGAAAATGTGGAATCAAGTTTTGAATTAACGAAAAAGTATTGGAAATATAAAATTGATCATATAAGAAACAAGATGAAAAGGCGAAAAGAGATACCAAAAACAATGTTTCAATGGATGACTATCAATACTATCACGATTTAATCCTTTCATCTAAATGCAAAATGTGTGGTAAAGCGTTTACATATGTAAATAAACCAACATTGGATAGAATCGATAATGAAAAACCACATACCAAAGAAAATTGTCAGTTAATGTGTTGTTATTGCAATGTCGTAAAATCAAATAAAGATGAAGATGTTCAACGTTTAAGAATCAATTTAAGAAATTATGCATTAAAAAATAATTTACCAATGACTTTAGATTCAGTTGAAGCTTATCACATTCTCCGTAATGGAATTACTGGTGGTCTATCAAATGTTCAACATCGTGTTAATCTTAAAGGAATCACGCACATTAATAAACTTTCATATAATCCAGAAACTAAAACTGTATCAAATGAGGACACCACCAACATTATGACTCATTTCGTTGGAGTTGACTTTAATTCATTATATCCTTCATCATTTTCATCTAATCCTCATGATTTCATTCAATATACTGACCATAAAATGTATATGCCGGGAAGATTGAATGGTGTTATCATTTGTGATACAGCAACAAAGAAAGCAAAAGCACTGGGAATAATTAAGAAGAAAAATACTTTATTCGTGGCTGAAGTAAAGGGTCACATTGATGAAAAATACATTAATGATTACATAAACTTTTTACCGATAATAAGAAACTTAGATATTATCACAGATGAAAAAACAATTGGCAGTTTTATGTATAATTACATGAAATCAAACAATCTACCAGTTGACCAGAAACAGAGAAAATTAACTCAGTTAGCATCAACACACAACCAATATCAACCATTTTCTTCTTATTATCTTTGGTATCTAATAGACAGATTTCATTTTATCATTGATGACATTCAATCAATTTTAACATTTACGAAAAACACTTGTTTTAATGAATTTGCGAACAAATTTATGAACGAAAGACAAAAGGCTGAATTAGAAGGAAATAAAGGAAAAAGTTTATTTTGCAAGATTTCACTTAATGGATCATATGGTTACGATGCAATGAATACACAAAATTACGCAAAGACTAAAATAATGAATGCACAGAAGGCACGCGTTGCATGTATGTCAAATAAGTTTAAAAACATAAGAGAAATAGGTGAGGATACATATCAAGTGATGCTTAAAGATAGATTTTATAGATGTGATACATGTTTACAAGAGGCATTCTTCACTTTAGATAATGCTAAATACTGGTATTTGGTTTTCATTTATGATTTTATGTATAAATGCATGAATGTTAATCGTTTTCATTTCATTGAAGGTGATACTGATTCATCTTATTGGGCAATCGCTGGCGACTCAAATCTTCCTAACACTCAAGCATTTCAAGCAATTGTTACCGATAAACAATTTTATGATAAAAACATTTTCAAATTCGCACCATTTGATTTCTTCTGTTTTGATGAGAAATTTAAACATAAATTAAAGAATAAAGCTGAAGAAAAAGCACATGAGAAAAAATTATTGGGTTTAGCAATTGAGAAACAAGGTGATAACATGGTTGCTTTATGTCCTAAATGTTATACATCATTCAACGGTTCAATTGATGGAAGTGATTTTAAAAAGATTGCACAAAAAATGAAAGGTGTTAGTTTACGACAAAATAAACAATTAACACCTAAAAATTATTTGGATATAATAAATGATAAAGTTATTTTGATGGTCAGAATATTAATTTACAACTTAAAAACGGGTCAATGACTCGCTTAACAATCGGTAAGACTGCATTAACAGGGGCACATACTAAGGCTGTATGTTGTGAAAATGGATGTTGTATGCCATTTATTTAAAAAATTTAATTTTATTTTTAATAAATGCCACAGAAGAGACAAAAGGAACCGTTAATGATACTATGATTCAAAGAGGTGGGCACCCTTAAAACATTGATTTTATTTTTATATAAATGGATAACGTAGATTTAAAAATTTTAATTGATGATTTAGTACTTAATCAAAATTTTCTTATTATTATGAATTAAAATCATATCTCCAAAAATATAATAATAATATAACGGGTGATGATATGGAATATTATTATCCATATTATAAAAATGAAATTTTGAAATATCATAAAAAATAATTTCTGAAATTAAAGACAAAATTAAAAATAATGAATATTCAAAGGGAAAAACTAAATCACAACTTAAACAGTTGAAAGATTTCAAAAATAAAGTATTAACAGAAGAAGATATTGATGAATTATATAAATTATATAATCCTGAGCCGCAAAAACAAAAGGCAAAACACCCAGGTCCTTCAGACCATAAATGATGCACAAGCTTTAATTTATGATTCATTAGTTAAACCATATTCAGCCCGACTTTTAAATGAAGATCAACTTTTGGAATTCATCCTTCAACATAAACTCGAAGCGGGAAAGTATATCAAACCTTTATATACAGCATATTTAAAACAAATGAATAGAATACATCCAGAATTAATGAAGGAAGGAATGAAATCCAAAATCAAAGCAGATAAAATTAAACCACTTGCAACACCAAAACCTCCAACGACAGTACCGCCTCCTCCTTCAGTTAATCCTTCATCATTCACTTTATTATATCCATTTCAAACATTAAAGAAGCAAAAAGATTTTAAAAAGGATTTCAAGATATTAAATAAACCAATTGACAAAAAATTCAACCGTTAAAGGAAAAATTTAGTCGCCCTTCATTTGCTCCATATCCATATTCATACGAAATCGATCATCTGGAATATTCAAAAGGAAACGTTACTTATTTATTTGCCATTAACATTAACACTAGATATTTATATTGCATTCCAGTGAAAGGGAAAACAGAACAGGAAACAAGAAGAGCTATTCAATACTTACTAGATCATGAAAGAGTAGATAATATCAGGGGTGATGGTGATAAAGGATTTCAGGCAGCTATGACTCATTATTTCCCACAAATTAATTTTTTCTTTTCATCCTCTCCATATACGTTTCATAATAAAATAGTTGATGCGGTAATGAGAACTCTTAGAGATGCGTTAGGGGTTAACGGTCAGATATACTGGGATGGAAATCATGACTCCATCATACAACAGTTAGTATATTATTATAATAATACATGGCATAGAACAATAAACATGAAACCGGTGGAAATGAAAAATGATATTTCAAAAGAATGGGAATATATTAGAAAGCAAATGGAAAGGTTGAATGATGTTAAACGTGAACAAATTAATTCGGGGCTCATGAATTTTAAACAAGGGGATAAAAGTTTTGATTCATCTCGATTATGGAAAAACTGATAAATCAATGACAAAAAGAAGACGAAGATTTGACACAATAGCTGAATTTGTTAGATATATTAACGGCAATGCATTAGTTGAAGTTGACAATAAATTAATAGAAATTCCGATTTATTTTATTACTCCATTATATTTAAATAATATTTAATTTTTTTTTTTCGTAAGAAATGAGTGACAACAAAGCAGTCAAGAGTCCAGACGATGAATATAAAAAGAAACTAAACAGAATTAAATCAAAAATATGCTATTACAAAAAGAAGCCGCAATGCGGTGGGGTTGAAAACGATAAAGAGAGGAAAGAAATAATCGAAAAATTAGAAACTTACCGTTCAATCCTTAAACTGAGTGAAGCAAAAATAAAAGAATTTAATAGAATAAATAAATTGATTGGAAGAGATGAATTTAATAAAGATGAATTTTTAAACTCAATCCAAATTTAATTTTTATTCCTCTTCGACAACGTCTCTCTTTCCATCATTACTGCATAACCACATTTTCTCAGTTTTAGTGGTTTGTTATTTTTAGCAAGTTCTCGCATCATTTTTATCGTTTCCTCCCTTGTTATGATTCGTGGTAAATTTTGAGCTTGTGGGGTATCCATTTATATAAAAATAAAATTTTGTTATCAGTTATTTTATCGTTAATATCAAACCAAAGTTGTTGATTAAATTAAAGTTATAACCTTGTTGAGAATAAAGTGGTTTCTTTATCAATTCCTTGAACGCTTCTGAAAGTGAAGATGAAGAAATTCTTGCCACTTGAATTGGTTTAAATTCTGCTTTCATTGCTTCTTTCTGTTCATTGAACACTGGATCGAATAAAGCAACTTTAAAGAATTTCTTAGCTGGAATTTCAGGTCTCAAATTTGCATATTGACCATCAAACTGGTTAGAATATCGTGGTAATCCATCCGGTCCCTCTTGAATAGCATTTAATTCTTCATTGAAATAAGAATATGGATTATGACGGTATGAATTAATTGGACCATTTTCACCTTCTCCGATATGTTGTTTAACAGCTTTTCCATTTTCATCAAATTTCATAGGATAACGTTCATTATATGCTTTACGTTTAGGATAATCAGTTATAGTTAATTTATACCCATTTATGACTTTAATATTACCTTGACCATCAGTAACGAAAACTTCATTTATACCATCAGGTTTTCCATTTGGACCCGTAATGTCTGCTTCGTGTGCTTCCCAATTTGGACCATGACGTTTGGCATATGCTTGAGCTTCTGGTAATGTTAAAACGTTTCTCATTTGTTTAACATCTTTTTGAAGACCAGCAACAATATGAACTAATTCTTTCATTCCATCAGGAACTTTCATAGTTCTATTATATGCACCCTTTTTGTTTGTCCCTTGTTTTAATGGAACCTGTAGAAGATTTGCTATTTCTGTCATGTTTAATTATAAATAAAAAATAAAAATTAATTATAAAAAGTTAATCAAATTTAACACTTCCTTTATTTAAATCAACTATTATTTTTCCATGTTCACCTAATTGCTGATATTGTGTGTAAAGTTCATTAATGCTCATTGGTAAATTCACTTGATAAAGCATAACGTTCAACTGTTGACGACTAAACCCACTGAAAATGAAAAGGGTTGATAGATTTGATTTAATGTTTGTGCTTAATGCTTTGAAGTATTGAACAGCCATAAAGAATGAACACTGAATGTGTCGACATTGAGTTAATAATTGATTAAAATATGATTTCTCATTAGTTATTAGTTTTGATTTCACTGCATCATCTAGAAAAATGAGTGAATGCAAAAATTCTCTATCAAAATTTGAAATAGAAAGTGTTTCAAATAATTCATCTCGTTGTTTATCAATAATTTTATCCTCTAATCCTTGCTTCTTGATTGTATTATATAATTCTTTATACATTAAAAAGTTTTTTAAATAATCTTCTGCTTCTTCTTGTGATAAATAAATAATTGGAATTTTGATTAAATGCTTTAAAGATTCAAATGTATCATCTGAAGGTGAACCTGAACGGTTGATATAAATTAACACATGTGAATAGGGGGAAGTGTTAGCAATAATGATAATTTGTTTTAATATCGTTAATGTTTTACCTTTATTTTGTTTACCAATTGCTGCAGTGATTGAATTTAAGTAACATTCAGAATATGGAATTTTCATTAATTTTTCCTTAGATAGAGCATTTCTATTATCACTCAATGCTTCATTAATCATATCATCTACGTATGTATTATATACTCCCGCTAATTCTTCATAAGGGGTGGATGAATTTAAATCCATTTAATCAAAAATAAATTTATAATTTTAAACATTTCTATTCATCAATATTTCATCATATGAACTTCTATACTGTGGTGGTGTGTACCTGTTGAATGATATTTCAAACCTTCATCCGGTGTCCATGTCCAATATGTAGTCCTAGTAAACCAAACCTGAGGAGGATTTGTCACCTTTGAACAGTAAGTGTCATTTACACCCTGAATGATTGGATAAGCTTTCACTTGTACTGTAACTTGTGAATTGAAAGTTTCTAATCCATCAAAGAATATACCCGCTCCATCACGTTGAACTGGAATAGTGCATAAGAATGAAGTTTGGTCTTTCCATGTTCTAGCTAATGGCGTGCCATTATCATCATTCAGTGGTCTAGTTAATGAGTCCTCATATTCTTCTGTGCATTCATTCACTCCATCTAAATCAGAAGCTTGAAGCATACGTGTAAAGAATATGTCGCCCACTGTGGTCATCGCTTGATCAGGGAAGTTTCTGGAATCTATAGTGACCTGAAGACCTCGAAGCATTGGATTTTCTAAAACTGTTCTTTGCATTGCATTCTTCGGAAATGTTAACACAACATCTGTAACATTATGAAGAGCGTATGAGAAATCTGAGCTGATACCTTCAGGAGTGATGCAACCTCCATTTAGTGAACGAACGTCAATATGTTGAGCTGGAATCATGAATGGATCTTCCTTACTGAATAAACGTGGTATTGCTTTAACTGATTCTTCAATTAAACCGTATCCTGGTGTAATGCATTTATCCTCTAAAACTTCCATCTTTGTGCATGAAATAATAACGTTATCAACTGTTGCGTCAGCAGATGTAGCGGCTAAGCTTGTAATTAATTTGGCAGGAAGTCCGATTTGTTGGAATTTGCGATCATATTTATAAACATGATTCATAATCTTTTCATAATTTTCATCAGTTATCTTTTCATAAACGTAATTTTGTAAATCAGCAACTCTTAACGGGTCAACCTGACAAAATACTAAAGTATCCCTGAAAAACATAATATTTAAGAATGATTTCACCAAATGATTTAGGATAATCATCGAACGCCTGAAATGCTAACAAATCATTTACCGGAATAATCATATCAAAAGTGACATCAACTTCTTCATTTGCGTTCTTGAAAACTTCTGAAGGGTCAATATATTTACCACATACTGAGTTATCATATTTTTTGAACATTATTATATAACGAATGAACAAACTTTTTAAACTTTCCTTTCTGATTTTGGTTTATATATGTTGCAAATGCGAAAGATTCACGGGCGCAATCCATTTGAAGATAACCGGCATACCTCTTTCAGTTTCTACTTCTAATGTTTAAAGCTTTGATTTGATGATTTGTAACCAACGAATAAACGCATGCATTTAAAAGCGGCATCGCATGTGAAAGCTTTTATTTGAAACTAGAGTTTGCTTTAACTTTGCGTTTAAATATATGTGTCACCTAATTGATCACATCATGAGCCGGATTTGTAATTCTTAAATGAGTTTGTTTATCATCAAAATATGGAGCATCAGAGTCATAGCATGAACTTTCAAGTTCTCTATAATATTTCTACCGTCATTCTTTGCGAATATTTCATTTATCTTTTCGAATGAATGAAATACATTTCCATTAATTGGTTTAGTGTTTGGCACCAAATAGTTAGTCGTCATTTATTAATAAATAAAAAATCAAAATTAAAAGATGAAAATGAATTTTTAATTTTAATGAAATAATCAACTATGGCTGCAGGATTCTTTAAAAAATTATGGGATAAAGTAAAAAGAGGAGCGCATAAAGTTTGGGAAACAATGAAGAAAGGAGCAAATTGGATATTTAAGAATAAAGAAGCAATTAGTGACGTTGCTGAATCAATAACGCCAAAAGCTGCCCCAATAAGAGAAATATTAAATAAAGGAGAAAAAGTTTATCAAAGACTTCAACCGATACTAAGATAAAAATAATATTTATTTATTTTTCCACTATTTACCTCCTATTTTATTAAGTATTCCTTCAGCAATTCCACCAATTGCGTTACCTGCTTGTGCTCCCATCGCCGGATTACCTGCTTTAGTACCTAATACTCCACCTATGATAGTTCCTGCCGTTTTCGCTACTGGTGCCAAAAAGTTTGCAACGGGTTTAATAATCTTTTTATGAACCCAACCTGCAGCTTTCTTAATTCCATCCCATAATTTTTTAAAGAATCCTGCCGCCATTTCTGATTTAATATTAATTAAAAAATATATTTCATCACTTATATTCTAATTTTTATTTAATGATAAATGAAACCGATTTTAAAAATAAATGAAACAGAGGAGGAAGAAATAAATGAAAGTGAAAATGTTCAACAAAAAATAAACGTTGTTAAACCAATTACTGAAATAAAAATTTTTTCATCTGTTGAAGAATTTAATGACTATTATGCTAATAATAAAAAATTATTTGAAGAATTGACAACGTGTAAATTGAATAAAATGTTTAAAGTTGATGGATTCAAAATTTCAAAAATAAAAGGGTGGTTAGTTTGAAATCTATTCCTCAATCAAGAATCACCTCATTAATGAAAATAGATGATTTAACAAAAAGAATAGAAATTATTGAAGAGCGAATAAATCAAATTATTGATTTCATAAATCATGACTCGTTGAGCCCGGGTCCTTAAAGCCCATCACTGAGTTCAAGGTTATATTCATCAAATATTTCATTATTAAATGCAACTTCTGCTAGTTTATTTATTTTTTCAATACGATCATTTGAAAGTCTATCGTTTAATTTTTTCTGAAGTTTTTCATTTTCTAGTTCTGAAACTTTATTTGGATGATATGTAAATTCATGAAATTCTTTGGCCTCGGTTTTGATCATTAATTTACAAAGAACTTTTGTGGTTGGAATTCGTTTGAACCATTTATTAGTTATATTCGTTATATATTCAATATCTGGAATTAATTCCCAAATTTTTGCATTTTCAATTAATTTATTATCAAATGCAAAAGCAATGGGTTTAATATTATGTTTACCTTTATAATATAAACTTTCTACATAATCATCGAAATAACATCTACTTGTTTAACATTTTAAGAATTGGTGAGAGCATCCATTAATTGATTGACGGTTACGAATCTTGATCCACTCATTTTCTTACGAATTAAAAAAATAAATTATTCAAAAATGTCAGAAGAAAATATTTAAATAAATTATTTAAATTTTTTTACTCTATTCAAGAATTTTATTTTTGATATAACTCATTGAATTCAAAATTTTTTAAAAAATTGACACCATATATAACCAGTAGAAATTCTGCCAGTAGAAGTTCTACCAGTAGAAACTTTACTAGTAGAAGTTCTGCCAGTATAAACTCTACCAGTAGAAGTTCTGCCAGTAGAAGTTCTGCCAGTATAAACTCTACCAGTAGAAGTTCTGCCAGTATAAACTCTACCAGTAGAAGTTCTGCTAAAGTATTCAATTTTGAGGGAAACAGTAGAAGTTCTGCCAGTATAAACTCTACCAGTAGAAGTTCTGCCAGTAGAAGTTCTGCCAGTATAAACTCTACCAGTAGAAGTTCTGCTAAAGTATTCATAAACACCTTTTTATATCTTATTTACATCTAACATGCACCAATTTATTTTATAACTTTATTAATACTAAATTTTATTTCATACAAAAAGTAAAAATTCATAAGTTATATATTAATTTAATAAATTATATTATCATTTATAATAAAATTTTTCGAAATGCAGATAAATTTTAACATGTTCGAAATGAAACTATTATAAAATATATTCTTTTTATTAATGGTAATATAGGAATTATAGGAATAAAAACTTTTTATAAATTATTCATAAATTTTTAAAATCTGCTATTCGGAAGTATGTTCAAAAATCATTCAATTATGTGAGAATTCTTACGATTACAAAAAAAGTCACACAACCCGCATCATATACTACTCGGAAGCGGATGAGTCAATATCATGTTTTTCCTAGAGATTTAATCACGATATAGTGAGTAATACAAATTTATAATGAAATTTGTCCGAATACTGTATATTTTCGCGAAATGAAATGCGAGAATGGATTTAGATATGATATTTTTATGAGAAACTTAATATACATCGGATGGAGATCAAAAGACTATGATATCAATGTTCATCCAAACAAAAATGAATTCTTCAAAAAGGTATGGAAACTCTTAACCTTAAATTTTTTTGGACACCAATGAAGTGTCCTGATAGACATATTGAACGCAAACGGGAAATATATTTATCACTTCAGAAACTATCATCTAGCTATGGTTTTGAATATAGGTTCTATGCAGTAAGAGAATAGGTCTCAGATTTGTAGGAATCAATATGGACTTATTTATTATAAAACACATGACAATTGGTATCATTTACTCATAAAATTCAGTAAACAGAGCAAAATATGATTAGAATATAAAAAAATTTTTAATGATAAAAGAAATTACAAACATAGTATAAAAAGATTAGAAAAACATTCATATATGTATAGTTAAGAATTCTTTGTTTCTTCTTTTTCCTGAACGACAGGTTTATTAGAAGATCTCAAATTTTGTTTACGGATTCCTTGGTAAATATAGCTAAGAAGCTGTGAAATGACTGATAGTACCCAAACAATCCATCCAAATGAATAAATAAATGTATTTTCTTGAGATTTATCGAGAGAATCCGCAAGTTCATTAAGAGCAGTCAGTTTTTGTGATACAACTTGAGCAGTTTGGTTTAGTATTTGTGATTTAATCATAACTTCTTCCATTTTATTATGAATTGTATTAATTTGCTCTTCTGCAGAAGCTGTAGTGTTTTCTAAGTCTTCAATTCGATCACTCGTACTATTAATGCCTAAAGTTGTTTGTAAACGAGCAGCATTGTATTCATTTATTGGCAAATTAATTTCCAGCCTTTGTCTTAAAGGCTGGGAAATGAGAGGTACAAATGTGGAAGGATCATCATTAATTGTAAACTCAATACTGGTGAGAGAATCGCTTTTCTTTACTGGTTCAAATTCAGGAACTTCTTTTCTATCGTTGCGCTTAAAATCATGGAAAATAATAGAACTTTTTACCATAGTACCTGATGAACCAGATGATTTATCGACTTGGCTTCCTGACTTATGATCATTTCCTGAATTTGGACCTGATTGACTGGAAGTATCGTTTTCTTTTGATTTAAAACTTCTATTTGATAAATACATACTCGTTCTTGTTTCTTTATCTGCACTTGTTAATTGATTATCATGTGAAGAAAATCTTCCTCGAGAATTTAAGTTCGCAGATGAGAAATCTTTTTCGTTTGCACTAGAATTTGATGCATCCAGCATATCATCATTATCGAATTTTTTCTTTTTTGGGATCCTTGCAAAAGATCCGAATATTTTGCCCGACATCATTTTCTTAAAATGAACAATTAACATGCTAAAACTAATAACACAGCTTTAAAAATGACATTCTGTAAACATAATCAATGATAATGTACAATTTAAATTTTTCAATTTACGATTTACACCTATTTCCTTAAAAACACATTAGATTTCGTTTGCTTTATTATGGGCTACCTGTTTCCATCCCAATAGCAGCATTTGCAATTCAAAATAAATTTTCCAAAAAGGTAACTAAACTCCTTTCGCCGATCCGATTTGCTCCATATTTAAAATATAGCTTGCATATGTAGAAGAAAAGCTAATTTTGAAGTACGCCCCAAATCCACCAACAGGATTTCGAGCTACTAAAAAGGTACTTTTAAATGTGATTTTTTTTATAAAAAATTAAATTTATTTTAAGATCAGACTAAAAACTAATTTTATGGAAAATCTATATCGACAAATTTATTACTTATTGGGTATATAGATTTTTTGATTATGGCGATTATGTCTGATATGCTTCCAATAAGCCAAAACACATTTCATACTGATTTCTATAAAAGGTATCTTTATTATAGAAGTGTAAGCTATATCTGTTTGTTTTTTTATTATAACAAATTCAAAATTCTCTTATAAGGACTAGATGAAATCTGTATTATTAAATCATTAGCTAAATGAAGGTTCAAATAGAAAGTAAATATCAATTTATATGATACTGAAACCAAATAGTTCTTTTAATAAAAGATAACACGCTGAAAATTATTGAGTATTTGCAAATCTCAAAAATCTATTGGTGAATTTGGCTCAACTTTTAAAATTATAACATCCATATCAAATCATAAAAGCAGACAAAAATTAAAGCCAAACCTATCGGCCAATTTTTTTTGATATTTTGATTTTTGAGGTATACTTTTAAAAGTGGATTTAAAGCACTGATGAAAAAACATTAACTTCTGTCGTTATGATTATTGATTTAGACAATAATGATTTTAATCTTTGATTATCAAAACACTAAAGTCATCTTTTTAACATTTGCTTGGTAGCATTAACTCAAGTCTAAAGTACTATTTTATGTGGCACTCTTAGAATTTTTGTATTCATTGTACACGCTGAAATAGTACCATTAAAGTTATGGCGGACTTTCAAAAAATAGTTTGGTCACCTTTTTTTCCAAAAATTAATCTAAAATTTTTCAAATTGTTTTTGAATATTTTTCATTTATGGATACCACAAAGCCAAATTTTCCTTTCCGGTAGGCTTGTTTCCTATTCAATTTTCGATATTTTGTAAAGTCCTTTGTCTAAAAATTGAGAGGAAAAATGATTTTTCTGAAGAAAAAATGTCGACTAAAAGAGTCAACTTTCGACCATTTGAGGCCGATACTGACTCTAGTCCTCTAGAACCGGAAGAGAAAGAGCCGATGGTTCTAAACAGTGAGGAATACAAAATAGAGCATCTTTGTAATCCAAATAACGACATATTTTCAAAACTAGAGCCTGAGCTTCCAGGTGAAGCGGAAAATAGTTCTCCGATGCGTTCTTTAACGATTGCACCGAAATTATCGAAATCAATGCCTATGCTTCAATATAAAAAACTTCATCTTAATAAAAACTTCTTAAGCATTACAGAGAGTACATTTCCGGATGCTTATCCAGAATGCCATTACGATATTGATTCACATCAAACTCAAGTCGAATTAATTTGTAAAATTCCTTCTTTCGTAAACAATGACAAAAGTTTGATGATTGCCATTAAGGAGCTTCTAGAAAACATCCCGTACAACGAAACAAATGTTATTGAGATCGTTCAGAAAGCTTATACTGAATCTGACCCTTTATTACTTGTTTATAACAGAGATATCCTTATCCAATTATATCTAGACTATATAGATGACTTGGAGATCTCGGATCTTCTCATCCAACCCTTAACAAAGCTATTATTATTCACATCTCATTTCATTTCAACAAAATTTTGTGTGCGCGATGTTGGATATCTCGCTTTACACGCTTCCGATAACGTTTCAACCCAATACAGAGAGTTTTTCGTCGAATTAAGCGAAACGTTAAGTTGTGACTTTATTGATGAAGGATTGCAGAGTATATTAATAGAAACGCTTAAGGTTTACCATGATAAGAATGTTTTAGATGTTCGCTGGGCTCTGATGAATTTGGAAAAAACTCAAATTATTTCATCAGATATGAATGAACCATCATATACATTTACGTTAATGAAACCTCAGTATGATATGCAACCAATTGTTGAGAACACAATTCCCGACCAAAAGAAAATTTTGAAAATTATTTACGAATCTGCAGGAAAAGCAGAAACAGTACTCAGATCCGTAGAGAACCATGAGATTGTTGCAAGCTGGGTTACTTATTTCCAAACAACTCATATGCTTTACAAACAATTATTTTTAGATTACTCGCCAGCAAAAATTACTCAAGCAGGATCGTTATTTGGCAAATCATTGTCAGCATTAACCAAGTTTGGCCCGATTTCCGGCAAATTACATCCAGATTTACCAGATCTTGTATCAAACATCGTTTTGAACGTTTCTATCATCGACGAATACATCGCTCATAACAGAACAGGCTTTATACTACTTACAAACTTGATGAACGCTCTCTCAAGTTCGATTACAAAATTACATGAGTATCATATGACGATACAAGACCCTTCTGAAGCCGGAATGTGTTCTATTCTATTCTGGAACTTAGTAAAAATCAGGTCATACCTCAATCATCCCCAAATTACCAAACAAAAAATTCATTCCATCGGACCATTCTTTATTTTGTTCGCGCAAGGGGCTTCCAGTTATTTGGCATCAATATGCGAGGTCACAGCCTTCGAGTTGTCCAATGTAAATGCTTCTCTCAACACTGTTCAGCTCGCATTTATCGAAGCAGACAGTTCCCTCCATAATTTGTCAAGCGCTTGTATCCGAGCTGAAAGGAGATTCAAAGATACACCTCAGAGAGCGTTTGCAAGACAATGGTCGACATATGCGAATAATCTTGCCAGTTGCATCAGATCTCTCTTCTCAGAACCATCGGTAGAGAAGTGTATATCACAACTGACAGACGTTATATCGATATTAAGCCAATTAAAGGCAAAAGCTAATATTCTTGCTATCGAAAACGAATACAACACTACAACTGAAGCTATTAACCATCTAAATTCAGTACTGCATACAGTTCGGTAGCTCAATTTTATATATTTTATATATGTTTTTTTGATGTTTTTGTTTTATTTTTATTTAAATAGAGATTAAACTGTTCTTTATTATATTGTTATATTTTGGAAAAGATGTTTATTTAATTAATATTCCGGTCAAAAGATCTTTTCAAGCTTAATTGATAGATTACTCGACCAAGATACCATAATTTCCGTATTACTAGGAATATCAAGGATTATTTGGAACTTTGCTCGAACCAAACAGAAGCTTTACAAGAATTCCGGATTGAAACTAAACATATAAAGCCTTGATAGCCTTGAAATGTATATTAATTTTACTAATTATAAGCATTATATTATATGCTAATGGACTTTTTGCAATCATCCCTATTAAACATGTATATATTTCTCCAAAGTTCTTTCAATTACATGGAAAGAGAGAAATTGATGATAACTCATAAATAAAATAACTTTATATACCAAATATATTTAGTTAAATTGTTTACATACAACAATATATCAATTTAAAAAAAAATCTCTATTACTGAGCATCATAAAAGGCATTCTTGAATTCGGCCATTTGAAGGTCTTTGAATGCGATGATTTCATCTGATTTTACATCAAATTTGTTTTCATTTCCGACAAATTTAATGATTGTTTCATTGTAACGAGGATAAATCTGTTCATTTTGTGGTCCATCAAAATAACAATTAGAAATCGTCAAAATTCCGTCAACATTTTCGACAGAAATTCCATGTGCAGATTTTTCGCAACGATTCTGGATGAAAACGCTATTTGCAACTGAAGCTCTATGTTTAATATGGAAAAACGTCATTCCGGCACCTCTAGAGACACATGAATTATTAATTGCAACAACTTGGCTGAAAAACTTGTGCGTCGGGTACCAAGCATAGTCCATGTAACCGGAAGCAACTAATGCATTGTTCTTGTGGAAAAATAATCTCTTAAGTTTTCCACCTCCGTGGTCAATTCGAAGGCCACCAGTCCATTTCGTGGCCACATTACTTGTAACGTTTATATCTGTAAATTCTGTTGTGTTTTGTTCGTTCATTGAATCGTAATGCATTCCTGCTGCATATTCTGCCCTGTTATCGGCAATACAAAGTCGGGTAAAGTTGCATTCCCAAGATCTCAAGATATGGGCACCACCTCCCATTTGGGCTGAGCATTTTTCAAATAATAAATCTTGGGCAGAGAAGTTTGCGCGGTTAGACTCGAGACCACCGCCAAGATCATTTGTTTTGCAATTAAGAAATTTAACTCTACTGATGAAATATGTCGCTTCATACCATGTTTGACGATCTTTGTAAATTTTATCATTAATGCCAAAAGCGTAATTGATTCTAATAGCACCACCAAGAATGTTACTGAATTCAGAGTCTGCTATATAGTTTTTTGCATTAGATGAAGATGAAAATATTGAATTCGTGATTTTATTGAAATGTGAATCTGTGACATGAAGTTTTGACCTCTTTGTATTAATATCGCTTCTTAAAAATTGACCGTCAAGATGTAGATTAGCCAATAAAATGTTAGAAAATGCTAAATTCATTTGTCAATTTTCTTCAGAAAAAAAAATGAAACCTTTAAAACTCAAGAATCTATGTGAAATGAAAGTTGGAACTTTAAGGGATGCATCAAGTTTAATAAAGTCCGGCGAATCTCTTGTTTACTCATTCCAATACCCACAAGCATTGTATTTAGGTTACATACCAAAAGAAGCAGTTGTAATATGGAGATATCCAAAAACGGAAAATCTTTATATACAAAAATGTGGCTGGACTTACTTCACTTGGTCTCATGCAACAGAATTAGTAATTTTGACAGGACTTGTTTCCCATGTTTATGAAATTGGTTCACTCAAAGTCCGACTAACCTTTTACATATACGATCCAATGAAATTTGCTTCATCATTACGCGCATCTGAATTAGATGAAAAATTTACTGAATATTTGGAAGCGATGTTTAAAGATAAAGGAAATGACGACTTCTCTGATCTTCAAAATATGCATTATATTTCGATAAAATTCATGGATATGAATCGTCAATTCCAAAAATTCGGAGTTGCAGTTACTGCAATAGATCCACCAGGATATAATGGATTTTAATGTTATTTTTTTGTATTCATAAAAATTAATATTTTTATAAGAAATGATTTAAAGTTTTTACTCAAAATAGCTTTCATTATTCTTAATTTACATTCATTAGATATAATTCTTGATAGTATCTAAATTAGATTCGATAAATATTGTTGATTATGGGCGATATTTACTCCAAATATGCACTTTGATTAGCAAGATATTCGGCTATTCTTTATTATTGCAATCTACAGCATCGTGATGTATTAATCTTTTGTTTATTTTTTACATTGATTTTTGAGTCATGTGAAACAAGAAATTCAATAATTTCTTTACTTTCATTACTAGTTGCAATATTAAGGGCCGTTCTCCCTTTGTTATCCTTTTCATTTACATTTGCACCATGTGAAACAAGAAGTTCGACTATCTCTTTATCATCGCCAATTGCTGCATAATGTAGAGCTGTTCTTCCTTCGTTGTCTTTTTCATTTACATTTGCACCATTTGAAAGAAGAAGTTCGACATTTTCTTTATCATTGTCAATTACTGCATAATGTAGAGCTGTTCTTCCTTCGTTGTCTTTTTCATTGACATTCGCGCAATGAGAAACAAGAAATTCCACAATGAACCTGTAAATGAAAAGTGCTCCATCTGCATCGTCTTCATCTTTAAATGCATTATGAAAATATAAATAATTAAACTTCTCTTCAATGTCTTGATATGTGGCAATGTGAAGCGCTGTTCTTCCTTTTTTATCTTTTTCATTTACATTTGCATCATATGATAAGAGAAGTTCGATTATTGTTTGATTATTTTCAATTGTCGCAATGTGAAGTGATGTTCTTCCTTCGTTGTCTTTTTCATTTACATTTGCACCATTTGAAAGAAGAAGTTCGACATTTTCTTTATCATTGTCAATTACTGCATAATGTAGAGCTGTTCTTCCTTCGTTGTCTTTTTCATTGACATTCGCGCAATGAGAAACAAGAAATTCCACAATGAACCTGTAAATGAAAAGTGCTCCATCTGCATCGTCTTCATCTTTAAATGCATTATGAAAATATAAATAATTAAACTTCTCTTCAATGTCTTGATATGTGGCAATGTGAAGCGCTGTTCTTCCTTTTTTATCTTTTTCATTTACATTTGCATCATATGATAAGAGAAGTTCGATTATTGTTTGATTATTTTCAATTGTCGCAATGTGAAGTGATGTTCTTCCTTCGTTATCTTTTTCATTTACATTTGCTCCATGTGAAAGAAGAAGTTCAATTATTTCTTTGTATCCTGAATCAAGTAAAAAATGGAGAACACTATTGATATGAGATATTGCAATGTGAAGCGATGTTCTTCCTTCGTTATCTTTTTCATTTACATTTGCTCCATGTGAAAGAAGAAGTTCAATTATTTCTTTGTATCCTGAATCAAGTGAAAAAAGGAGAGCATTATTGATATGAGATATTGCAATGTGAAGCGATGTTCTTCCTTCGTTATCTTTTTCATTTACATTTGCTCCATGTGAAAGAAGAAGTTCAATTATTTCTTTGTATCCTGAATCAAGTAAAAAATGGAGAACACTATTGATATGAGATGTGGCAATGTGAAGCGATGTTCTTCCTTTTTTATCTTTTTCATTTACATTTGCATCATATGATAAGAGAAGTTCGATTATTGTTTGATTATTTTCAATTGTCGCAATGGGAAGTGATGTTCTTCCTTCGTTATCTTTTTCATTTACATTTGCGCCATGTGAAAGAAGAAGTTCAACTATTGTTTCATCTTCATGATCGGTAGCAATATGAAGAGGGGTTGTTTCGTCTCTATCTTTTTCATTTATATTCGCACCATGTGAAAGAAGAAATTCAATTATTTCTTTGTATCCTGAATCAACTGAAAAATGGAGAGCTGTTCTCCCATATTCATCATTTGCGTTGATATTTGCACCAAGTGAAAGAAAATATTCACAAAGAGATAGATTATTGAAAACAGTTGAATGGATAAAGCATTTGTTGATATCATTAGTTTGATCATAATAAACTAATAATGCATCAAGATTATTATAAGTTCCACAGCAATCTAAATCAATATCTATATTGTATTCATTCATCAAAAATGTAACAAAATCAATGTTATGTGAAATAATTGCATATTCCATGCACTTCTCATTAGGCGTTTGTTGTTTCAAACATTCACTAATGATCTCTTGATTTCCTCCTAAAAATGATAATTCAAGACACTTTCCGTGATTTCTGAGTGAAATTTAGTCAATAATAACTTGAAACAATCAACTGAGCCGTGATAACAACATAATTCGAGTAATGTATAAAATTCTAATGATTGTCCATTCGATGGATATAACACATTAAAGAGTTCTTGGATTTCATTAAAGTCTTCTTGTTCTGTGAATGTGATGATTTTTTCGAGGTCATTGTACATAATAGCTCTGTAAATTGTATTCTCTGAATGAATGTCGAGATTTTCGATTTTTTCGAATTTGAAATCGGTTGATTCGCATAAATATGTTCCATATTCTTTATGAAATAGGTATCGAGAAATGTCTGGAATATATGTGACAACTTTGATTTGATATTCATCAACAAAAAATTTTGCAAGTCTCAAGTATGACTTTGTGTAGCGGTTATTATACGGAATAATATTAAAAATGTCTCGTATAACATCTTGTGCGTGACGTTTCTTAGAATCAATCAAATTTGTTTTGAGTGTTTTGTAAATCGAGGTTAATTCTTCATCATTATCGGCTTTTAATTGATACAATGCAATGTATGGATCGATATAACTTTTATATGTATCTCTCAGTTCACTGTATTTCTTTTGATCAGTGACTTGACCGGACATTAAAAAATTTTCAAAGTCGTAACTGTACAACTCAGTAACACAAACAAATATAAAGCTAATCATAAAACAAAGTATTGATATTCAATCTTCAGCCACTAACTATGGCAGTAAAGCTGAAATGCTCAAAAATATGAATAATCTTTTAGGATAAAATGCATAGATACAAAATGACTTATTGAACCTTATGAAGTCTAATGGAGTTTGATTTTCAATTCAGAGAAAAAAATTGCGAATTTATCAATAAGCATAAAATAAGAGATTTGGATCAGAGTTTTGCCCATTCAAATCTTAAACATATGTTAGCATTCAATTATTTTCCTCTTATAAGGTTCCAAAAATTGAGTTAAAAGCACATGATTAATCCAAAGTTTTGGAAAATTATAGTGAGAGTGCAAGGGCAAGGGATAGATTGTGAGAACTACATAACCCTTGCCTTTTCACTCTCACTGTAAATCTGAGAAATTAAATAATAAGCGATATAATTTTCCCCATTTATATGATAAATAGGAGGCTAAGAAGTGCTGGTTATATATCAGAGCCTCATAGCCTCCTATTCTTCTTATAAATTAATGTCACTTTTCTTCATTCAATGGCAGAAGAACAAGAAAATCTTTCTGCTAATATAGATTCTGTTAATGATTCAGATCATAATGAAGAAGAGCAGTTAACAGATGAACAAAATGATGAAAATCAAGAGCAAAATAACGAAAAAGAAATATCAACTGAAGAAGAAAAACAAAATGATGAGTTAGCTGAAAATCAGACTGTTCCAGAAGGACCACCAGAGTTAGTTTCAACAGAAGTTCAAACAGATTCAATCGTAATTGATTGCTCTACAATCACATTAGCTCCAGTTCCTCCACGACCATTTTTGATTGACGCACTAATTGCTATTCATGTATTTTTAATACTAGCCTTTGTATTGAAACTCAATGGTCTGAGTGTAAATGCAGCCATTAATTCGTTATTTAGCCCAGGAGGCGCATAGAAATCAATATGACTGAAATATATTTAGAATGTTTGTTTAATTGCTCACTTATTTACTGATTTTTCAAAAAAAAATTGTATTTTTCGATTAGTTGACGAGAAATTACTTCATATGTTCATTTGTTTGTCGTTTTTCGAATCAATGTAAAATATATTATATTATTTCAATAATTAAATTAATATTTATAGAGGCAAGTCTGATTGAAGAAGAAATTCTTCAAAGACTCTCTCAAGCAGTCTCAAATGTCTTTATTCCTCATCTGGGGTGCAATATCTCAACAAATACTTCGGATAAGAAACAATTACTTCAATCACCAAAAACATAAAATATTATGATATTTTTCATATTTCATTTATCTTATAAGATAACATATGAATAATTTTTTGCGTTTTTGTCAATGTCGACATCCTTGGCAACACATAACAGAATTCTCATTTATTAATGTGTTGCTAAGACTATTTATTTAGGTTTAAGCTATAGTTTTGGCTTCAAGAAACCTATGTGATACTTTAGAAATTTCAATGACTGACAAGAAAATTTACCACAAACAAATGTAATATCATGCATCAATATGATTTCAAAATATTTAAAATGACTTTAAATGTAAATCGGTCATAGTGTAATGGTTATCATGTAAGATTGTCGTTCTTTTGATCCGGGTTCGATTCCCGGTGACCGAGCTTTTTTTGGTTGAGATTAGATTGAAATGGTATTTCTTTTTATGCTTGAAACTTTGAAGATATATATTATTGCAGATTCTCTTTCTATGTTTCATAAAATTATTATAGCTCAGGAAAATTAATTTTGTTTTCTAATAAAGAAGGTATTTCTGGAAAACAATATCTCATTTGAATAGAATCCAATGAATTTAATTCCTTATTAGAAATCCATAACAAAAAGAATCAATTATATTCAAAAATACTCAATCAAAATAACAATTTAATGAATGCTCTGATAAACAAAACAAAGCAATATATCGATATACTAAGCAGCATATTGCTAGTACATATAATACAATAATAACAGAGATAACTGATTTGCTGAATGAATTTAACACAATTGGTCTATAATTTCCATCTTGTTCAACTATAAATAGTTCTATTGTCATAGGATCGAAGTTTTCCAGTCGATCAGTAGATGCAGGAGAAATTTGCAAATAAAATTTCTTTGTTGAAGGGATAATGTTAGAAATGTACTTATTTCCAACGTTTCTGATCCATTTTCTTGTTAAAATGGCCTTGCTTTCCGGAGAAAGAATGGTTGCAGCTGTAGATGTAGAATATCCATCGTAAAATATTCTTTCTAGCTGTAGAGCGTATTCAATATTCAAATCAGAGTCTTTTGTTGAGAACACGGTTCCATTCTTTGGGCGAATTATGCCTGGAGTCAAAAAAATTCTGTAATTCAACGAAACATTTGACGAATAAATGCATTTTGGATCCATCGAATCAACAATTAGTATCATTTCGAGTTGATCTTTGAATACGCTAGGTACATATGGCATTTCTATTTTCGTGAAATCAGAATTAAATTTTGCATCGATGAAAATTCTGTCATCACCATTTAATGATGATAGCCATATAGAGTAGTACGCTTTCTTAGCATCTTCACTCACTTCAACATCTATACTTGCTTTTTCTCCTGCAATTAAAGTGACTTTTTCTTCTTTAAATGTCACTTTTGATCGATTTGATTCGAATGGAGAGCTACATTTTCTTTGGCTGATCAAAGCCAAGTTAGGACTTATTTTGTTATAGAAGAACTTTAGTCATATATTCTCTATTGTTCCATGGTAAGCATCATCCGCTATTCTAAAAGAAACAGTCCATTTTCCTTTCGGATTTTCTCCTAAAAATTTATAACTCAATAATTCAACAGATCTTATTTTCGATGTTGTGTCGGCTTCTGTTATAAGTTTCACTTCGCACCTTGTTCCTTTGGGACTAATGATATGTGGATTCAATGATCCAAATGAAAGCTTCTTCGATTTGAAGAATAAACTAACACATAAAACTGATTTAGCTTCTTCTTCAGTAAAATCAAAAGTGACATTGTATTCTTTGTCTGGCATAATTAAATTGAGGGTCTTCTCAATCTTATATTCATAAAAATCTCCGGTTGAAGTCCAATTTAATGCAATATCAACGGCTCGACCGAGATTTAATCTTCCGAAACCCAATCTTCTATGGTAATTGAGATTTATGGCGTTTACATCCCAATTCATTAAGTTTGGATATACTTTATCCGCTGAAAATGCAGTTACATAAAAAAGATCAGATAAAGTTAAACTAGGATTAGCTTCCAGTAATACGGCAAGTCCACCAGCAAATATGGCTGCACTGGCATTGGCTGTTGTAAAGTTTTTGTTGATTGAATTTGATGATGAAGGTGATGCAGTGTAAATTGGCGCATTTCCGGCAACAGGAGCAGCCATAAAGACACTGGATCATTCAGAAGATTGATATAAAGGAAGTCCTCGGTTAGAAACTGCTCCAATTGTGAAAATTAAAGGCCATCCTCCTGGAGGACTCAAAACTGGATCAGATGCTGTTCTGTATCCTGTAGGAATGACTATGGGATGTGGCCAGTTCCCTTCAGATGGATTGTATAAGCAGTCATCAGCTATTTTATGTGGTAATACTTCTGGTTCAACGTAACGAACATATCCTTTTGGATATTCTAAGTATAGATACTGAAGTATTGATATGTTCCATTCAGTACTTCGATGGCAGATCACTGTTTGTAAGTGTTCTGCTTTTTTGGAATAATTTGTAAAAAAATATGACGCAACATTTGCACCAGGAGCAACTCCTTCAAATTTTGTACCTCTTTTCCCTGCAGCTAACGCTAAAGATGCAGTGGCAATTTTATTTGATGAATTTGTAGTTAGCATGATCTCATTTGTATAAATATTAATAAATTGATTCTCAATTGCTCCGTCACTATATGCTTCATGGTTGAAAAGTGCACTATCAGACATTACTGCGATTGTGATTCCTTTTCCTGTGTATTTTTCATAATATGAATGTCCGGACCAGTTAATATCTTCATCTTCTAGGCCACCATATTCATCATTTCCTGAATTCTTAAGCCACCAAGCAATGAATATGAAAAACATCACAAATATGAAAGCTTTCAAAAAAAAATCTTGATTAAATTTAATAGTATAAATAACATATTTCAAACCAATGTAATAAACAGAAATTCATCAAAAGTGACAGCTCTCAATTTTTTGACATTTGTAAATTCTAAATTGAATGAGAAAAATGAAATAATACTAAGCATAATACAATATTCTAGATTTAATTATAATTAGAAAAAAGTTGGTTTTGAGAGTACTTTTCATAGGCATATAGAATGAAATCTTCTGAAAAATAATATCACATAAACTCATATTATTTTCTAATATATAACTATTTTATATAAAAATCAAATTCAATGATCTTAAAAGCGAAGGATAAACCTCAAAATTTACGAATATAATGAGTGTGAATATAATGCTTATCTATCATAAAACCATATGAAATATCAATTTTTGCTTTACGCCTAATTTTTGACGACAATTAGCAAAAAATGTTAAATGTTAACACTCAGTCCATTTGAATATGAAAAATAAAATTGACTTTGATTGATATTTTGAAATTTAAATTATTTATCAAAATTAAAATTTAACTTGAAATTTATAATTATTTAGTCATATTTTGCATAATTCTAAGTAGATTTTGTAAAAAATCAAGAAAGAAAAATTTTAACGTGCTTCATTTTTTCTTTTTTATAATAATACATATTATTATATAATTAACATATTCATAATGTTTCACCCTTTCAAAAATATAATCCTCCTCCTCTCAAATAAACGTACATACGGGTGGCCTCTTTTTTCAAAAAATTAAAATTTGAAATTTTGGGCTCAAATATTAGAGATTTTTTCAACCTTCAACGATATATGTTGTCTATATCAGACCTCCTTTCTTTTTGATACTTAACATTGTTCCTAAATCTTAGCCGTTAAGGCTGTTCTGAAAATATTTTTTTTCGAAAAAATTCAAAAAAAATTCTTAAAATTCAAAACTCCCTTAATTCCTGAGGATTTTGGAAAAAAAATTTTACATGAACATGTGTATATTATATGAAGTATATTGATAAGGTAAAAATCAAATTTTATTGCATATTCATCGAGAAAATAAACTAACGAATCCCTCAAAATTGAGAGGGTAATCCTCCTCCTCTCAAATAAACGTACATACGGGTGCACCCTTAATAAAAAATTTAAAACTTAATTTTTTAGTCAAAACTCTTGAGATATTTCTCATTATGTTCAAGCCACCATCTGTTTCTGTGGACATTTGATTCGAGCTCTAATCTTCTCATTAGATTCTCTTGTGCCTTTGCCCTTTCTTCTGGCGACTTCTGAGAAGCAGCGGAAACTTTCTTTGTGACTTTGCTCTTTGCGATTGCTTTCTTAATTGTTTCCTCGAGTGATGTTGCTCCAGTTGCAACTTGTTTGATGGTGTTACTCATTGATTCTGTCTCCGCATTCTTCGCGGTGATTGTTGTGTTGAACTTGTCGAGTGCATCAGCAAATGGAGCTGTGATTTCGACAATTCCATCTGTGTTAACAACAGCTGCTGCTTTAAGTACTGCTTCAGCGACTTTCGCAGCGAGTTCGCACATTTCATCGGGAGAAGATGTTGTTCTTTCGCTGTCTTTCGCTTTGAGCAAAACAGTTGAAACAGCGTGGCAACCAGCCAAAGCGATGTTCAACATGTTTGTTGCCATCGTCTTGAACATTTCGTCCTGGTTGCTTTCGACTGCTTTGATTGCATCTTTCGCCTTCTGAGAAGCTTCTGTAATTGGTTTGAGAGCTTCGAGGAATTTGGCTTTTCTTGCATCTTTGTTCAGTTCGTGTTGTTCGTTAAATTCAACAGCCGCATCCAACAAACTCAAAGCGACATTCAACTCTGTTTCTATGCAAGACAAATCCTGTTCTGCATTTGCTGACCATGTTGGAACAGCAATCAAGAAATTCCTTGTGCTGTGGTTGATGTTATTTGCACAAGTACTTAATCTTGAAGCAACAGAAGTCAAATAACTTTGCATCTGCAAATTCGTTGTGATGATTGACAAAACAAAGATCTTTTGGATGAACTCAGACATGTCATTCTCAAATTCAAGTGTTGCATCAGTGAATTTGGTTGAATCTGGGTTGAATTGGCTGAAGTATTTCTTGAGAGTTTCTTTGTCAGAATCAAGTTTCGATTTCGCTGCAATGATTTCTTCTCTGACTTGTTGTATCTGGACAGAATCATCGACATCAGGAAGCTTCGGCATCTTGAACTTAATTGGAACTCTTGCGGAGTTAACTGGGTCGTATTTCAACTTAACTTCGTCTGTCATTTGAAGAGCAATTGAAGCCAAATTTTCGAATTTAGAAGTGATTTCTTGCTCCAAATTCGTCAACTCCATCAACTCAATGTTGTGTTTGATGTCGACGAGTTTAAGAATAACGTTAATAGCTTCAACCAACATTTCATTGAATCCTTCATTGAATTCAGAAATTGTGTTCTTTTCTGTGAGATTTTGAGCAGCAATCTTTAATTCTTCGATTTTAGATTTGAAGATTGGATTCTGTTCTGTGACAACTAAAGAGAATGACTGAGGAATCTTCGCTGTTGCAAATGCAGCATTGATCAAAGCAATTGATGCTTCGATTTCTGTTGAAACTCTGAAGAATTTTCTGATGATTTCTTCGAAATTCGTCAATTGAGAACTTGAAATTTCCAAGCTCAAATCATCATTCAAATCACCCAAGTTGTCTACGATTCTCTTGAAGATTCTGAGTCCTTTCTTTTGTTCCTTTGCGTCTTCCTTCAACAAAGTGTTGAATGAAGCGATCGACTGATCGAACAAAGAAAGATATTCTCTGTAGAATGTCAATGGTGTTTGAGGAGTAACTTCAAGACCTCTCTGTGACAACAACTGCATGTTTGCAGCGACATGCAACAAATGTTTTCTGGCATCGATGTTTGATGGATCGATTTGGCCAATTTGTGTCCTGGCAGAGAGATTCTTGTTGTTTCTGACATCCAAAATGGAATCGATATTTGATGATTTCTGGATTGATTCTGCAACATCCATAGTTGCTCCTGTGATCATAATAATGAACTTCCTCTTCATCTCTAACACTCCTTCCTTTGTCTTTTCGTCCAAGTTCGTTTCGTTCTTTGAAACTGTTTCTTCAATTCCAGCTTGGAATGTTGAGAAATTCTCAATGATTCCTGTGAGTAAATCGCTCTTTTCGTTTCTGTCGTTGACTACGCAGTTGAGAGCGATGAATTCCTGCATTGTCTTGTAGATCTGTTGTGGGTTCTCTGTATCGAGAGCTTCGATGATTTTGACTGTTGATTGAGTGATTTCGCTCTTGATCTTTTCGCCGTCGCTTTCGAGGAAACTCAAGTAAGTCTTCAACAGTTTCGTTGACTTAACAAGTCCTTCTGTTGATTTCACGAAGTTCTGTGGAATGATATCGAGTTTCTCGGCTGTTTCTTGTGGAACTGACGGCATAACTTTCAAAAGTGAAGCGATGAATTTCGGATAAATTTCTTCAATCTTAGATTCATCTTCTGTTATCATGTTGATGTAATCAATCAAATCTCTCTTTGCGTCATTCAAAGAAACGAAAACATATTTAGGAATATCAACTAAAATCTTCTTCAATTTCAGTGATTTCTTCAATGATTCCTCATCATCTTTTTCTTCGATTTCTTTGGCTTTTTCTGTAATTGCGTCACAGATTTCTTTAGCGTATTTGTAGAAATCATGTCTTTCTACACAAGTCAAAATAACTTCAACAACTCTTTGGACTTCTTTGTTCTTTAATGTTGGTAAATTTTCGTAATTTGGTTTATTATATTCTTCAACTTGCTCAAGTAGTTTAGAGAGATTGTAATTAGTCTGAGGAATAATCTCTTGCAATTCTAAATCAGCTAAATAAGCATCATCATTTGAGAACAACTGAATGTTGTCCTTCAAAATTGAGTAATAAGATTTCTCAATTTTTTCTTTGTAATCATTAAATTGATTGAATTTCGACATCAACAAAAGAGTCCTAGAAATGTAAGACAAAGGTGTTGCTGTAACGAAAGGAACACTCATTACATCATCACCCAATGTCTGTTCAATCTTCTTGAACTGGCCCTTGACAAGTGACAAATTACTCAAAATAGAATTCCTCAATTCATCATCAGTTAAATCAAATGCATTCGTCCAATATTTAAGGATATAATTAATCTCCATGACGGCATTCAAGCTCTTGATGAGTTTAGGATTCTGTAATTCATTGGCTAAATCTGTCAAATCGTTTTCAATTTCAATGAATTTTTGACACAATTCTGACAAATAAATCCATCTTTGTTGGATGTAAATTGAATTTTCTGTCAAATATTCATCGAATGATTTCATTTTCTCCCAAATCTGCTTTGCCTTTTCGTTGCTTTCTTGGATCTGGTTCATTTCACGCTTTATTAATTCCAAGTGATGGAAGAAATAAAGTTTCAAAGAAATGTCAAATTGATCAACAATTGACATCAATTCTTCACCATAAATTTTGATTTCGTCATCAATATCCATGGCAATGAGAATAGCAATGATATTTCTTATTTCTTTGAATGATTTATAAGTCATACAAATAGATGTGAATGTTACATAATTATTCAGCATCTCGTAATCGAATGTTTTAAGACAATTTCTCAACATTGTCAAATAAAACTTTGATTTCTTCGACCACATGTTTATATTACTTTGATCAACGAATTCCTTTAATTGGAGTAATTTCTTTGTCATTTCCTTTGCAAAGTAAAGTGTCAATATCTTTAACTGTTCTGACTTTTGATGCTCCGAATCTTGGTTTTCTATAATAAGACGCATTGTTTCATTAATTTTATTTTTGATGTTGACATTTGTCAAAACATTTGAAATATAAGCAGAAGGTTGATCCAAAGCAGAAATTTCCTTAGTTATTTCTGAATATATTTCTTGTAACTGTTTGACGTCAACATTATTATTAATGTAGTTATTAAAGATATCAGAAATATCTTGAGGATCAATTGTCATCGTGAAGAACATTGAACTAGAAATAATTCCACTTTGTCCGAGCTTCATCATTCCTGTATTTGTGAATTCACTTAATCCTGACTTCAAAGTGTTCATTTGTGCATTGAGTTCTATCAATTGCTGGTTCTGTCTGCATTCAGGAAGAATACTTAATATGTATTGATGCAATTCTTCACTCAAACTCTGTTGTTTGTTGATATCATTAGATTGAGCATCAGTCATCTTCTGAGAAATCATTTGTTTAAGTGTTCTGAGTTTCTCAGTTAAGTTCCTATCATCGGAAATTGTGTTTCCTGTTAAAACTCTCGAGATTTGAACTTCAAATTGGTTCAAAAGTGGCAAAACTTTTTCTTGGAATTTTGCAGAAGCTGATTTTCCAATTTGTGGCTGTTTGAGTTTTGTTATTATTAAGTCAATGTTACTAAAGAATGTATTCATTGCTTCAAGGAATTTAGAATCATTGACATACAAAATAATGTTCTTCGCAAATAATTTGATTTGTGAAGATTTCCTCAAAATGTCTTTCAAACGAGAAATCAAAGTGTTTTCATGTTGTTGCAAACCATCGATCATTGATGATTGTGTCTCGAAATAAGTGGCCCAATGATTGATATTGGCAGCCAATGTCTCGTTCTTCGAAATCAATTCGAATTTGAGTAAATCTTTGATATAATTCTTTATATCAGTGATTTCTTGTGTTAATTCTGATGTCATCTTCATTGCGTCTTTTCCTTGGAAGAATGGGAATAAAACTAATGGTTGTGGAGTGTATTTCTCGTCTAAAGGAACTTGCCACGCGCAATCCAAGAACTGCATGATTTGTGTGATGCATTTGATTGTTTCTGGATTTGGATCGTAACTTGATGTGTCTTTTACCCATGTAGATAACTTGTAAAGGGAAGGAAGATGATCCTCGTAACATGGATTCATAAACATCTTCTCGAATTCCATGATTAAGTCATTGTGGTTCTGTTCGTAAACAATTTGTTTTGATTGTGTCATCAAATCACGGTATTCATCAAAGGATGGTGTATGCAATGCCAATATATTGTCACAATGCTGCATAAGTTTGTTAATTTGATGAATTATGGATGCATTTCCGATTATTCTTGAAACTTCTTGCAAATTGGTCAGAAGCCATTTGGTATGTTCGTTTACCTTGGAAATGTTACTCATTGTGGCTCTGGAAACTTGTGAAACTTTAAGAGTAAGAGCTGTGTTGTTCATGGCTGTTTCTGTGTCTTTGAGGTGGAAAAGGAACTCTTGGTTGACATCACCAGCTTTGTTCGATGCATCAGTGAGTTTGGAACTGATATCTTCAAGCATTTCGACTGTTTGAAGGACAGTTTCTTTGGATGGAATAATTCGGTATGGAGAAATCCGGATTCCTTCAAAAGCGGTGATGGCTTTGTCAATCATGGTCGCTGAGTAGTTCAATCCTTGTGAATAAATGGGAACTCCCGCGATTTCGGATACCATATCAATATGAGGCTTAACGGAGAAGATGGAATGCTTCAGATCATTGAGGTTTTCGACCATTTTGTTGTTAAATATCATTGAAAATGGACGGCGGTTGAGATCTAAGCGTAATGTATTGATTTGGCAATACTTGTTGTAGTAATCTTCCGCGGATTTGGTGATTTTGTTCACTAAGTCGTTGTTATTCGCAACATATGGCTCGGAAAGACTCTTATTAATAAGGCCAATCGAAATTCCAACGTAGAAATTGGCATTGTATAAGGCAACGAGGTGTGGAATTGAATTATCTGGAAGATCTGGGATGATTGGTGTTGTAACTTTTTGTAATTTCAGAATAAATTGTTCGATAGCAACAATGTAAGAGTTGTCTGGAGCTAAATTGATAACAGATGAGATGAATGATGATAATCCAGCAATGTCTGCTGTTAATTGAATCAATTGGCTCTTAGCATTGTAAAGATAACTTCCAGAAGCTGGGCAAGACTTTAATTTCTTGCTTATGTCTTGGAATTTGGTTGCATGTTCTGTAAGAATATCCAACCATGTTGTAAGTTTCTTCTTTCTTGTTGATTCTAATCTTGTCATGATTTCAGCGCGAAGAAGCTTCTGATGCTCAATTAAGATGTTGATTCCCTCAATCATAGCATCAATTTGAGCTGGAATGATGTTCATTGTGCTCAAAGAAGCTAAAGCTTTCTTTGCTTTGATTTCATCCAAAAATTCATTATGTCCACGGACTTTAAGTAGATCAGAAATGACTCTGATGATTCTAAGGCGTGTTAAAACGTCTCCTTCGTTCTTGCTGAGTGCTTCATTTAATGATTTAAGTTTACGACCTGAATCTGGTTCACGGCCGCAGATGTCATCGATATCTCCGTAGAATTTCTTGAATTCTTGTGTAGATCCTGGGAAGAATGCGTATTGTCCGCTTTCATCAGCAGTATAATACGGTTTGAAGATAGCAGGATCAATCGTAGCTGTAGATGCGGCTTCGTCTTCTTTGGCGAAACCATCTGTAAGTAATTCAGCGCCGAGTGATTTAGTAATTGAAGAATATCCTGAAATTAAAGTATAAACGTCGAAAGCTTTCTTGACTTTTAAGGAAATTTCTGCTTCAGTGCCTTTGCGTTCCATGTACTTGATATCGACTGATGATGAGTGTAATTTTGCAGAAATAAATCTAAACCAAGGAGCAGACATATATTCATCGCCATTAGGTAAGTGGACGGCTATAGACTTCGGTCCGATGACGATTGAGCCATCTTGGCGTTGAACTTTTTCTTCGGAAATTGGCGCGAATTTTGTCTTAAAAACTTCGCAGCCAAAGTTCGGCAATTGATGGGAAATCGTAAGATATCTAGCAACGGCGGCTTCCCTTGTCAAAGGCTCTTGTTGGTTTAATTTATTGGCAATTTCTTGGGCATCTCCTTGTTGTGGAGGGCAAGTAGGTGGGAAAAGTGGTGCGATATCGGATGGTGCACCATTCTTCTTCGCTTCTTCTGTACTGTTCGCTACAACGTATAATGAAAGCAATGCCATTTCTACAGCTTGGTCATGAGTTACAGTAAGCTTCGATTGGAAGATGTGCAACTTAACATCGTTGTAGATGAATAGAGCTCCGCCTTTGTCGTCAAGGTGGCTCTTAAGGAAACAGAAATAGCGACGAGTAAAGAAGATATTTTCGTATTCTGATGACTGCTGAGGAAGTGTTAAGTCCAAATCTGTTGAATGGCGTACGCCTTCTTTGTCAATTGTGAAGATAGCGTAGCCATTCGAATGTTCAATTTTGAATTTATCAGCAATGAACTTAACTAACTCGCTGCACTTTTGAGTAATATCGACGAGCAGTTTCTTCTTGGCACCAGATGTTGTCTCAACCGAAATTGGTTGTTTTTCTTTTAACAAATACAAGTTGGATTTATCTTTTAGATGGTAATGGACGATGTTCTTCTTGGGATCAATCCAAGTAAGAGTCGTTCCTTTTCTTAAAGCAAGCGCGCGGTAATTTCCGGATGGTGGAATTCCGAGATTTGTAAGAGCTTGCTCAAGAAGCTGCTGTCCATTAATGTTATCAGCATATGAAAATTCTTTTCCGTCTACTCCTTGAATATTAGTGCATGTATTCAAAGTAATAGACATTTTTTTTCGATTTAAAATATTTAAAAGTGACATGATAATAACTTTTCTTAACGAATGAAATAAATGTAGATTATGATTGGTGATTAGAATGAGCAATATTCAATCCAACATCACAACCTTCTATCAATTTTTTGAATGATATGATTTAAAAATTTGAATTCGAAATAAAATTATAATACGACGATTTTTAATAAAAATTTAATTAGAATGCTCTGTATAATACTTGAAAAATTTTTTGTAAGCTGCCATAAAAAATATAAAAACTTCAGACAACCACTTTGCGAAACTTTACTTATGTGCATAGACTGAAGCAAAAAATGCAGTTGTTGCTAACGACTTAAAATAATATTCCCACTGGCGTCTCAAATCCTTTGAATGAGGTTTCCGATATTTAAATCGGAAAACAAAAATCATAAACTTATGTTACTTGCAAATATAAAGACATTAAATAAACTCTTTGGTTTGCAAACAAGAACACTTAAATACTACTTTTTAATTCATTTTGGATCGTAATTTAGAGTTTAATTTCTTAAATCATTAAAATTGATGTGTGCAAGGTAAGTTTGTGTTTAAATTAAGATGTATCTTCTATATCTCCTTAACCTCTTACCGGAAATCATATTGTTAAATTTAGGCAATTTAACGATCTGACAGATCCATCACTATTTGTCAGTCAATTGTTTAGTATAAATATTCAAAATTTCCTTGAAATTAAAAATTTCTCAAACGATTTGTTGTTAATTATTAAAAATTGTAATGCAATTTTCTGTGATATGGTCTAACTATTTGAATTTGAATGGTTTGAAGGTGATATTGACAGAACATTCAGAATTGAATCTGTAACTCTTTTAAAATCGGATATTTTAATGAGAAAATTACTAGCTTATGTAAACTTATTTAATATTGCTCATCGAAATGCTCAGATTCATCGTAAGCATTGAAACGATTATTGGAGCGTGTCAAATTGAGATCATGTATATCGCTGCTAGGTATGATATCTATATGAAAAACTATTGTTAGAGGTTATACCTTATATGAACAATTATGGAATATGCCAAAAAAATAATACATGAGGTAGGAATTTGAAGTAAAAAATGTTTAAATAGTCTTGTATAATTAATCAAGGTATTTATAATTTCTACCATTTGGATGAATGGTTCGAGAAACAAATAAATATGAAAAGCCAATGAACGCTTAGCAGAATTTGAAGAACTGTTCCATAACCTTAACGAACTCAGAAAGGTGGACAAAACCGTCCTTTTCGCCGTTCATTAATGAGAAGATCTGATTTAATTCTGTATCGTCTAATTCTCTGCCATTTAAGTCTTTAATGCAATCCTTTAATTGCTGGCGGTCAAGCTTTCCATTTTTATCAGTATCGTATTGGTTGAAAACTTCTGTAATGGCTTTTTGGTTTCTTGTTTCCATAAATTGGAAAGTGAAATGTGACGGAAAAGGATAGTGTAAACAAAAAAATATGATTAATTTCATCAAATATAAATCAAAAATCTTATTTTCGGAAGTCCCAGTAGTATATTGGTTAGAATAGATCCTTGACACGGATCAGAGGCCAGTTCGATTCTGGCCTGGGACATTTTTTTTCATTTCCTGAATTCTTAATCATATTCAGCTTTATTTTTGATCCATTTAATATGTTATGTGTAACTATCTCTTTTCTATATAAATTGTCCACAAATGATGTGTTTGAAGAAATATTGAATCTTAAAATTTGGAATTATAATGAAATATATAGATTATTCGATGAGACTTCAGTTATCTAGAATATTGGTTTCCTTTATTTTTATTGTATATCTATATTACCTCTATGAATTGACACAATCATGTTATATTTGGAAAAAGTGACAATATTAAAAATGAATTTATCCAAATTCCAAAGAGAAAAATGCCTCCAACTCATTGATAAGCTTATTTCGTGGGAAATTTGCCAGCCATTTAGAGAGCTTATTGATCCAGTTAGAGATGGCGCTCCAAATTATTTTGAAGTTATTAAAGAGCCAATGTCATTAAATGAAGTTAAAAAACGTTTAATGAATAGTCAATATCCAGATCTGAAAACTTTTATACATGATGTTAATTTAATTTGGGATAACGCAAGAAAATATAACGGTGATGATACGATATTTGCTATGATGGCAAAGGAAGCTCAATCATACTTTAACAGAAAGATGAATAATTTCCCTAGCAGCGTTGAAGAAGACTGGTTAATGAAAGTTCGAAAGATTGCAAATGAATTTCACGAAGCAATTACACATCCTCCTCATGATATTGACCCTAAAAAGCAGCGTGAAATTATTGCCGAAGCTACTGCTACTCAAACTAATGTTGTTTAAATTTCGTTATCATAAATATTTAATGTATTGTATAAAAATTACGAATGCTTGCATTTCATCTTACAATATATTATTGATCTCTTTGTTTTAGTCATATTTTATTAATAAAACTTACTTTCTATGGCCATTAAAACCTTCATTTAACAAAAAGCATGCACAAACTCTATGCATACAATAAGTAGAAGGATTTTGATATCATTTTTTTATAATGGATAATAAATACGTTGACATTGCAGAACATTTGATAGAACAAAGACAAACAATGAAACAATCTGCTTTCAATGCAAAAGTCAACAAACTCACAGCACTTTTAACTAACAAAATTGAAGAAATTCAAAATGAAATTAATAGAATTGAGCACAAATCTTCTGTTATTTCCAAAAAGGAAGAAACTGATGTTCAAAACATTGGAAAAGAGTACCAAATGCTTCAATTACTTACAGCTTTGGCAAATAAATATGAATCACAATTAAGAACATCAACATCTGAACAAAAAAGATTACAAGAGCTTAATGATTTTGAGAATGTTATAAAAGGAAAATACGCACATCAATCTTTGCGTTTGAAAAAAGTCAAACATCACATTGCAGTTAAAAAGAAACAATTAGAAGATGAATCAAGAATAGATATGCCAAAAAGAAAAGCTAGAATCGCCGAAGAAAAGGAAATACTCATAAAATACCAAAATTTCATCAAAGCTGAAAAAAGATTAGATTTTAACCTTAGAATATCGGAAACAGAGAATAATATAGCTAATATTCAGCAAGAAATCGACCGAATATCCAACGCAAATGTAGAACTTAAACATGAACTTGAAAATAAGCAAAACATGAAAGATGTCGTTGCAAATGATATATCCCAATTCGAGAATACGGTTAATTCCAATGTGCAACATATCAATGATACAAAGGAAATACTTGAAAAAGAAAATTTACAAATTGCCCAAAATATTTCAAACCTCAAAAGAGAAATATCAAATTTAGAAAAAGAAGCTGTTGAGCTCGACTCTATTTATAGTTTTACCATAAATATGAAGAATACTCTGGATAAAGGTCATAAACTAGCTGAAATCATTCAAGAACAGGCTTCTTTGGACTTAAAAACTTATTGTTGTTATTATATATTATGTTGAATTTTTTGTTTGTATAATAAATTTTTTCAAAATACTTTAAAAATAACTCATTGTTCAGAACATGCTATCGAAATCAGTAATAACGATAGGATATAACTTAGATGTGGCGTAAACAGGTCAATGTTTTCAAAATTGATGTAAAATTATGACTATCTTTGAATGCTATTGTAGTTTCAATGAGTTTTGCATTATTCATAAAATAAATATGATAATGGTAGGAGTAAAACTATAAAATCGCCAATATAACTTCATAAAAATTGAAAACGGAATGGATTATTTCTTCTTCTTCAATCTATTGGCGCATTTATTTCTAAACGCCAATAAGGAAGGGAAAATTATAAGACACCATGGTGTCTTCAAAACGCTAATTTTTGATATTTTTAACAACCCTAAACTAATTTTATGGAAAATCTATATCGACAAATTTATTAGTTATTGGGTATATAGATTTTTTGATTATGGCGATTATGTCTGATATGCTTCCAATTATAGATCCAAGGTGATGTGATTTTTGCATCCCTGGGATGGACGATACACCCAAAGTGTCACCTTTTTGGGATAACATGAATTTTAAATATCATGAGAGTTCTGCAAACCATATGCACAATATCTATTCAGCCTGACTTCTTGTATATATGAGTTAGACTTCTTAAATATTGTGCTTGGGGCGATATAAGCATTTCCGAGATTACCATCGTGCTCTATAGTATGCTACTTCTCCCTGGTTCTAGCTCAGTTCCAAGGATATTGGCGTTCAAGGATTTGGCAAGGTCCTTCCGAAGTCTCTCATTCGATGAGAGATTTCGGAAGAATCTTGCCTTAAAGTACTCCAACTCTTGTTCTTTTGTTCCTAAATAGTGAGAAAAGTTATTTGACTACTTAAGGTAGAGATTATCCGAGGTCCCTCATTTGATGAGAGGCCTCGTATAATCTCTGCCTTAAAATTGTACACTTGTAGTCCATGAGAGTGTAAGTATACATTGATAGGACAGCTTTCTTCTGAAGTCTTAGATTTGATAAGAACCTCAGAAGAAAACTGTCCTATTTTATAGTAAAAGGAGTTTCAGGAGCTCCAAAGCTCCCTTTCGTAAGGATTAGAAGCTTTGGAGCTCCTGGTTCGTAGATGTGTTTCGCATCTTTCATCAGCAAAGGACATTTACCATCTGGGACTCTGTTGATGGAGACTCAGGAGCTCCAAAGCTCCCTTTAGTAAGGATTAGAAGCTTTGAAGCTCCTGGTTCGTAGACGTGTTTCGCATCTTTGGGTCATTATTGATTTTGTAATTTAATCGTCATCGTTATCGATTTTGTAATTTAATCGTTATCGTCTTTTTCTAAACGTGCATTTTTTGCTTTCGGAGCTATTGAACATACATTGGCCCTTACCAGCAATTGAAAACTATTTTTCATTATCAACAATTACATTACTCCGAGTTATTCATCAATCAATGAAAATCGATATATAGTCCATACTTCAATTTACAATATTGGCAAGTCCAATTTCACTTGGCATATTTAACTCATATAGAAAAACCAGTTGGAATCGGCAAAATTATCTTTAATTCCATACATAAGAAAAAAAAATTATAAAGTTCTTCAATAATAGCAAACTAATAGTTTAAATAGATTTACAAGTATCGCCCATCTACTTTTGATATAATTCACATATTAAATGTAGAAAACTGGTTTAAAATAAATATTTCAAAAGTTCGAAAACGATTTATGAAAAAATAACGTGATGACATTTACTAAATTTGCTCTGTATTAAAGTATCGATGATAGAAAGAGCATATTTTGTAAATATTTCAAAAATATTTAAAAATCGGAGAAATTGTATTGTAATGTACTATAATTATGTTACAAATCCGATTCAATACTAATCCTTCGCTATTGAAGTTGTTTTGAGAAGGATATTCTCTAAATTCTTGATAAATCTTTAAAATCTAAAGTAATCGTTTTGTAAACTTAACAAAACTAAAATGTATACCAATAGATTGGCATTTTCTACGTTTTCAAAGTGAGAGAGTGTAAATTCTTTTTTTTTATCCTATTAAGGGTATAGTCCACTAAAAATTTTTAAGTTTTGACAATGAAAATAAGCTCTGTGACCATGTAAATATATATCTATGCAAAACGAGAGGTTATGCCATAATTTTTTTTAGTTATCAAATTTTCCTTTTTTTGAGAGAAGTCTCTCAATAATTTGAGAAGAATCTTTGATATAAAGAGATACACATTTGTAGAACGAAGTAAGTGTTTTCCAAACATGTTCTTAAAAATAAATAAAATAATACAAATCTTTATTCAATCTTTTGATATTGTTGGTCCTCTCTTTGTGAAAATACTTAACTTCAAAGAGTATTATGTTTTACCTAGTGAGGACCTTAAGTTTGCAAAAACATAATAAAAGTAAAATAAAAAAGATCGGATTTATCACAAAACTTTGAGTATTATAGGATTTAATATATTTTCTTAGTAGATTATATGATTTAGTTTCTTAAAATCTAAAGTATTTCTTGAGGAAAATATAAATTGAAATTCAAAAAGTAAAAAAAATGTAAACAAATCAAATTTTAAATGGACCAAATGTTGATTTTTCATTCGTTTTCTCATTATCGAAAAAAATTTGGAAAGCTAAGAAGTCAATAACAAGTTATATAATACAACAAAACCCACATCGGATATGTTTTCATCAAATAGTCTCCTAGATTTGTTATGAAATTAAAATATCATGATATTTTAAGGGCTTTTGATTTCAATATTAGAATTATTCAGTTATGTCGTGCTAATATCAATTGCTTTATACAATTAATCGTTTACAAGCTGCAAAAATCGAACAATAATTTGACTTTGTAAAAAAAGTGCGTCATTTTTATTCGTTATACTTACAAAATGTAAACATTACGAGAAACATTTACATTTGTAAATGTAACAAGTAAAGTTGTCTCGCATAATTTGACTTTGTAAAAAAAGTGCGTCATTTTTATTCGTTATACTTACAAAATGTAAACATTACGAGAAACATTTACATTTGTAAATGTAACAAGTAAATACATCAGATTTAAATTGTAAATGTAGTTTATCTCTCTCATCTCCTTTTTAAAAGGTATTACATACATACGAACGCATGGGTCACTCAATAATTAGCGTGATAATAATTGAGGATAGACTGTAATCGTAATTTTATTTTTGGACTTATATTTCGACATTTTGAAGTCGCTTGAAAGTCTTGCAAATGATTAAATTTGGAAAATTTGACCTAAGTCTGCATTATTTTGATGACTTAAACAATTCTATAAATCTGTTTTCCTAAAAATTTAAAAAGATATAATTTCAATTTCCCTAAATTTATGTAATTCATATATCACCAAAATATTTGGACTGCATTTCGTTTGTCTGCACCTAATTAAAGTCTAAATACCAATTAATTTTGGAGTTGCATTGCTTTTAATGTAAAAATGCACGTTTAGAAAAAGACGATAACGATTAAATTACAAAATCGATAACGACGACGATTAAATTACAAAATCGATAACCTCTCCGCATCTTTCATCAGAAGAGGCCCAAATGGTAAATAGCCTCTGCTGATGAGCTTCAGGAGCTCCAAGGCTCCCTCTCGTAACGATTAGGAGCTTTGTAGCTCCTGAAGGTAAGGTAGGATTGCTCTGATCTCTAATCAGTAGATGCCATGCCTCATTATGAACTCTACTGACAAGAGATCAAGAGCTCCAAGGACTCCCTTTTTAGTTAGTGGCGTTCTCACAATTTAGTAGGATTGCTGATCCTACTAATGAAGTGATCACTTAGTATACGTTTTGAATAAATTGAATTTTTTTTAGAATTTAGTATTTTTTATAGACATCACATGTATATTATAAATACATAAATATATTCTTTAATTCAAAAAATTCAATTCGGTTTTGGGATGGGTATCCCAGCCCCAAGTATTCAATTTTATTCAATTTTTTAGAATTTTGGGTTGGGATGCCCAGACCAAAACAAGCTTTATATTTTGATGTGTAGATACGTATGTGTGCATCATTGTTGTGTTATATATTATGTTTTTAATGAAAAAAAAATCTGATTCAAAAAAAATTATCACTAATTAGTTGATAATATAAAGAAAAAATAGATAAATTGTATGTTTTGAGAGTATTTATCCACATTCACTCATATGAATTTCATTAAATAGTGTCTTTTTACTCCCAAATTTATTTTGAATTATTGAAATCAAAGAAAAAAAATCAGAAAAATTTCTCGAAATTTTTATTTTCAAAAAAAATTTGGATTTTATATTGAAAACTGACACTGGGAGGACGATAGGGCTGGGATTGGAGATACCCCGCTCACTTGGGAAAAATACGGATCTATACTTCCAATAAGCCAAAACAGTGTTTTGGGAGTGATTAAATACAAAAAAATCTGGCGATGCTTTACGTGGCAAATGGTCGAATGGTTATTACCCCTTACTATTGGGTACCGGGGACGCTAGTTCGAAACTGATGCACTATATTTTTTTTACAAAATGCGTTTATTAGGACAGGGTAAAGAAAGGTTGCCAATATAATATATTTAAATAAATACAACTAATCTAGCATAAAAAAACTATTGAATATTTGAATTCAATAAAAATTTATATAAAATACATGTAAAGCATAAATTACTATATAAATCAAGCTGTATTTTGTTTTTATATAAATTATATCACACCGCTTCTAGTAATTTTTAGCTTAAGCATATCATCGGCTAATTTTCAAAAAAAAGAATTTCAAATTTTAATCCAAATTCTTTTCTTAAAATTCACAATCAAATTACAGCTTATCTTTAATAGTCTTATTCATTCTATGCTTTTTTTTCGGCTCCATAAAAGTCATAAATTTTTCCATCATAAATTTGTTAGAAATTGGGTTACCATTGCCAAACATTTGGATAGAAAAAGCCCAATAAATTATACCCAAAGCATCCAAACATGAAGATATCATATAAGAAATATAGTTTAATTCAGTAATTCCCTAAAATCTAAAATGTTTAAGAACGTTTGTTCAATATCTTACAATCTAATTCACAGATTTAGCATATGTACTACGTATCAAATATACAATGTGATCTCTCAATAAGCTTAGAAGGTTAATTATTAAAATTAAATAAAATTCTACAATTAGCGAAAAATAATACGGCAGATAATATGCTTATAGGTAAAGAAATTCAAAGAGCATTCCTTAAATTTTTTCGAAATTTATCATCGAGTGATATGCGAAAAAACTTTTTTATTCTATTAATGATAATAAATATATTAGCCATATTAAAACTTTTCATTTTTTAAAACTCATAGAAATACGTTTGATATTCTTCATTAAGAACATATAAAAACGAGTATAATTATCATAATCTGTTAATTTACAATATAAATGCTTTTCTGCTTGTAGTAAATATCAAATAAGAAAATAATAACATTATAAATTTTTCAAATAAGAATATATTATCTAGCATCTAAGCATGAAGATATTTAGAATTTGGATATCTAAATTCTGCTTAGATTACTTTCAAAATATAAGTCAATAATCTTTGATTTTATTAAACGCTAATATTGGATAGTATATTTTCACAATTTAATTGTAGTTAGATAAATGATAATTCATGTAACTCATTGATTTCGATCAAAAGTTATATTCACCTTGTTAAAAAAAATAAAAAAATAAAAAAACCAGGTGCTTACTGATTTGAACATATTGCCTTTGAACCCCACGACATAACCAGTAGGCTAAACGTACAGTGATTTTTTTATAAATTCTAGTATAAAATACTTCCCGCAGGGCATTTGTTTAATTATTTCACATTCTGATGACATAATTTTTAATATCATAGATAATGAAAGCGAAAAATATATAAAAATCGACAAACATGTTATAATGAATTGAGAGCTTTACGTGTCAAAAAACACATTTCATACTGATTTCTATAAAAGGTATCTTTATTATAGAAGTGTAAGCTATATCTGTTTGTTTTTTTATTATAACAAATTCAAAATTCTCTTATAAGGATTAGATGAAATCTGTATTATTAAATCATTAGCTAAATGAAGGTTCAAATAGAAAGTAAATATCAATTTATATGATACTGAAACCAAATAGTTCTTTTAATAAAAGATAACACGCTGAAAATTATTGAGTATTTGCAAATCTCAAAAATCTATTGGTGAATTTGGCTCAACTTTTAAAATTATAACATCCATATCAAATCATAAAAGCAGACAAAAATTAAAGCCAAACCTATCGGCCAATTTTTTTTTGATATTTTGATTTTTGAGGTATACTTTTAAAAGTGGATTTAAAGCACTGATGAAAAACATTAACTTCTGTCGTTATGATTATTGATTTAGACAATAATGATTTTAATCTTTGATTATCAAAACACTAAAGTCATCTTTTTAACATTTGCTTGGTAGCATTAACTCAAGTCTAAAGTACTATTTTATGTGGCACTCTTAGAATTTTTGTATTCATTGTACACGCTGAAATAGTACCATTAAAGTTATGGCGGACTTTCAAAAAATAGTTTGGTCACCTTTTTATTTTTTATAATTATAGTATTTATGAATTTGTACCTAAACCTATGTACATACCTATCTAGAGTATTCTCATTTTCATCCACAAAACTGAATATTTTATAATATTTACGATTGGATCGGAAATTATTTTCTGTTTTTACCTATATTGAGAATGGCATAAGGTTATTTTGAGCTAGATTTTTTGGACCGTAGTATTATAATTCATATTTAAAAGATATCAAGTTTGATAATCGAAATTTTTATGTTTTTATTAGTAGATATATCAAATATACTGAGGGAAAAAGAAGTAAAATTAGATGAATAAAATGAATAAATAAAATTTAAAAAAATATAAAAAATAATATATAAAAAAGTCAAATTAGTGAATAGGTATGTTAATTCCTGATCCAAAGATTGGTAAAGCAAACAATTCCTTGCAGAAATAGTAAGGCTTAACATCTATTAATTGGTCATTTGTCTGTTCGTAGTTACGGTTCTTGATGAAATCGACGAAATCATCGTAGTTCAAGTTTCTCCAGAACGAAGGTGGTCTGGCGGTCTTTTCTCTTTCTTGGACGTTTCGGCAAGCGAAATCTCCGTAAATTTGGGCGTAAGCGTGATAACCTATGAGAGCTGGTAAGTAGACGTTGAATTCGAATGCCTGTGGATAGTAATGGATTAATTGGCAGACGCAATCTATAAATTGAATAAATACCGGAGCCGATTCTTCGATTTTCTGGCTTGGACGATGGCAGCAACGAACACTGAACTGATGGCCAGCATCGCACCACTCTTTCTGAATAACGTTTTGGAAGCCTTTGATAGTTCTTGAATTTGGATCCATCATTAGCTGGACAACTGAGCAAATCTGAGCGGTTCGATCCCATCCATCTGTGCAATGGACGAGGGCTGCGCAGTTCGCGTTCATGGCAGAAATCGTTTGAGAAGAAGATGTAAGGATTTGGGTGATGAGAGCGCCCCATTCTTTCCACGGTTCGTTGTCAAATGACAAAGCAAGGGCTGTCGTCATTTCTGTGTATGTGTCTCGTACTTTATGAATATTTGGAATATTAAAGAATTTGAAAGTCGAATTAATATATCTTTCTGTTGATTCGTAGCCACCTCCTGTCAAAATATTAACAACGGCATTCAGTTTTGGCCTGCAATCAAAAATTGCCACATTCCTACCTTGAACAATGTTTGAAATATATCGCGCATCTTCGGGTGAGTCTTGATTACGTATTCCAGTTAATGGTTGGGATGATCTCATGAGAGGAGCGCCGTTAGCTGGATTTATGTAAGAAAGGAAAGGAAGACGGCCCTTTGATCGGAAGCTAGCGACTTTGCTTACAATGTCTAAGCTGACGTCAGGTGGGATAAGTATCTGCTTAGGGTATGTTGGGCAGAAATCGTTTTCAACAATTGCCCAATTTGAGTCCTTCTGGAGCTTTTGTATCCAGCTATGATTGGATTCATAGACTGTTGCGGGTAAAGACGTTGGATTTTTAAAGCTGTCTATTAATTGATGATAAAATGTTGGGCGATCGTTATTATCCTTGTCAAAAGGAATCTGGAAAATTCCAGTTGTTGTTAATAATATTTCTATTCCATAAAAACCAAAACGATGCTTGCCTCCTTTTTTATCTATGGAAATCATGCATTTAAAAGGAATTGAAAAATCTCTATAAAACTCGGTCCAATTTTGTAAGACTACTCGAAGACCCCATGTTGTTATGATAAAATCGCAAAGACCAAGTTTTGGATGGTTTGCTTGATGCAGAGAAACATACTGCTCTCCTGGTACAAAGCAGAATCTCTGTGTAACTCCATTCTCAAAATCTTCAACATTTGTGGATTTGCGCCTATCGGGATAAAATGGATGGGGCTCAGTCATATTTCGAGTTTGACTGTCACAAATATTGTGTATTACTTGAATTTGAGAATATCATATAAAAACCAAATCATACATTATTAGTCTATATCGGTATGTATGTTGGTTTTTGATATAATTAAATCCGAAAAACTGGCAAGCTTACAAAATCAAAAAGGATTCATTTAGAGAAGTTTTGGAATGTGTTTCTAATATGGAGATAAATCAAAGCTGTGGTTCATGAAAAAGTTTTAAAATCAAATTATGATACCGAGAATTCACTTTTTGAGAGCTCCTAATAATTTTTTATTAATGTGCAAGTTCCTTACTGATCAACTATAAATTGATTGTTAATGAGTGCTAATACTTATAGAATGGTCGATATTGGGCATCTAAAACAATGATATTTCGGATAACTAGCAAAAATAATTATTATCTTACTCTTTCCTTTATAATTACAAGATGAAATACTTTATGAATTATTTTTGTAGATAGGATATTGATTCTCTTATATCAGCATCTGAAAATACTTTCTTCTATTTAATTTTTTAATTAATCACCGTATAATTCTATAACATATAACAAACATAATGATATTTTCATTTCTCATAAGGATGATATTATGTCCTCTGCATAAACAACCTTTAAATCATGAATAATTCTTTATAATATAATTTTAACTCTTTAAGTAATTTTGCGAAGGTGTTTGTGCGTTCCATAAGATATATAATTGTAACACTATATTGTTTCTTTGATATATTATAACCTTGAGGCAAATTGTATTAAAATCTGTTCAAAGATCATTCTGCAACATTGTTACCAAGTGCAAATAGCAAATAACAAGAATTCATCAATAAAAATAGGAATTTTATCAAATTTAAGCTATTTTTATATGATAATATCTTTGTGGAGCTCAGATATATAAATTTTCGTAAAAATGCTCTAATAATGAAATTTAAATTATAACTGCGAGAGTCATAGATACTTAATGATAAGAAAATTGTGATTTTTCAACACTATGAATGAAAATAAACCTTCAGTTGTAAACAATAAGTATTTATTAATATATTAAACAATAAAGCGACTCACTTTAAAAATACATTGAGATTTTCAGCCCGTGAAACTCTCTCAATATCTTCAGGTTTGAATGGATAAAACAAATCAGCCGAATCATGGTAAAGCAGCTCCATAAGCTTGCGTAAAGATGCCTTAATAAGGCATTTCCTGGAATAGTCAGCTGATACAACTTTCGAAATTGAAAGTTTAATAACCTTCTTATCAAGGTAATTTTGGATTAACTGGCATATATCCTTATACAATGCGCAAAATGCTGGACATCCGCGGCAGTCTTCATAAGTTATTCTGATTGTTGGATCTTCAATACAAATATCTGGTTCATCTTTGCCTTTAATAATCCTTTCGCTTAATATAACTGTTGATGCATCAGTATTGAATACCTTGTAGAACTCTCTATCATTCTCAGAAGCGAGAATATATGAGTTTCCTTTGATTGAATCTGCTAAAATTTCGGAAAGAATGACAGATGACTTGGTTTTGACTTTTCCTTCTGTATTGTTTGCAAAAGCGAAGGCCGTTGTATCGAAATTATCATAAATATATAAAATTCTGTTATATCCGAACGCCTGAGCTAAGTTTGCAGGGAAATTAGCAACTTCTTGTATGTAACCTCTTGGATTTGACTTGTAATTGTTATAATGGTTCGATAATCTTGTTCCAACAACGGTAATATGATTAAATGGAAGATCTTTGTATTGTTGGAGTATTGGTGGGAAGGCAGGAAATACAGATTCTGATTGTGCTTTTGTTATCCATTGCTTGATTTGATCCAAAACTGGTTTGAATTGTGGTTTTGTTGCATTTAAAGCCTCAAAAGTTGCATCGCAAAGAATATCAAACAATTTATGGATATCACCAGAATATGGTTGATAATTCGACCAATTAACAATGATAGGAAGGATATTCTGGATTTCATTTGAAATTATTAACTTTTCTATGGTAAGAGAAGCAAGCATTGAGACAAGAGTTGTCTTTCCTGATCTTATAGGTCCTGTAACAGTTATATTTATATCTTCCGGCCTTTTTCCTTTTAATACATTCAAAGCATATTCCCAAGTCATTTTTCCGATATCATTATCATCTAATTGTAATGTAGGGCAAATAAAATGCTTAGACAGATATGTATCAAACAAATATTTCGCGTTTTGTTCGTTTAATTGTTTTAATGCCTCGGAACTTTCGAGCTGAGCTTTATGCTGAGGAGATAAGTTATTGTATAGTGATACTAATGAATTCCTAATTCCTTCTTTAACAGAAATGTTCCGAAAAGCTAAAGATTGTTGAATTTCTGCGTCGTCGCGTGGTGGTATAACATCTGGTTGCTTTGGTATAATGACTGGGCGTATTGATCGTCCAGTAGGCTGTCTAGACTTGTATTTTGGTTCTAACTCTGGATCAGGTAAAGGTTTTGTACAAGATATTAATAGCTTTTGTTTTGGTTGAATATCGTCAATGTTTGTAATAACATTTCCATCAGTATCAAAAACTTGTTGAGCATCTCTTGGTAAATCTAATGCATCTGTAGCGAGAGATAATAATTGGCTCTGTTTCTTAGGTAGAAAGATTTTCTTAGAAGGATCCTCTGGGAAATCGAATTTGTTGATGTAAACGATCTTTTTCTGTTTTGGCTGAGCATCATTACCGTTTTTCATTTCGTTTCTGAAGAAATTTCAAACGTGCACTTGAAAAAGTGACAATAATTTTTAGTCCATTATTCCTCCCTTTCAATGAATAAATATATACATGTTTAACTACTAACTTTGCAAAAAGTTCATTAGCATATAATATAATGAATATAATGTATACATTTCAAGGCTAACTTTAGAAATCGTGATTTTTTGAGTGACAATAATATATGTAACTATATAAAGTATTCAAATAATATATTATTGTGTATTCTGAAGTTATCAAAAATATTTCGCAATATCTTGCATAACATATTGTTTGGTACCATTTTTAATTGAATGAAACCTAGCAGTCATTCAATTTATTGTGTTAATAGTTCATAAATTTCGAGACAGTATTTCTGAAATAAGTCTTTTCCGGAAATAAGAGCCTTTGCAATTGTAAATAAATAAAAAAATAAGACGAACCACTCTTGAACCGTTTCAAATATGAAATTCTACATGACAGTCTTGTTTTGCTTATAAAAAGTAATATTTCTATTAATGCCATATTATCTAATTTCAAAGAATCAATTGATTTAGAGTGATTGGAAGAAAAATCATGAATAATATAAGTATCCGGATGACAATCCTATTGCTCTACACTTTCATATTGTTATAATGCCGTTTCTCATCAATGGATTTAATCAAAATTGATAAATTATATCAGAAACCTTTGCATTCACTGTTTTCCACATGTATAACATAGGATTTTTTTTCTTCTAATAAATTTAAGTGGTATTTTTTCTTCTAATATATTTAAGTGGTATTTATATGGTAAAATGCAAATGTGTCCTTTATAAAAAATTATTAATGTCCGACCAAGACGCTCATCCAAACAAATACAGCGAATTGCGAAGTAACTACAAATACTATATCGATATATGCAATACGTTATATCAGTTGAAAACCGAAAAAGAAGAAGATTTAAACTCGATTTTCAAAATGATCAAATCAGAATTGATTGATTCAAATGGGTATCCTCCTCAAAATATGATACGAGCTATTTTAAATCTTGTTCTGTATAATAATCGCTATGCCAAGTCATATTTATCTCTTGCTAAACAAATATCAGATGAATATCATGTCAAAGAGGTCAGCAACGTCATACTTATTTCAAACTTCCTATTTTATAAAGAATATGGAATTAAATTAGACAAATCTGATGACTTCGAAAAAGGTGATATTAAAAATCTGGATATTCATACAGAGAATACAATATACAAGGCAACTATGAATAACGACAAAGAAAATTTCATCATATTCACAGAAAGAGATGGATTTGATAAAGATCAAAAGCTTGAAAGCGATTTATATCCATATTCTAAGAAAGGATATTCATTACTTGAATTATGTTGTTACCATGGAGCAGTTGATTGTTTCAAGTTATTAAGATCGAAATTTAACTCAGAAATAACTAAAACATGTCTAGAATTTTCATTTTTAGGAGGAAATCCAGAGATCATGAGTGAATGTTTGAAATATCAAAAACCAGATGAAGAATGCATGGAATATGCAATTATTTCACACAACATTGATTTTGTCACATTCTTGATGAATGAATACAATATAGAGATCGATTTAGAATACTGTGGAATTTACAATAATCTTGAATCCTTTTTAGTTTATTTCGATCAAACTAATGATATAAACAAATGCTTTGTTTATTCTCCGATTTTTAATATTCCATCCTTTTTGGAATACTTCCTTTCACATGGTGCGAATATCAATGAAAAAGATGAAAATGGAGAAACTGCTCTTCATAAATCAGCATGGTATAATAGTAAAGAAGCTGCAGAAGTTCTTATTTCACATGGAGCGAATATCAATGAAAAAGATGAAAATGGAGAAACTGCTCTTCATAATGCAGCTCGGAATAATCATAAAGAAATTGCAGAAGTTCTCATTTCACATGGTGCGAATATCGACGAAAAAAATAAATATGGAGAAACCGCACTTCATAAATCAGCATGGTATAATAGTAAAGAAGCTGCTGAAATTCTCATTTCACATGGTGCGAATAACGATGAACAAGATGAAAATGGAGAAACTACACTTCATATTGCAGCAAATGAAAACCATACAGAAATTGCAGAAGTTCTCATTTCACATGGTGCAAATATCGATGAAAAAAAATTAATATGGAAAAACCGCACTTCATATTGCAGCAAATGAAAACCATACAGAAATTTCTGAAATTCTCCTTTCACATGGTGCAAATAATTGTTTTTCTGGTATTTACGAAGATGAGTTTTATTAGAAATAAAAAAAATAGTTAAGCTTTTCCACTTATTCTATACATAAAGCGATCTTTTCGCAACTCTCATTTTTTATGGCTATTCCATACTTTTTATTGCGTAATTCATATAATTAATTATATGAGTTGAATTTAAGGTAGACAAAATATTGTGAATTTTTTAAGGTTGCACTTACCACTTTATGACATTAGCTCAATTTTTTGACACTCAAGCTAAGTGATTAGAAAAAAAATTGATTGCTTCCTAAAACTGAAAATAAAAGTATCAATTGACCTTTTAATAGTAATTTAAGCAGTTTGTTTGGTGGCCATAGTATGTCAAATTAAGAACAAGGTGAATAGATATGAATTGGATCCAGATCCGGATTAAAAATTTTCCAAAAAAAGTGCTATTTACAACATTTTGAATGAAAATTTTAAATTTTTATTTTTTAATCATTTGTATAAAAATGGAAGAAGAACTTATACCAAACTTCGGTTACATTGCTGCACACATAAATGATTTCATTCAAGAGAATAAATTATTTAGTATTTTTGAAGTCAAGATATCAAAGAAATATTAAAAGAAGCAAAATTTAATTCATTTGATTTCATTTCTATTCTCAAACAGTCTTATCACGTGATTAGTGCAAAGAAATTCTATTTATGTACTCGAAATACAAACGTTTAAATAAGTAATTTTCAAGAAGCGATTTCAACTCTCAAGGCACTTAAAAAATACATGAAATTGCCGTTTTTAGATGGATTGATTAATTTTATGAATAAAATGAATGAAGAAGCTAATAGCTCAAACAACCTCATAAAAAATTTACGCCAGGATCTAAACAATGCTCGAAGTCTAAATCAGACATATGAGAATGAAATTCAATCTCATAGATCTCATTCTCTATTTATGAATAGAAATAAGAAAAAGTCAAAAGAAATCAAAGAAAAAGAAATCAAAGAAAAAGAAATCAAACCCATGGAAATAAATGAAGATCCTGAATCTAAAGAATTACTCAAAAAAATTGCTGCGTTTAATCATAATTATGATTTTAATGGTATCTACTCATTGCTTAATGAGCTTGCAGAAAAAGGAAATCATAAAATAATGTCCGTAGCCTGTAGATTTGGAATTTGTAAACCGCGTAACCAAAATCAGGATGTGCTTTGTGCCGCTTGCGAAAACGGAAATCTATTACTTGTTAAAACTTTAATTGAATGTGGATGTAACATTGAAGGGTCAAAGCATTTAAATCCTATTATTTGGGCGTCTGCAAAAGGTAAACTTGAGATTGTTAAATATTTAATCGCTGCCGGAGCAAATAAAAATGCAAATTGCTTTTATATTAATAATTTTCATAATGTATTCACCATTGCAGCTGCAAATGGACATCTTGAAGTTGTTAAATATCTTATCTCAATTGGGGTTAAAAAAGATGTGAAAACAATGTTCGGATACACTGCGCTAATGCTTGCATCACAGCAAAATCAACTCGAGATTGTTAAATATCTTGTTTCAATTGGGGCTGATCTAAAAGTTAAGGATCATAATGGGAATACAGCGGCACATTTTGCGACAGGAGAGTCTGCAGAGTATTTGTTATCTATAGGAATGATTTAATTAATTCAAAATAAACTGTTATATTTGTATTTTTATATATAGAGTCACTCGAAAATGGTGTTGAATGTGTGACAAAACCGTCGAAAGCACGCCAAATATGTCAAAGTATTAACATCTGATGGAATAATGATATACTGATTGATTGCAAAAAAATAAATGGGGATATTTTAAAGATTTCTTTAAAATTTACATCCTTCATGGCATTCTAACCATTTTCTGATATTCTCTCATAATATTATTTATCTTTGTTTTAATAGCAACAAAGTATATCAATCATTTTCCAACTAAAAATATAAACTTTTTGATATTTAAAATTGGGCTATAAAGCTAGAGTGTCAATAAAAATGATAAAAGCATTATAGTTTCAGAACTTCTGTTTCAATTCTTCATAAAAATTGTGAAGATTTTATGAAATACACTTAAGGCTGCACTTACTCCCATCTGACTTTAATTCAAATTTTTGACAACTGGTGTGAAGTGCCATTGAAAATTAACTTTAAACATCTGATTTGACGGCCGTGTCATAGGGGCGTAAGTGCACCCTTAAGGGTGCCCTTACCACTTTCTGACATTCTATGAAAAAATAAATATATCTTTATTTTAATAGCAGAAAAGTATAACGGCTATATTGGGTACTATGTAGTGATTTATATTTACTTTCTCCCGACCAAAAATATTAATTCTCGGACATACGATTATTTTTGATTCAAATGCTGTTCGGCATTAAAAGCAAAAATAATCATATACCCGAGAATTACACTTTTCCGATATTTTTGGGTCGCTTCGCGCCCCTGACAAAACGTCGGAAAAGTGTAAACTTTTGACCTTGGAAAATTGGGATAGAAAGCTTGTGTGTCAAAAAAATTGAGAGAATATTCGAAAGTGGTAAGTGCACCCTTAAATTGAAGATTATATTCAATTCAAAATAGTCAAATTTATAAACAAATAGATTTTGTCTTTTTATCAATAAATATAAACAAAAATAAAATAAAAAATAAAAAATGGTTATCTTAAAGATTTCTTTGAAGTAGCAGATTTCTTTTCATTTCCTTCTTGTATATTAGAGAAATCCAAAGAAGTTGGTGCCTTCATTGTTGCCATCTTTTTCACTTTCTTTGGCCTTGTTGTTTTCTGCGGAACATTTGTTGAAGGCGACTGATTCATATCCAGTGTTGTTGCGCCAGGAGCTTTCTTCTTCTTCAAAGATTTCCTTGGCGAACTTGTTTGTGGTCCATCAATTGTCTTTGCATTATTTGTCTCATTGGAAATCCTCCTCTTCTTTGTTCCCAATGATTTCTTCGTTGCTGGTGATGATTCATCAATTGTCGATGTCTTCAAAGATGTCTTCTTAGTTGTTCTCTTCTTTGTAGGGAGATTTCCTGATGGTGAACTAGATATTCCACCATCCATAGTCAATGCTGTTTTGGCTGCTCCTTTTCCTTTGGCTCTTCTCGTTGTCTTTGGCGATGGAGTTTGTGTTGTAAGTAGTTCCAAAGGTGCCAAACCGCTGTTATCCGTTGTTTTCGGACCTTGGCCTCTTCTTGTTGCGGGACGACGAGTTGTCTTAGGCTTGTTCGTGGTGAGAACAAGTTCTTCGATGGACATAAGTCCGTTGTCGACGCTTTTGGAGCGTTGGTTCCGTTTTGTCGTTGGTTTTGTACCTAATTTGGCCGTATCTGATAAATCTACGGATTTGCCGCCTCCGCCCCTTCTGCCTCTGGTCTTCTTCGATGGAGTAAGGCCTTCGTCGGCTGTAACGGCGCCTGGAGTTCCGGATTTCTTAGATTTCTTCGCAAGTTTGCCTCTGCGCTTCTTAGGAGTTGGATTAACTTCATCCAAAGTGTTTGTTTTGGTAGCTGGTTCAACGGTATTCGCACGTTTTTTGCCTTTTTTACATTTTTTGCCTGTTTTCTTGACAGCAGGCGTAGAATCGCCTCCAGCGTTGGCAGAGACTTCAACAGTGGCTGCGCGTTTACCTTTGCGACCTTTTCGGAGCGGTTTCTTCTTCATTGCGACTAATTCTTCAATTGAAGCAAGTTTTTCTTCTTGTGGTTCCTCTTTGATGGATACTTTGTCCAGTTCTGGTGCTGGAGGAAGATCTTGCTTCTGCGGACTTTCCTGGCTCAAATAAGGATCCATTGGAGGGTTTGTATTGGTTTGAGGGACATCTCCGATCTGTTTGGCATCAGCAATCATCGAATTGATGTTCGCTGATGAGGTTACGTTGTTGTTTGACTCAAATGCGTCAGGATTAAAGGCTTCAACGTCGTCAAAGCCTCCGAACGCGTTGTTTCCGCCTGAATTGTTCCTGTGGCGCATCTTTACAGCGTTCATGTTCTCTATAATGGCTGAATCGTCGTTTTGTTGCTTGAATACGTTGATTAAGGCTGAAGAAAGTGTCCATCCAGCAATGGAACTGAACTTGTAGCTGTTATCATCGAAGATTGCTCGGATATTGTTGCTGAATTGTCCGAAATTATCTGAGATGATATCAAGAATCTTTTCTAGAGCCTTGTCAAGGTCTTCAACCTCTGGGGCTGAGTATCTAGCATTGTTTGGCATATCGGAAATCTGGAACATGAACTTTTCAAGGGCAGGAAGAATATGAAATTCGATTCTTTCATCAAGAAAAGCGAATTCAGGCATCTTATCTTTCATAAGTTGGAATTTGGCCGTATTTGCTATCATACGAATCAATTTGTTCATTGTTTCTTGATGGGAAATATCCGTATTTTGGTCAAAACTGTAGGGATTGTCAAGAGCTTCGAGTAAATATAGTTCGAAGAACAATCTCGTGAGGTATCCCATTACAATCTTCTTCTCATTGAAGCAAACTGTTGCAAATGTTCTAATAACATTGGCAAGATGCGAAAATTGAGCAGAAACATGGGCGGCACTGGAAAGTATGTACTTGAATATCGTAGAAAATACCTTTTCGATTAGTTGTTTGTCCATTGTATCCGGATTAAAATCGATTTTTCCTTTTGAGTTGATATATCTAACGATTTTCGATATAACATGCTTGAAGTACTGTCTGCCTGTCTTTTGTATGACCTTCTTCGCGAGATAAGTGATTGCTGCGTCTTCATTCAACGGATTCTTTGGATCGACGTCTGGATTATCGAATTCATTAGCAGCTAACGACTTAAGGAATACGATGTAGTTGCCTGCATACGTAAATATCGTATAAAAAGCTTCTAACGCATCTTTTTGTTGTTTTATTGGTTTTCCAGGTGGAATCAGAGCTCTGAGAATGGATGCGTCAGGTGTAATGGTCGAACTGTAAAGGGCGATCTTCAGAGGCTTCGGATAAGGCAAATGTCCTTTACTCAAATAAAACGGGAATTCTGTCTGATGGGTCTTTCCTTTTGTACTGATGATTGCTTTCCAGAAGCCCAAGTGTTCCGAATCTTCTGGTTTGAAGCTGAGGACTTCAACATCCGTTGCGTCGTAACAAACGACCTTTCCGTCCTTCTCGTCAACGGTAATTGTAGCAATAAACTGTTTAGCTAACAATTTTAGGGTATTTTCAGGTGTAATTACATAGATGCAGATTCTAAAGTTGTTATCTAGGATCGCCCAGCATTTTGTTTGAGTTTGGTAAGTGCAATATGAAATAGCAATGACATGGTTGTTGTATTTGCAGAATTTTTGGCTCCAGAGCCTTGGAAAAATGAGTCGTGTCGCCCAATAAAGAAAATTATTGGGAGATTTGACTTTCTTTATAATGGAGAGCCATAAATGCGAAACCTCTTCGATTTTTGGTATTGGCTTTGGTATTATCGGAGGCCAGTTAAGAGCAATTCCAGTGCAAGTGATAATTGAAACATTGGAACGTGCTAATTCAATCATATTTTTGATCTTGTCGTGTGGTGGTTGGAATAGTGTTTGAGGAGTTAATTTGTCAAACTCTGTTATAAAAATTTTTACAAATTCATTGATTGGAATGGCTCCATCATGGCTGATTTCAGTGTATTTCTCTTTTTCTATGATAGGAGCAAATTCAGGAAGATACTCCTTGAAATCTACCACAGCCATACCATCAAACAACATTTGAACGCTTTTTTTTATTGAGGAGTTCTTAAAAATTTTTGACATCGAATATACAGGCTTACTTCTAATCTTGTTATAATAAAAATTATCGAAACAATAATGGAAAAAAAGAATTAGTCAAATTATGTCAATAATGGATAAATTAGTATCTATATTTGTCATTGTTTGCATACCTAGTGTATTGAGATTTGAATTTTATCTCAAAAAGTAGAAGACGCAGAAAGATCTTTATACGAAATTTGATATATTACATAGATTTCAATATACTTGAATAATGGAAATAAAAAGAGAAAAACGTTAAGATTCTCAATTGAAAACTTCCGAGAAAATTATAAATTATAAATCTGTTTGAATAAATTGTCTCAATAATTTTTATTCAATAATTTTTGAATTCAATAGTTATTTTTTTCTGAACTGAGTAAACCAGTCTTCTGAAAAGAGTAACTGTGGTTGAAAAGGCAGACTCGTGCTTATTTATGTGTTATTGGCGTTTTATTTCATATCGATCGATAGCTAAGGGAACTGTATTGATATTTGTAAATTGTTCTATCGTTCATATTGCCATTTTGGCTTATATGATTGTATTTTTACTATATATTGCGATATCTCGATCGAATGTCCATGTAATCAAATGCGTTGAAACGTATTTTAAAAATGTTTCCGTGAATTATAGAAAATTAAAAAGAATTTGAAAAGAATAACGGAAATATTTTAAATAAGAGTTTAATCCGAAATGTATCATAATTCATGCTGTTAGTTCCTAATCAAACACATCGTAATCGATCGAAATATAGACACTCTGACATAGGAAATTTTTCAAAAAAATTGGCAAAAATCTAATGTACAAATTTGGTAGATATTGAGGACTCGCAATAACTGAATACTAGATACAAATCTAATTAAACTTTGAATGCAGCCATTTCCGCTAGGAATTATAAACATTGTGTTAGTTTCCTGTTGAGAATTAGGAGAAGTCACTCAACTCAGGGTGCCCCATGGAGATTGAATGAAGGAGTAATAATGAAAATATAGATTATATTAGTTGAGCTTATATCATATGTGTGTGATAATGAGTGATTTATGATAAAGAATTCAATGTTATTATTACATATTAAGAAATTTAGCTATATTTGAATATGAATGAATTCCAAACGATTTGGTATTAGGGGATGCTTTCTATCAATGTCAAAACATAAAATTAAATTTAAAATGGAGAAATATAAGCCAGAATACTTGAATAGCTTGGTGAAATACCAAACAATGATATATAAAAATATGACTCTCCAATATAGAATGTTTCAAAGTAGGAAATGAGCTAAATAATTTGGTAAACTTTCCATGGGAAGGATTTGAAAGGATTTTGCTATAATAAGTGTATAGTATATGTGATGGGAAATTGATTAGAACATGAGTTTAAAAGATTAAACCTGGAAAAATAATTAGAATATATACTGAAATAAATGACATAATTTATATAAAAATAAAGGATTTAGCTAAAATATTTAAATAACACTCGATCCCAAAAATCAGAACGTAGTCAAAAGTTTCGAGAAATTTAATTTTTAATAAAATTTTCGAAATTTAATTTTTTCGAAAGTGTCAAATAACGTATTTTCTTTCAGAAATATTTTTCAAAATTTTCATGTTCTCCTTGATTATCAATGTACAATGAGTAATATTTTTTGGCGATGTCAGAAATTTTTTTGATTAGTTTACGATTTTATTTGAATAGTTTACGATTTTTTGCATAGATCAATTCCTAATATTATTATATATACATTTTAATTATTACAATTTTGGTCGCTTAAATTCAAAAACCATAAAGTTTTGAGAGTTGGAGTACTTCTGAATTAGCAAAATTTTGAAATAAAATTAAAAAGTGACATTATTTGTTACTCGAATTTTTCTGGGATCTATAAAAGATGGATTCAAAAGAATCGGCAGTAATTAGTCCTGCAAAATTCGAAAAATTGAAAGCTCTTGCCCATCTAGCATCAAGTCCTCAGCATAAAAGTAAAATCCCAATTCCAAAAAATAATAAGCAGAAACTTCCTCATTTAAATAAGAAAGTGGTAAAGAAGAGGAGTATAAATACTGAAAGGCCATCAAAAATTCCTCAATTTTCTCCAGATGCAAAAAAGAAACGTCAACAGAGCAGTCAACAGCAAGTTAAACCTCCAAATGTTGCGAATAAGGATTATACAAGTGAATTAAATGCAATTCGTGAGAGATCAATAATTTTGAGAAGTAAAATTGATATTCTTCGTGAAAAGCGGATCATGGAAGTTCGTAGTGCTCAACAAAACATGGAGCAAATAATGGATAATCAAACAGGAGATTATTACCAAGCTATGGCTAAAATCTTTTATAATTCAAAGCCAAATTAAGTGCTAATATGACATGATGAAATTTCATGAGTGTGCTATGATAAATCCATCCAAAAATTTATAATCCGGAAAGAAAACAAAAATTTTATTAATTTTTCTTTGTTTTTATTCTATCTGAATTATTGTAAATAGTTTCTATTTGTTTGTATTTTAATCTATTAAACTTTGGAAGTTATATCTCCGAAGATTTTTACAAAATGTTCCAATTTTTAATTTCAAGCTCAAATCGTTGAATTTGTACAATTTCAAAGAATTTGATTTATATTTAACCTATTTTATACCTTAAATTTTTTTATAAAAATAATATTTTTAATAACAACACTTGTAAATAAATCAAAACGACATATTACTATATAGTAAGTAGATCTATTATTATGGATACAATCTATGGGTATGATTGCGAAATTTTAATATTCTACTTTAAATTTTGCATCTTTGAATTTAATTCTTTGACCAATATAGCGCGTGTATCGGCAAGTTGTTGTGCAAGTTTGGTAACATTTAAGAGCCACTCGTTTTCACGAGTAGTTGGAATTCCATTGAAAGTTTTAAGAAATTCATCTTTGAGTGTTGAAGCTATGCTAACGTAGACATCGGCGGCTGGCTCTCTTTTTTCTTCTTTGGCTCTTCTGGTCCAATATTTTATGCAATTATCGAATACAAGCAATGTATCATTACGAAATTCATGGAGCGATTTAATTTTATGATCTAAAAGATTGGATTCTATCTCTGATAATGATAATTTCTTTTGAATGATAGTATCATAATCCGGAAGAACTGTAGTATCTATAGGAAGAATGAATGTTGAAGCAAGCTGATTTTCTTTAAGATTTGAAATGATTTGTCTGCATTTATCGCGTTGAAAATCATTCATTATTTAGATATTAAACAAAAAGTGACAAAATACCGATTATTGTAAATCAATTGATGTTGTGAATGAAAATCCCAACATGTCAATAGCGCTAAAAAGGCCAAAATCCTCACAAAACATCAATCCTAACCAAAACGAACTTGATTATAAGACAGTAACAGAAAAAATCAATGAATCATACAGCGAAATTGAACAAATTAAACCGATATTAGATTACATCCAAAGACATCCGATTTTCACAATGGCCGATATTAAAAATGAGATCGGGGGTGAACTTGGGAAGATTAGAATTGCTATAAATGTTCTTCTCTACTTTAATTTTCTTACTAAAAGCGGAGACAGGCCCAAAAAGTACTTTTGGTGTAATCAAACGCCAAGAGTTGTTCCAATTAATATCCCCTCTTTGTTCTCTGACGAAGATGCTTATGATTCTCTTATTATTGATTGATTTTTACGAAAATTATTTCATTTTTATAAGACTAAAGTACTTTTTATGCGTTTGATAACTTATCTTTTTTATAAACTCTTATTAAAAACGATATTTCCATACATTTACAATGGTAATTGAAAAATCAAAGAATTTCCATTGACTATTCAATACAATCAATGAGAATATCTTAGTTATTCGAAAAGGAATTTTTGAAAAAAGTGACATTTCTGATTTTCGAACTAAAATCCTTAGAACTGGGCTTATCCATAGAAAGAAAATTGTTTTAATTAGTCCTATCTTATTTGTTCATGAATCTCTTATATTTCATACTAGTTAAGTTAGCATATAACACGTTTTAAACTATAATTTTAAACAAAATCGAAAATTATGAAAACAAATACAATACAAATTTAAATTTCTTACAACGTAGAATTATAAGAAATCTAATGGTACAATTTTATTCCTCATTGACCACATGTTCCAAGTATATTCAGCAATCATATAGGACAGATGACTTAAGCCTTTTTTTTTTAATTTATGTATCACACAACTAGTGAGAGTGTTAATTCTGTTTCTGCTTGTTTCTCCTCGATATCATCTTGTTCCTTGCGTACAGATAAAAGAAATACGATATAAAGAGGAATAATATTCAATATAAAGCCCCAAAAACATTGATAAAACCAAAAAATATAGAAATAAGGATTTTTGAGTTCAGGAAAGCTTGAGTATATTTCATTTTCATTTAATCTCAAAATAGTATATCGTAGCCAATAGACAGATCCATAATAAAAGCTTTTTTGAATAACATCCAAAAAAATAAAGAATGGGAATATAAACAAAGCTATCTTCAGTTTTAATCTTCTGGATTTTAGGAGATAAGTTTGTATATCCGAGAAAATAAATGTGAAACATAGCATTACATATTCAATTGCATACACCGCATGTTTGACAAAAAATTTATAATATAAAAATGCGTCAGTCAGATTATAGTACCATTCATATTTGCTTTGAAAATCGAAGAAGGCAAAAATATATGAAACAAAAGCATATAATCCCAAAATGGAAATAAGAACATTTGATACATAGTATGGTATTTTGGCTGCTTTAAAACCAAATAATATCAGGATCTTAACAATTTCGTTAAAATAGATAAGAATGGGAAAAAGTTCAATATTACTGATTATTTCTTTTAACTGATATGCTTGTGAACTCCCATAATCTGTAAAAATATGCAGATTTGAAATATAAGAAAAGGCATTGATAATTAAATTCAATTGTATCATTATGCAAAAGATTATTCTTTTTTCATGCCTTGCACCACCAAGTATTCCCATCTGCCTGATTAATTTGACACAAATATAGGTTAAGATCAATGAAAAAATGATTAATATTAAAAACAATATGTAATTCATTGGTAATTTGCACTCGGGATAAGTAGATAAATAGCAGTTTGTCCGGAGGATTCCTGAAAAAAACAAATTAAATGAAACCATTAAAGCTTAAGTCCAATCTCTCAAGAAAAAATAAATTAGCCGATTAAAACCGTAAATTAATTGGTTGTAGAATTTTTTCTGGAAATATATCAAACACATATTGTCTCTTTAAAACGAGATTTTCAATATAAATTTTAATTGAATGGGATCTGCTTTTCATAGAAAAAAAAATGCTTCTATATCTATTCTCACTCACTCGTGCAGCTGAGATTGATGCCCAGTCAATCACTGAAATTTATAATGAAGTCCTTCAGCTCAGAAAAGAAGTCCGAGAGCTCAAAGCTCTCATTAAAACCAAACAAACAAATGCTTTAAGTCCCGATCGTCGTGGAAGCTTTAGATACTCTCGGAACGATGAACTTCCTTCAAACGTTATAAGCCCCGATCGTCTTAGTAGCTTTAGATACTCTCGGAACGATGAACTTCCTTCAAACGTTATAAGCCCCGATCGTCATAGCAGCTTTTCATACTCTCGGAACGATGAACTTCCTTCGGACGTTATAAACCCCGAACGTCGTAAAATTGTTTCATTAAATCTTGAAAGCAATAAAAAATGCAAAGGTAAAGAAATACTCCCTGGAGATAGATGTCCTAATCCTTAAATTTAAACCTATTTTGTTTTCGGAGTAAATAATCTTCATAGGTTTCAAAAAGTTTCGTATTTTAAGGGTGCACACGAGAGGATCATGTAAACTTCAGAATTTAGAACCTTATTTCTAGGCATTATCTTGGCTACCTATAGGGTTGTTAGATTCCCGACGATAGGTGTCTTGGAAGATTTGCCTGGTGTCATCATAGTGTCTTTAAATCAAAAATTTTATTTTGGAGTTAGTTTTATTGATTTTTCAATAAAAAACATTTCTAAAACAAGAAAATAAAACGATAAAATATTTATATTTTATATAAGGATCTTATATATTTAAAATAAATATCATTTTATTTTTTTCATTGGTGTCTGTCAAACCATAATATACTATTCAACAATTCAATGTGTCTTGCGGTTTCAAAAGACGCCTTCAAATTGAACGATAGCACAGACACTATTGAATTTTACCAATTGTATTTAGTTTTTACCCTTTTTATTTTTAAGAATTAATGACTGAAACAGCCGTTTTGCTATGACCTCAATCACTTTTATTTATTATTTTAAATATTATTTAATTTTATTATTTGAATAGGCCAACTTATATTTGAGAAGCTCAATTTGAGACCACTGAATACATTGAAATATCATAAATATTGAAATATTAAAAAGTGTATTTCAAAATATTGAAATTATAAAAATTTATAATACTGAAATTGAGACAAATTAATAAATTCAATGTGTTTTTTTTTTGAAATAACTCTCAAATATTATTTTTTTGTTTATTTAATGATGAATAAATATGATTGCTTTAGTCAATCATAAAAACTAATTTAAGTTTAAAATAATGAAAGGATAATTTGATCGTTTTTTAAAATACAATTATTTTTGATGATTTGCAAGAATCTTTGAAAAGAATATAATATAGGTTCTATTTTTGTAAAATTTATCCAAATCATGTATTACATAAATTACGATTAAAACGATGAAAGAACCAAAAAGTGTGTTTTGTGTTTTGTTGTTGCGTGTTGGATGCGGGATCCTGTTATTTCCGAAATCGACAAAAAATTTGGAAATTTAATTTCCGAAATCGAAATTATATTAATGATTTTAATATTCTTATATCAAAAGGATTAAAGTTCATTAAGAGAAAAACAATTCTTCTTCTTCAATCTATTGGCGCATTTATTTCTACACGCCAATAAGGAAGGGAAAATTATAAGACACCATGGTGTCTTCACAACGCTAATTTTTGATATTTTTAACAACCCTAGCTACCTATTTAGGCTCGAAAAGCAAAAAATATCAAAAAATACAACTTGAGTCCATTATGACCCTTTCATGGAGGTAGTTTTTATCCGCTAGTATTTTCCCTTTGAATCTCTTTACAATTCGAAATCAAATTCAAATCTCAGTAGAAGAAAGGAAGAATCGACTTACTACGGTTGTAATACGAATAAATACATATATTTAATTATTTTTATTTACATAATAATTGTTTGAAGCTCATATTCCAACAAATTTTTAAATAAAAACATTAAAATGTTGAAAATGTTCATATATTTTAATAGGTTTTTGGCACTTTATTGAGGAATTACTACATACATAGTCGAACTGAACTTGATATTTTGAAATTTAAATTATTTATCAAAATTAAAATTTAACTTGAAATTTATAATTATTTAGTCATATTTTGCATAATTCTAAGTAGATTTTGTAAAAAATCAAGAAAGAAAAATTTTAACGTGCTTTATTTTTTCTTTTTTATAATAATACATATTATTATATAATTAACATATTCATAATGTTTCACCCTTTCAAAAATATAATCCTCCTCCTCTCAAATAAACGTACATACGGGTGGCCTCTTTTTTCAAAAAATTAAAATTTGAAATTTTGGGCTCAAATATTAGAGATTTTTTCAACCTTCAACGATATATGTTGTCTATATCAGACCTCCTTTCTTTTTGATACTTAACATTGTTCCTAAATCTTAGCCGTTAAGGCTGTTCTGAAAATATTTTTTTTTTCGAAAAAATTCGAAAAAAATTCTTAAAATTCAAAAATCCCTTAATTCCTGAGGATTTTGGAAAAAAGTTTTTACATGAACATGTGTATATTATATGAAGTATATTGATAAGGTAAAAATCAAATTTTATTGCATATTCATCGAGAAAATAAACTAACGAATCCCTCAAAATTGAGAGGGTAATCCTCCTCCTCTCAAATAAACGTACATACGGGTGCACCCTTAAAAGAATTTATATATGAGTCAATTGTACACTTATAACTTTTTGACACACTCTCAATTTTTCTGTTAAAGATTTTAATTTCTGTGCATATTCACGCCTGTATTCCACTTTTTGACAGTTTTTCATATAGTAGTAAGTAAACTGGTGTATGCCTGAATGAACGGGGTCCTGCTTAAACTGTGGTGTAAAATGAATTCACTATGTCACTGAAGCCAAATGAGAAGTGTCAAATAAAATAAAAGCCACTTTCACTCATTGCAATTATGAAATACCAGACAAACATGCTGGTGATTTGAATACAAATTTTTAATTAATTTTGAAGATATAAAGCATTTTGTATATTTGGAGGTTGTATCATAAAGGGTACTGAATTGACGAATCACAAATTCTTTTTGACAATTTTCGTTCCCCGTACCTGAAAAATAATTTTGTTTTTATCCTCAATCATTCCCAAAACGAAATCCCTAATTGAGGATATGAATACTTATGTTAAGGGTATGGTCCATTTTGAAAGTGCCAACAGATAATACATTAACTTTAGTATGGTTACAGAGCTTATTTTCATTATCAAAACTTAAAAATTTTGGTGGGCTATATCCTTCAGGATTTTGTCCACATATCAATAGCAGCTGTTTGAATGTAATCGAAATTTAGATAAAACTGAAAAAAAAGATATTAAAAATGAATTTCTAATTATAGAATATCAATTTGTATCATTTATGCAGATATTCATCAATTTTTTTCATTTTTCATTCCGTTTGCGTTATCAATTTTATGAGTTCGAGTAGAAGAGCGCCTAGAACCGTCCAAGTTGACGGTTTCACGATCTTCCTTGGGCCTCAAAAGTCATGCCCTCCGTATATTAAGCCATGGATAAAGCAATTTTGCAGTCAACCTGTTAATAATTGGTTTGTTGAGATAGATCCTACTTGGGCAGCCGATTGGTTTAATCAATATGGTATAAAGGAGTTATTTGAAGACTTTGATGATGCAATTGAATTAATTACAGACAATAAAGGCAAAGAATGGGCAAGTTATAACGAAGAAGATGCGATTGCAATCAATCAACAGGCTCTCAGAATCTATGGTATGCTTCATGCTAGATGGATTTCACAACCAAAAGGCATGGAACTTATGAAACAGAAATATGATCAAGAAATATTCGGAAAATGCCCAAGAATGGGGTGCAATGACACGCCATTATTACCTATGGGAACGACATTTACATTACGTCGTCACTCTGTTAAATTATTTTGTCCATGTTGCCGAGATATTTACAAAGCGCCAACGTACCCTGTTATAGACGGTGCATATTTTGGACCAGCATTCCCTCATATGTTTTTAAGTGAATATACAAAATGCGATAAAACAAATAATTTCAAGCCTTTTATACAAAAAGCTTTCGGTTTTACTATTAGGCGTCCACCTAAATCAAAACCATTACCGCATCTTTCTAATATTCAAGAAGTTGATATATTAGAAACCCCTGAAGATGAAGAAGAATAAATGTATATTTTTTTGTTTTAATAATTAGATGAATGTTTAATTTTTGACTAATTTCCTACTAGTAGCATCTAGGATTTTATTATTCTAAAGCATTTTTAGTACAAAATAAAAATAAAAAAAAATTGAATTTCAAAATATGATTGTCAAACAATGAAAAATTCAAGTTTGGAGTAGAATTAATAGTTTCTTTGATGGGTCTGAATTTGTATTTTTAAAAAATATAAGCATAATTTTTGGAGAAGTAAAATCACAGTGGAATATGTACGTTGATTAGATGTTATGCTACCTTGTTCAACAAAAGTTGCTTTCACAGTTGCTACAGATAATATTAACAATATACATTATGAATCTTAAGGCTTAATGTTCATATAATGAAAATTTTTAGCTAATGGGGATGTATGGTATCAATTCAAATGGTTTTGAAACAGTTTAAAGAAAGAATTATTAAGATGAATTGAAAAAAAAATCATAATTATATAAAAATACATATTTATTAAACAACACACTAGCTTATTCAATGATGAAAGCCTTGTTATCTGTTGGGAAGAAGAAAGCAGCTGCATCTTTTGCAATTTTCGGAGCAGTTTTCGAATCACAGACGTGATTAAGTGTATTCAGTTCCCATCCTTTGTCTCCCTTCTCAAGATAAGCTACCAAGCAGCCGGAACAATCCGAATTTGGAATTGAAAATGAAAAACTGTCATTTCCATCAACAATTTTCAGTCTACTGCCAAAAGTGTCTTTTAGACTGCCAGTTTGCATTGAAATTGCGAAAACTAAATAAGATGCTGAATTTGACAGTCTACTGAGGTCAATTGACAATACGGAGCATGGGAATAGAGGTAAATTGTTTGTTTCGAAGCTTCCCCATTGCACTCTTTGATTGAAAAACAAAGTATCCGAAATTGAACCTGTATTTTTAATACAAGTAGCAGAAACATCAATGATTCCATTTCCTACAGTATATAGATATGCTTTTATCTGGTTTTGTTTGATTAGAACCGGTTTATCTGTTGTTATCTTATTTTGTGTATATTTCATGTACTTTTGATCGTATAACTCTCCAATCTTTTCATATGGAGACAATATATCAAATGTTATTGATAATGGTGCAATAACAATTCCTTTTTCTTGATCCATTTTAATATTCAAAGGAACAACAGTTTTATTTGCAATAATATCAACTGTTGCAGCATAGATTAAGTCAAATGATGATTCCGAAGTAGAATAAATTGAAAGTATCACTGATTCATTCGTGCAAGTTGAAAAAAGTAAATTAAGATCATTCCAGATACAAAATGTAGATGATACATCAAGAACTACTGAATTAAAAATAAATATATCGTATTTATTTTGGAAAAATGACGAATTGAAAAGAGAATTTTGCATTATCGAAGAAATATCTGCATATTCGTAAGTATTTGATCTATGAGAAATGCTTAAATTTAATTTTTGTTGAGATACAGTTGTAATAATTAGCTTTTCTGGACTTTTCGAAAATTCAATTTTTTCATTTTGTTCAAATTTGTATGTAGGTTGCAAAATCTTGAATTTCATTGATATGTCATTTTGATAATTAAGTGTTATTGCAGTATTTAATTGAATTTTTTCAAGATCAAAATCGAATTTTGCGAATAATTTCTCTCCTTCAATTGGAGCTAGTCTATATAAGTTTACATTGACTTTTAGTGTTGAAGGTACTTGAATTTTAATTGTTTCGTTAATTTGAATTTGTTTGGAATTTTTATATTGTTTTGAAGACCATAATAGCTTCCTATATGGTTTATTACATAATATTTTGATAACTATGGTGTCCTGGACCGTGTCAATTCTATTCTCAATTGTCTGTAACTCAATAGGAAACTCAAGCATTTCAAAGAAAAATTGAAATGATATCATGTGTTATAAGCAATTATCATACGTACAGAAAAATAATTGATATTTCATCGATAATGGGTGTGTGTATGCAATTTTGTTTAATATATTTTCATCAGTCATCAAATCATACGGAAGATTCATGTCGATAAACTTTTCTTACTCAATAGAATTTATTTTGAACCTTTAAGATATATCAATGGATAGTAAAATTCTCATTGCGTGATAAATTAGCTTTCTCATCAAAAGAATCTCTCAATAAATGAATCCATATCATATCTCTAAAAATAGAGAGGATACATTGAGAAAAGATATATTTATTTGTCCTTTAATTTTTTTATATTTTATGAAATCCTTTGAATGTGTTGAAAAAGTGTTGGCCCAAAGTGGAAATAGAAAGAGATGAATACACATCATATTTCTAACAACAATAGTTATAAAAAAATTATTTTATTCTATTTCATGAAGAAATTTGATTAAACAGGATGAATTCTAATAAAAAAGATGTTTTAGTCTTTTATCAATATTGGAAAATAAAATATTAAAAATATATTATAACAAAACTAAAAATGGCCAAGTCCAATGTTTACCATGGTTCATCTTGGACATTCCTAGAAACAGTAGAATGCGTGTCTGTAACATTGCTTCCTTTCAAGATATCTCTAACTTCGTCCAATTCTTCTGTTGTTGGAGCATCAACAGGTTCGTCGTGGATTTGCTGGTTTCCACCTCTTGGACCACGTCCGTCGAAGTTCTGTCGCCTGTCAGAATAATTTCTTCTGTCATTTTGGTTTCCGTGGTTGTTTCTATCGTTGTTGTAGCCTCTATTGTCATTGGAGTTGCCGTAGCCGTTTCTATCATTGCCGTAACCACCGCGATCGTTGAAGTTTCCATTTCCATTGAAATTATCGTTTCTTCTACCTTTGTCGTTTGGATCATTCCTTGGGCCGTTTGGTCCGTTGTATCCGCCACCGTTTGGACCGTTGAATCCGCCGTTCGGGCCTCCTCTTGGGCCATTATAGTTATTATCGTTGTAGCCGCCGTTTGGACTGTAGTTTCCTGGGCCACCACGTGGTCCATTATCATTGTAGCCACTATTTGGACCGTTTGGACCACCGTAGCCTGGTCCTCCTCTTGGGCCGTTGTAATTATTATCATTATAGCCTCCATTTGGTCCATAATTTCCTGGGCCGCCACGAGGACCATTGTAGCCTCGTCCGCCTTGGTTATAGTTATCACCGGGGTATCTTCCTCCCTGGTTGTAGTTTCTATTTGGTCCATTTGGTCCATTGAAGCGGCCACCCTGGTTGTAATTGCCTTGGTTTCCATTGGGTCCGTTGAAATTGCCATTATGTCCATCGTTATAGCGATTTCCTTGATTATAATTATCGTACTTATTGCCATTCTGATTATAATCTTGGTACCCTCCAGGTCCGTCGTTGCGTCCGTTGTAAGATCTGTCGTTATAAGACATTTAAATGGAATATATCGATGTCACTTTTATCTTTCACATGATGTGAGGAAGTTCCTCGATGAAAACACATGCATGAGATTTTCTACGAATATAACATTTTACATGTATGATGCTGATACTCTCTTGTGAGTCAAGTATAAAAATGCTCAAATTTTATAAAGATTTGGTTTAGCTTATTCAATATCCATAAAAATATATCATGATTCTCGATCATTTTATCTGATTTAGGTAGAAAATATCATCATTATGGAAGATATTCAAAAATGAGATATTTTATCAAAAAAAATCTTGTGAAATATTTGGATCCAAAGTCTGTTTAGATTATTTATAATACAATTTTTTGATAAAATGAGGAAAAATAATTGATGAGAATTAATGAAGAGATATCGGTGATTGTTACTATGTAAAAAGTTCTTGTGTGTAACTTTTAGAGGTATTCGGCATATTCTCATACAAATTTAATACATTTCTATTTGGGAATTGATAAAAATGAAAAGAGCCTGGTTGAGAAATACAAACAATTTTTATTCGCCAAAATAGATACATGTAAACAAAAAAAATCTCAATATTAAAATTATAATTTTTGTTCACTTATTTGTATGTAAGGTTGATAACTAAAACTGAAACGTTATCTTGTGTACTACGACTAACTGCTGTATCTTTAATCTTTCTTGCTGATTCTGCTGTATTATTTGAATTTCTAACTATTCTTGCCGCTTCTTCGTCGGTCATTACATCCCAGACTCCATCACATGCGATAATAAGCTGCATCCCGTCTTTCCTTTTAAGACGATTTAATGTAGGTTCGCGAATCAAGAAATCATTAAGCTCTCCATCACCTATGGCTCTTGTCAGAGCTAACATTCCACAAACGCGACCTCCAAAAACCGCAGCTCCAAGCCTGACCACTTTTGCAACTTCATCTGGATCAGTTGCCTTATGATCGTAGGATAATCTAGTTGTCTGGTCTCCATTAACTAAAACGATGCGAGTATCTCCTAAGTTTGCTGTGTAAATGATGTCTTTTATGATAATAGCTACGGCAAGTGTACAACCTTGGTCAGGCCATCTCTTTACTGCTACACTATTTATTTCAAGGATTGTTTCTTTAATAACCGTTTCGACATTAGCAGAAGTATGAAATTTGTTAGCAAAAACCCTATGAAAATTATTTGCACAGTATAATGCAACATCAACGCCTCCATGCCCATCGAATACACCATAGTATGATGTTCCTGGACCTGCAAAATCTCCAACAACAACTGCTGTATCTTCCATTGTTGGTCTGACGCCAATTGTATTTGAATGTCCGCATGAAAAAGCTTGTCTGCCTAATACTATGAATGTTGGATCTTTCGGAGGAGCTCCGAGTGTTTTGGAAAACATAGTTTTTTAATTATGACGGTTTTCCCTTCATGGATTAGTCTATAATATCTTAATATAATAACGAAATACATCTTACCAAAATGTTTTTCTTGTTCTGATGTAATTTTAAAAATCTCTTTCTTGTCTTGAGTTACCAAAAGAGATTTTTTAACTCTCTTAATAAAATATAGGGATTCAGCTTAATCATAACATATGTATATCCTTAGCTGAATAGCGTCATTTAAAAATTATATGAAATTATTTTAATTTTTGCATTTCTAGATTGAATTTCTTTGTAATAACCCTATTTAAATCCGTACGATATCTTTGCATTAATGGATTTGATAAAGATCAATGACTTCAGAACAATTTAACTCCATAATGATGATATGAACAAACAGCTCTTCATTATGCAGAAAAATGAAATTAAAAAGATACGGCTGAGCTTCTTCTTTCACATGGTTTAAATATCACCGAAAAAGATAAATTTGGGAACAGCTCTCATTACTGCAGTATTTCATAAAAGTAATGAAGTAGTCGAAGATCTTCTTTCTCATGGTACAAACATCAACGAAAAATGTCAATAATGGAACACCATTGGAAAGTATGTTTTAATATAATAGAAACAGCCGTAGTTCTTCTTTCACATGGTGCCGATATCAACGAAAAAGTTAAAGATGACCAAACCCCTCTTCATATTGCAGTAAAAATAATAGTATAAAAGCTGCCGAACTCCTTGTTACACATGGGGCAAATATCAATGAAAAGATGAATATTGCAAAATAGCTCTACATTATGTAGCAGAATATTATAAAAAAGAAATAGCCGGACTTTTTATTTCCCATGGTGCAGATATCAATGACAAAGATAATTATGGACAAATAGCTCTTAATTTTACAATATGGAACAATGGTAAAGAACTAACCCAACTTCTTATTTCACATGGCGTAAAATAAAATAATGGAGTTTGTGAATTTAGTTGTAAACGTCAAAATAAGTTATAATTATCGTATTTCTTCATTTCGATATAATCATTTATAAATTATGTTAATTCTGGGAAAAGCTGCTTCCGCTGTAAACTTATGGAATAATTAACTGATCTCAAAGTACGAAATTGTGCTGTTATTCATTAAGAAGGGAAACGTAAGTTGTTACCATTTAAAGTAAAAAACAATTAATACAAATCATGATAAATATTAAATTCATTATATTTACTGAAGAATTCCTATATTGGAGATCTGAAATGTTGACTTTATTCCCCATCTAAGGTATTTGTTTAGATGTTGTATCCCAAATGTGGAGCAAAGTCTTCAAAGACTACTTGAGAGATTCTTAGAAGACTTTCTTTTTCAACCAGATACTGATTGAAAACTTAGTTCCTAATCTGAAGTACTTTTACAAATGTTGTCCCCCCAGATACTGATATAGGAATGAATTTGAACAAAAAAAGTGGCATATAGATTTCCTATCATTACAGCGATCCATTAAATATTGGACCTTATTCGAATAAAAAAGTTTATTTGGATTAACCGGCTGTAATTCGAATAAAGTCCATATGTAATTATGATTACTTTTGTAATTAGGAATAATTGAGTTTCTCGGAATTGAAAATTGAATGGAAATTCCAACCTTAATTCGTAATTCCAACCTTAATTCCTTAGTAATCAATTCAATTTCAATTCGAATAAAGAAGGTCTTATTCCAACTGAAAATAATAATAGGAATTTGGAATAAACTCAATTATAAGAATTAGGAATAGGAATATCGAATTACGAAAATTGGATTGATTATAGGAATAAAGGTAGGGGGAAAATTTAGGAGAAAAAAGGTTGTGCCTTCAATAGGGTTGTACAAACTGGCACAATTTTGCGGGCCGCCTGCCAGGAGCTGGCACGCGGCCAAAATCAAAAAAGTGGCCAAAAATCGGGCCTCGTGGCGTGGAAAGGATGTCGCCCTTCGGGCTCCATCCTTTCCACGCCACTCGGCCTATGACCACAATTATATAATATGCTCATTATTATTTTTTCTTCTTTTCTCTTCTTTTTTTTTTTTTTCTCTCTTTCTTTCTTCTTTTTCCCTTTTCCCTTCCTTTTTTTCTAGTTTTGGAAAGGAAAAAGTAAAAAATTTAATAATTAATTTTATTACTATGAAAATATACTTTTTAGCTTATATTGTAAGCTGTGAGAGTTTTAAGTGATGGAAGATATAAATCAAATTTGAAATTCAACAAATCTTGTTATGATTAAGTTGAATATTGTACTCTAATTAAGAGTTTTCAGTTATGAACTCAGGTATTATATAATAAAAGTATAACTCAAGATAATAAAGAGGTTTTTAAAATGTAGATCTGAAAATCAAACTACCATGTTTGATATGATTAAGTTGAATAATGTTATTTTATTAAATGGTTCAAATCTGTGAAATCGGCAATTACAAATTAAAGGCGTAGTTCAAAAAATTAAAGAGATTTTAAAAATTTAATATCAGAATTAAACTAAAAAAAGGATTTAGTTATTTCAGTAATTATCATAAAAGGTTAAAAAGATAGGGTAAGTAATGAGACTTGAGTGAGATGTGAGAAATCATATGTAAATAATTAGATATCTGGTTAGTAAGGTAGTAATGAGAGTTAAGATCTGGTTAGTAAGGTAGTAATGAGAGTTAAGATCTGGTTAGTAAGGTAGTAATGAGAGTTAAGATCTGGTTAGTAAGGTAGTAATGAGAGTTAAGATCTGGTTAGTAAGGTAGTAATGAGAGTTAAGATCTGGTTAGTAAGGTAGTAATGAGAGTTAAGATCTGGTTAGTAAGGTAGTAATGAGAGTTAAGATCTGGTTAGTAAGGTAGTAATGAGAGTTAAGATCTGGTTAGTAAGGTAGTAATGAGAGTTAAGATCTGGTTAGTAAGGTAGTAATGAGAGTTAAGATCTGGTTAGTAAGGTAGTAATGAGAGTTAAGATCTGGTTAGTAAGGTAGTAATGAGAGTTAAGATCTGGTTAGTAAGGTAGTAATGAGAGTTAAGATCTGATGAGTAAGGTAGTAATGAGAGTTAAGATCTGATGAGTAAGGTAGTAATGAGAGTTAAGATCTGGTTAGTAAGGTAGTAATGAGAGTTAAGATCTGGTTAGTAAGGTAGTAATGAGAGATCTGCGGGCAGTAATGATACATCTATGAGTACATAACTAAAACCTGAGTTCTATGAGCGAAATCTGAGAGCTAAAAGCCGAGAGATCTAAGGTAAGTAATGAAAGAAGAGAATTTGAAATTTTACAAAATACGTTTACTCATACAAAATAATTCGCATTCTTTTATAACGAATCTCAATGCCAATTAATACATAAAACAGATTTTAGCAATCAATTGCAAGATTTAGAAAGATTTTATTTATAATCTCAGCCAAATTAACAAATATTTTATTGATTTCGTAAAAAATAGCAATAAAACATAAAAATATGACATTCTATTTTTCCAAAAAAATTTCAAAAATCATTTTTTAACATGAAATTTATATTTTTTAATTTTTTTTTAAATTTTGAATTTTTTTTTGGAATTTTCAACCATGTCAAAAGTCGGGATCTACAAATGTATTCTCTTTGACATAGGATAAAAACATCCTTTCTTATAATTTCATTGTAAAATAAAATTTTCTTAAATTTATTGAATCCAAACTCAACTTTGCAACATTTTATTATCATAAAAACTAAGAAACATCAGGTAAACTTCAATTTGGAGAGCTTAAAATCATATCTAAATTGAAAAATAAGGGGAAAAAAATTGTAAAAAAAATCTCATTAGATGGGGCAAAAAGTGACTTTTTTAATGTGTTTTTTAAAAAAATCGTGCCAGCTGGCCAAAAAAGGTGTGCCAGCAGGCGTGCCAGTTTGTACAACCCTAGCCTTCAACAGAATGACATTGCCTTCAATTCTGGTGTATGAGGTTAATTTTCAATGATGCTTCACCCCAGTGATCGGAAATTTGAATGGAAGTCAGCTTTAATTCTTATATCAATAAAATTCAATGATCTTATCATCTGCAATATGAAGAGCTGTTATTCCAGCAATATCTTTCTCATTGAAATTTACACTATGAAAAAAAATTCAACTCTTTCTTTATTATAATTCCATGCTGCCTAATGAAGAGCAGTTCTTCCTTCTTCATCTTTTTCATTGATATTTGCACCATGGTGCAGAAGAAACTAAATTAATAATTCTTTATTATTTTGTGCTGCAGTATGAAGAGCAGTTCCTCCAAAGTGATCCCTTTGATTGATATTTGCTCCAAGGGAGAAAAATATATACAAAGTGATGGAATATCAAACATCACTGAAAAAGCAAAACTTTATGTTAATATTACAAGTTTGATCGGAATAGATAAAAATGATTCAAGATTATTATCAGGATTAGACTAAAAAATCATCCTTCATGATTAATATGATCATTTTAAATAAGGAACCTAATTAATCTGCTATTTTATTTAGTCAATTCCTTAATCCATTTCCTAATTCCATTTTGGAAATGAATATTCCTAATTCTTATAATTGAGTTTATTCCAAATTCCTATTATTATTTTCAGTTGGAATAAGACCTTCTTTATTCGAATTGAAATTGAATTGATTACTAAGGAATTAAGGTTGGAATTACGAATTAAGGTTGGAATTTCCATTCAATTTTCAATTCCGAGAAACTCAATTATTCCTAATTACAAAAGTAATCATAATTACATATGGACTTTATTCGAATTACAGCCGGTTAATCCAAATAAACTTTTTTATTCGAATAAGGTCCGTTCTCTACATACTCATTGTTTCACACATGGTTATATTTTAAATGTCTTGCTAGTCTCACAAAAACAATACAAAATTATTGGGATTATCGTCTAGATAGGAAAGAATATTTTTCAGAATATGTTGAAAAACGATATTGATTCCCTGAAATGCGTAATAATCTTTAAATTTGTGTGTGTTAGTTCAATGAATTAGCATTAAATTATTATGAGATGTTTATTCTTAAATAATAACAACGTTACTATATCTTTTTTCAATATAAAATAATGCTTTTGGAAAAGGATTTATTAGACATTTATAGCACCATGTTCAACTAAGAAAGTGATAATATTTGTTGCTTTAATTTTGATTGCAATACTAAGAGGGCATTCATTAATATCCAAAGAATTTGATAAAATTATGATAAATATGAAGAGAAAAATAATGTTATAAAACAATGATAGATATGAAATCAAAGAGAATCTCATAAAACAATGTTAAATATGAAATGAAAGAGAATAAGTTTCATGTTAACATCTGCACCATGCTCCACTAGGAATTGGACAATTTCTATTGATTGCGATTTGATTGCAATACTAAGAGGGCATTCATTAATATCCAAAGAATTTGATAAAATTATGATAAATATGAAGAGAAAAATAATGTTATAAAACAATGATAAATATGAAGAGAAAGAGAATTCTATAAAACAATGATAGATATGAAAAGAAAGAGAATGATATAAAACAATGATAAATATGAAATGAAAGAGAATTCTATAAAACAATGATAAATATGAAAAGAAAGAGAATGTTATAAAATAATGATAGATATGAAAAGAAAGAGAATGGTATAAAACAATGATAAATATGAAATGAAAGAGAATCTCATAAAACAATGATAGATATGAAAAGAAAGAGAATGATATAAAACAATGTTAAATATGAAATGAAAGAGAATGTC